CCGTAGTCAAGAAGCTAACCCAAAACAATATTTTGACCGAGAAGAAAAAGTATAAATACCTCGACATTTTATAGCAATTGAAAAGATAACATTTCTTGGGAAATAAAAGCCTATACAAGTTCTAACGGACTTTCTCTGTGTTCTTACCTTTTCTCTTATTCTATATCTATTCTCTCTTGATCTCATAACAGTTGCTTTGTTCTATTTTAAACCAGGCTCACAGGTCAACTACACCCTTCCTTTGCATAAATTTTAGCAAACTCGAATTAAGCAAGCGGCAGCTGAAAATCATTTTTGAAAAGCAACTACTAGCCGTTGACAACGTCAACTGCTGCAATTCGATATCTTATTGAATGCTCTTGATGATCAATTTTTTGGCTAGGTTCACTCTTGCAGCAGAATAATTACGACAGCCATAGTAGCCATAGTAAGCCATGGTAACCATACACCACAGCGTGAGCAACTGCATTTTTCTTCCATCGCTTACGCTGTAGTGACAACTCTATAAAAAAGTTACCAGAGCGATAGAGAGAATTATAGAAAGACTTTTATACCTCAGGCCTTCGTGGTCAGTGTGATGGACTTACCTAAAAAAAGAAAAAAAAAGCATTTTCAGAAATCATAAAAATATTGACAGTTATGCCGAAATTACAAGTATGCCATTTGCGTACTCAAAAAAATATTTTTTGAAAAAAATAAAAACCGCTATTCTAGAATTAAAACCACTATTGTAAAATAAATCAAAAATATTTTCTGCAATGACAAAAAATAAAAAAGTAAAAGATTTCATATTTTCTGCTTGAAATTTTGAAAAAAGCTTGTTTTTCAATTTTTCTGCTTTAAAATAAAAAACAAGTCTACCGATCATTGATCTCTTCTTTTATACTAAAACAGTAAAGCCATCATCCGGTAGACTCGTTTATTTATTTAAGGCAGAAAAATTGAAAAGCTGGCTTTTTTTCTAATTTTAAGCAGAAAATATGAAATCTTCTGCTTTTTTATTTTTCTGTCATTACAAAAATATTTTTGTTTTGTTTTATAGTGGTTTTTTTTATTTTTTTGAATACACAAGTGGCATACTTGTAAGTCGGTATAAATGTTAACGGAGTTTGAAATACATATGTATTTTCTTGCATTCATGAGAAGTTCTACATCTACGGCTATTACCGCGATCTTTTATGGCTCTACCTCTGCTTCCTGTAGACATATCAAAAATTATAGTGATTCCTTAATTTTCCGTATTTTTGATCTGTGCTGGTGTTGACCATACACGCCTCACTATTGACGAGCGTACAAATAGTCCCAATTCATGAGAAGGGCAACTCGACTGACCCAGTCAGCTACTGACTAATTAGTCTGACTACTATCTCCGGAAAAAACAATCGAAAAATGCATCAAAGAACTTCTCCAAGACCAAGTATCGTCCTTAGACACTGCCCAAGGTGGCTTTAGAGAACGCAAAAGTGTCCTTGACCAAGCTCTTTGTCTTTCAGAAATTCGTAAGTTGTTTTTTTTTCACAACAATACTCAAGAACATTAGCTCTGTACTTTATTGGAGTACCAGATGGACCTCTATACATTTGCTTCTATCCAAATCACCTCTATGTAACATGCTACCACAAACAATCTACTTCTTCCAACATCCAACCAAATGTTTCTATTTCTTCTCTGGTTACAAATTCACGCCCAGACACACCATTAGATCAACGCTCTTCTCTCCATTCCTTTTTTGCCCCTATTCTCTCAAGGCGTGTTTTTTTTTAGCTTAGTAAAGCCATTCATTTTTATAAATTGATCGAGTCCGAACAGTCGAAGGCCACATTGGACCATGTGTTCAAAAGGATCTTTTCTACAAAATCAATAAACTAGCAAACTTTAAGTATGAGTTTCAAAAAATTAACAACAGTGTGCAAGTATGTTATTTGTGCCAACCGAAATACATTTCTGGAAGATAACTACTTTTAGATTTGAAAAAATATATATATATATATTCTCGTCACAGCGTAAGCGATTGTATTTTTCTTCGATATTTGAGTAAAGATTTAGCCAGAATCTTCCATTGCTTCTGCTGTAATGTCTTTAACTTCAAAGAGATTAAATATAAAAAGAAATTGTGATAAAAATTACTATTGTAAGATAATGTTCAATTAAAATTTATGATTCGATTACTTGATAATGCTCCTTATAAAATAAAGATAATGTTCAAGAGACTTATAACTACGCTTGATAATGTTCCTTATAATATAAGATAATGCTCTTCGTAGATCAAAGATAGTGTTCAAATATGGATTCGAAAATAAAAATAAAAAAAATAAGATGTTAACAAGTATGTTTCGGGAAGGAAGCCCAAAGATAAAAATAAAATTATTAAGTCTGTTACCATCCACTGAGATAGTAAATGCTATGCTTTTATTTGTTACACAGCTTATAATGCTCACTGAATGACCTCCTTTATTTCAGAAAAATAGAGAGTATTTATAATAAAATTGTACATTTGTACTATGTGAAAAAGTAAAGAATAGGACTGTGGTGTTTTACATTAATATCATCTTTCTTTTCCATATTCAATTCTCGAATCTCAACCCCATAATATGACAACTTACTCACATATCTTCAAGATTTTTCTCGATCTGTGCGAAGAAAAGGATGATATACCATTACTCGCTGATTTTATTGAAAGGCACAGTCAGCACATAAAAGCTACATTGGCAAAGATCAAGATGAAGAATATAGCAAGCTTGCAAGTGCCTTTTCAAGTACGCCAATTCAAGAGGCATAGAAGCTAAGAAGGGTGATGCTAAGCAGCCTGGAAAAAGCATATCAAGCAGCAAGCAAGCATTGCTATGACAGCAACAACAACCAACAACAGAAAAAACATGGTCTTATGCCAAGATCATGGTGAAGAAGAAGGTGTCTTTGGTCGCTGGTCTGTTGGTGATGAAGACTTGATAAAAGTTTTCAACAAAGAAAGAAGACGTGTTGTTGAGCTGGTGAGGAACAAGAAGATGCTAAGAGAAAGTCAATACTTGCTGCTTTCCTTTATCTTGGAAGTGCCAGTTGCTGTTGAAGGATTCTGCCTTGAAGCCAAAAACTTCAAAAAAATAAGAAAAGCGCTCACTCCTGCCACAAAGAAGAAGCAATTCGAGCATGAAATTCTAGTCATGTTCATTGACTTGAAGACACAATGGGAGCTGGAGCAAGAAGAAAAAGAAGAAAAAGCAGAAGATGATGACGATGATATTAATGATGAAGAAAAAGAAAAGATGTGCAGTACTTGCAGTACCAGATGTCGCGGTATGCAAAGAAATCGAAGAAGGAAGAAGAAGATGCCTTGGTACGAGTTGTTCAAGAAATGTTTGACAATTTCGAAAACTGGAGGACTGAGTGTAGAACTGAAGAAGACTTCATTGAACAAGAACTGTATCCGTTTCTGAGAAACATACTCTTGCGTGACAAGAATGTCTCATCCACACGGTCCTATGAAAAATACCATATGGCCATCCCAATTCAGACAGCAGCAGCAGCAGCAGGCAGCAAAGCTAAACCCGATTTTTTCGTCTTTCTGCCTATCGACGATAATTCTTTTGGGTTGCTTTGCGTGGAGGTCAAGAAGCCTGGCACCAAGTCAAGTCAAATTTTGAGTGATCGCTCTAAGCTGGCTCTAGAGTGCAAACGATCTATTGATCATCAGGTGTCTCTTGGTGTCCGTACACCTAAGTGCTTTGCGTTGTTTGTTGATGGTGAAATGTGTTCTTCTTTTGTGTGTGAGTTGACCTCACATGGAATCTACACTTTTGTGGAACTTGATGTGTTTTCGCTCCCTCGCGGAAAAATGGATCTGGGCTCTTTGCCTGACACCGTCCTCTCTTTCTGTTGGCTTAAAGAGCTAATAAATGAACAAATGTCTTGTATCTACAAGAGAAGAAAGACAAATTCTTTTGCTTCTTTGACCAAGCTTGTAACGCCTACAGTTGCCCTGCCTCTGAAGAAAAGCAACCTTGAACAATAAGCCTTTTTCTTTTTTTTTTCTATTTGCTTCGTACATATAAACCCTGATAATGATTTTATTTGATTTAGCAGTATTTGGCCTTGAAAATAATGAATGACAATCATATTCAGAGCTTATAAAACACACTTTGAATAGGCTACTTCATAAAGAAAATAACTTGATTCACTAGCTGTATTTTAAGAAAGAAGCACAACCAAAACCTCATCTTACAAAAGTATTTATGCCAAGAACATATATATCTATATATCTATATATATTGAATCAATACAAACGTATTTTATCTTTCATTACTTCAAAATTATGAAAGCGAGATGCTCTTTAATACGGAGCTACAGTTCAACCCTGCAATTCTCTTTCTAGTAGAGTTCCAACTTAACAAAGCCATCGTGGTAATCTGAACATAATAAATGTCTTCTCTAGTACCTTTAGTAAAATCATTTAAGCTGCAATTTTTGTTTATAAAAAGGAAGCACACCTAGGTCTGTCTCATATTGAAAACCTGTTTATTTCATAGACATGCTAGCTTTTACCCGAATTCAATTTAAACATAGCAGTTTTGAATAATACAGAAGCATAAGCACATTAATGATTTATCATGATTATATATGATAAGAAAAGAAGGAAAAATGACTTGTTTATTTTTTTTAATGATGTGTAAGTAATTTCATATATCAGGAAGAGGCAATTATTTTGAAGAAGAGGTCCGAAGAAGAGGTTTGAAAAAGATTCACCAAATACAAAATAGAGCCAGAAATAGAACCAGAAGAGTAAAGCCATAGAAAGAGAGCCTTGATGAACCAGGAAACAAGCAACTAGAATGATGATTAAAAAAAAAAGCTTTCAAGCATATATAACTTACCAAAGACCAAAGCCATCATGCTACCCTCTAATGTGCTGATTTTCATAGCCCACGCGGCTCTGCGTAGTTCAGAGCCGAATGAACCGGCCCAAACTGGCCCTGCGTAGTTCAGGGCCGAATGGATGCCATCGCCGACAAGAAGAGGGCATTTGGAACATCACTGTACGGAAACAAGTGGTTCCCTATAAGAGAGTCAGTAAACGTGTTTTTTAGAATAATTATCCTACCTCCTTGATGGATGAGAAGAGGCTAGTAGATTTGCATACGAGGCCAAGAGAGTAGAAGAGTAAAGTAAGGTAGGGTAGGTCTTGTAGTAAAGTAGAAGTGGCCTTGAGGCCTTGAGGTAGTGTAGCTTTTGATTAAAAGAGTAGAGCAGATGATAAGTAAAAGGAAGAAAGAAAAGAAAAAAGACAAGGCTAGATCCTTCTTTTTTGATAGATGTTGTTTGCTCTTTTTTTACGTTAAAGCAAGCCATGTGAAAGAGATGAAGATAACCACCTTATTTCCAAATCTGACACTATTGTCTGTATGAACCAATTAGAAAAAAAATAAATATAAAAAAGGAAGGGAAGAGAACATAGTCATACTGACATCATTATTTATGCTGATAAAATACAACTCATGTATTTCATCTATGCTTTTATATATCTTGTTCTTGCTCTTTAAAAAGATGCACATGCATAGCGATCTATTTCTTTATTGTGTGTGAAGATGACAGAAAAGAAATAGTCTTTAAGAGGACTTTGCTTGTTGTAAAGAAATAGACAACACCATGTGTAACACTGTTCAACTGCATAATACAAAACAAAACAAAACAATAAAAAACTCCCTTGTTGCTGCCTAACCTAAGAAAAGTACACATTTAACCAGTTATCATTTGCTTTTTGATAAACAAAAAGATAGTAATAGGAAAGCAAAGAAGAAAAGACAAAGTAGCCCCCAAAGCAAGGTTTTGTTACATGCGTACAAAAAAAGCATTTTTTTTATTGTCATTTCATCTTTTGAGGGCCAAAAATATCAAAGCGAGAAAGCTTGATAATTTCAGAAGAATTTTCAAGGGAAGGAAGTGCTTAAAATATGATTCAGAAGTGAAAAAGACAAGGGCTCGCGCATACCTTCTTGTTTCTCCTAGACATATAAAGGTATTAAAAGGCTTGTTTATACATGCATAAATACTCTAGATATGTATAAATCATGTCTGCTAATATATGGGGTATCTTTGGAGTTGGTCTGGGCCAAAAAAGCGACTTGTGAAAAATGGTCAAAAATCTCCCAAAACCTTTTTTTTTTGTAGGGAACTATGTTCTTGTTTTATTTAAAGTCCTAAAGATGTCATAATGAGTGATAATTAAGACTGGAGGGATATGATGTGCAATAAGAAAGAGAGAGGAAATGTGCATAAGTTTAACTAGTAAGGAAAGTGATTTCAGTCAAAAAGTATTAGTTCTTGTTCATTGGGTTGTTTAGTCAGCAGGCGTTTGATTATGGAGAGTACAGCAGAAAAGGTGAAGGGTGTAGAATCAAAAACCAAACGCCAATGGCTGGACCATAGACCTTCCAATGAGCTAGCACAGATTTGTTGTGTGGATAGGGCTGGGAATGCAGAATAACTGGAGCGACTGATGGTGGTACGGAGATTGAGGAGTTGTCGCAAGAGGTGAATTGAAGGAGCGGTAAGAGAAGGATCGATATATGTGGAGAGGATGTGACACCAGATTTTGTATTTGACTGGACAAAGAAAGTTGAAATGGTCAAGTGTGTCAATGGTGTTGCGACGGAAGTAAGGACAGTGAATGCATTGAGGGCTAGTGATGAGCTTCGGTAATTTTTGATGTAGGTAGAAGCGAGTGTTGATGTTTTTGTGTAGGAAGTGGAATCAGATGTTGCGGGAGCGATGTGTCATTTGAAGTGACCAAAAGGCTTTCCAATTAGGGACAATGTCAAAAGGTGAGGTGGGTGTAGGAATGTGTTGGGGAAGTAAGGCTTTATAACCAGAAATAGTGAGAGGTGCAGGTTTGAAAACTAGTGATGAGGAGACAGATTGAAAGTATGTAAGTGTGGTGACAAAGGATTGCAGGCAAGAAGGATGAAGGATATTGTAGGTGCTAAGGGGAGGTGTAATAATAGTAGATTCAAGGTGAGCGAGGACAAATGGTTTGAGAAATAGTTTTTATTTGTAGATATGTTTGAAAATTTGAAGGAGGATACGACAGTGTTGAGTCAATGTATTGCATGTGCGGTATTTTATGGATAGAGAATGAGTATCATGGATAAATAGATTGTGACCAATGAGGCGGGAGAGATCAATCTCCCAAAACCAAAGGGTGCTACTCACAAAAAACTTCAAGCTGACAATTCTCTGAGCTTCTTTTTGACGCTACAAGACGAAAATTAAAGCTAAAGGCAAGCTTAATACTAAACTGTGAGTCAAATGCTGCAGTTTCCAATGAAAGTGCTTACTTGCTAATTTTATAATAGAAATGGTATGATAAGAGCGAAAAACCTTGTAAACGCTTCGAGTATTTACTCAATATTTTAGCAGAAGAGTCGTTGCTTTCTCTGGATCAGTAGATTTAAAAGACATATACCTGCAACTTTTGTCACTACACTAAAGCCAAAAAGCTGCGTCTTTATGGAGTTTCAAGCAAAAGCTCAATTTTTTTTAATGCAAAAGCTCAATTTTGGATGCGGCGGGAAGAGAAACTGGAGCTGCTCTATTTCAATCTCTGCTACACAGGCATTAGAAGAGCTCTTGGAGATGGAAAAAAAAAAGTTCATCAAAAAATCTCTAATTGTCAGATTAGCCCAAAGTAGGTCTGAGCTAACCAACGTGAGTTGAAAAAGTGTCTAGGTACTCGCAAGAAACAGAAAGCGAGTTCAATAAGATGAGAAAGTCGATTCTACTTGAACATCACCTTCAAATCTGCATCCAAAGCTCGTTGCGCACTGTAATTAATAGAAAAGAAGCCCATCTCAATATATATCTAGTATTGAGTAGGTATTTAGCTCTAAGCCATTCAATGTGCAAAGTATGAATTGCCATATCCTTACAACTTCAATGTGGCTACTGACTTTCCTGTAGTAAAAGATACACCCAACTCAAAAGTTATATTGTCATTTGCATGCTTTAATAAAATCAATGGTATGCTGCCTTGAGAAAAACGTCGATTATGTGATATAATCACTAATAAAATGGTCAAATCAATAAGTCGATTAGAACCAAAACGGCCAAAAGAAGTCTGCTTTATTAAAGGTTATATTTTGTATTGTATTTATACTGTTTGTATGATAATTGATTATCCTTAATTTGGGACTGAGTGTGTATACACTAGCTAATCGGTTGAGTGGATTAAGGTACACAAGAACTGGGAACATGATCAGGGCACAGACCTCGTCTACCATTGGTATTGATGCAGATGTCAATTTGTGATTATGTGATGGTCTGATCTTTAACATGTTTAAACTAAGATAGAAGACATCCATCGAAGCTGCAGATAAAACTGTGATTGAAAGATATATTTATACATGATATTAATACTTGCTCTTTTAAGGCATAACTAGTGTAAGAAGGGATGAATAATGCTGTGTATACAACAGACGTGTTTATCAAGGTATTTATTGTAGGTCAAGGGATCCCCTCTTACTCTTTGTTTTAAAACCAAGATGGGTTCTTGTTCTCTAACGTTCCGGCATATTTCAAATCCTTCAAACTCTTCAATTTTTTTTCTGTAAATCTTAACGTTCTCCTCGGTATAGTCAACATAGAAGAACATACAAGTGGCTTGTTCTTGGATATCATTCTCAAAAAAATGGATCAAAGATGGATCAAAGACGGATCAAAGTATGGTGTCATTTTATTTAGTCCGAACCGAAAATTTCAAGTGACTATGGAAGATGGTCCAAAAAGAGGAAACCTCTAGAATCACAAAGGTCCGTAACAAAGTTCTGAGCGACTTAAAAGGCTTTTGGATACATTCCAAGTCTATGCTTGAAGATTGTTTGAACAGAGAGTCAATTCAAAAGTCTTGATTTCAAAATCGTACTCCAAATTTGTACAATTTATTGCACGAGAAGAAAGATTCTTAGTGCATAAATAATTCTCAAACATACTGTGTCTATTTATGAGTAGATAGGTAGTCAGGGAGTTTCCATTCAAATACAATAATTAGAAAAGTCTGTAATACGTTAACCATGAGCTCTTTCGCACATCCAATCCTAATATAAAGTTTGAGTGTACCGTTTAGACAAAAACAATAAAAACTATCTACTTAAAACCCCTAACTCTTCGTTATCGCTAAATATGACCTCCTCTGCACCACTTTAAAGCCAAATTGTTGATCGAGGCAAACAGCTTACATTTGTTGAAGTCAATAAGAAAAATAACTCTGTCAAACCTGTCAAACACACGTCAATAACGATATTCGAAAGTGATAAATTTGTTTCAAATCTTATCACTTGTAAGCCTCTTGTGATGATCTGACATTAAATAAGTCTTCAATTACATACTAAAATACATCATAATCAATTTACATCAGAAATAGACATAAAAGAACCTCTTGTACTGAATAAGACAAATTATCTTTTAATAGATCAAGACTCATAACCGAAACCTATAATTTACATTATTTAATTAATTTAAAGTAGTCTATGATAATAGAGACTCAGTCATTTGCATGAACTCTACGACTACTTACTCCGACATCTCTTCATGTATAAATACCTAGAGAATGAAGAGCTAGAAAACGAGATATATATATTTTTGAATAATAAACCTATACAAGTTCTAATCGACTTCTTTGTTTTTATCTTCTCTCTTACATCACAACACTAGGGTCAGCACAAGTTGATGCAACTGCTGGATGTCCAGGTTAGTTGCCATTTTTGACGGATGGATGATTGTTTTGAATGGATGGATGATTTTTTAGACGGATGCACTAACGGATGGATAGGATGCAGTATTAAATTTTTTGTCTCTATAATTAAATTTGATTGGTCAAAACCAAAAAAGTGCTTCCTTGGCTCAGGTTAAAGATTATATTTTATTAATAAACAATTTTATGGGCTACTCTATGGAGCATAATGCCGAATTGTATGAGCAGTTTTTACAAAAGAGAAAAAGGAGAGAGAGCGAAAAAACCTGACAGAAAGCAGACAACAGGAAAAAAAAGTAGAAGAGAAAAGAAACAGAGACAGAAAGAGTATTGTAGATTTGCATGATTCCAAAGGCATGACCAACGGTTGGGAACTTTGATAATCACTTACCACCGTGGCAGCGCAGAGGAAAGGCATGACAAAAATAGTTCGTCTATGACGAGACCAGAGGAGGGAGCCAACGATCACCAGGATCTTGATCAGGGCGGATATTTGCAAGAGGATGTACAAGTACATCAATTGCATACAGTAACTGAAGCAGCGCCGACCAAAAAGGAGGAGGACCAGAGGAAGCCTTAGTTGGCAGTTGATTCAGAGCATAATCAAGACGATGAACACCAGCAGGAGCAATAGGTAGTGCATCCCATAATGCTGGGTCAAGCGCCTGACATGACAAAAAGTGTTCACGGGAGACAAAAGCACCAGAGAGACAAGGACATTCTTCACGCATATTCGCAAAGCGACCAAGACGCCAACGCACCAAGCGACTACGAGAAGTACGAAGCATGGGCAGGTAAAGAATTGAATCCGGCTTAGACGTACAAGGACGACAAGCACGGAGAAGGACGGAACGACCACGAGCCGCATTTCGCACCATCTGGCGGTCAAATTGGCTTTGCCATTGTCGTCTAAAGTGAGTGCGAAGCTCAGCATTAGAGACAGGCTGTGGGTCCGGTAGTGAACGGTACAAGACATTCTGTTGAAGAAGCTTGACCAGGCGAGGGTACCGTAGTTGATCACGCAAAAGCACTATCAAGCAGTCATCAGGGAGGTATTGTACACGCAAAGCGAATTTGGTGACAAGGATGTTGTACCTATGATTCATGGCAGGAAGACAGGTGAGGTGTTTTGCAACTTGAAACCAAGAGCCACCAACAAACATACGGACCAGGCGATTCTGCAGATCATCTAGGTGTGTCATGTCTGCCGAAGCAAGACGGGATATAGCCAAACCATACTCTATCTTGGGACGAATAAAGCAGGCATACAGCCGAGAGGACAAAAGAAGGGAGAAACCATTGCGGTGAACACCGACAGAGGTTAGCAGAGCCATGGTCTTGATGGCCTTAGCAGATCTCAAAGAGATGATGCCAGGTCCATGGATGCCTTTTTCTCGAAAGGGTACACCAAGATAGATGAACTCGTCCACGAGGGGCAGAGATTCGCCATACAATGTCAATCGAGGGCCATCACAAGGTGAGTTTAGAACTGCACACTTGGCCGGACTCCAACGATATCCAAGGGAGCAAGAATGCTCAGCAGCAAGGTTCAACATATGCTGGACTTGACTACGAGAGCCGAAGATCGCAACATCATCCGCAAAAAGAAGACAACTCAGAGGAATTGCATCAGACATACCAGGAGGACATACCAAAGTAGTACCAGCCGTAGCAGCAGAACGAAGGAGAGAAGGAAGAGAGTTGATGTACAAAGAGTACAAGTGCGGAGAGAGAACAGAACCTTGCAGAACACCCGTGACAGGCTGAAAGGGAGTAGAAGAGTGGTTGGCTATCAGCACAGATACTTGTACGTCGTCAAACAAGTTGACTAGTAAAGCAAGCACAGGCCGAGGTAGAGAGGAGCGAGCCAGTACATCCCAGATGACACGTCTGTCGACAGTATCATAAGCAGCCTTGATGTCAAGAAAAGCAACAACAGGACGGCGATGGTTGGTTAGAAAGTAATCATGCATCAAGTCATGCAAGCATAGAGCTTGATCCAGAGGACTACGTTGAGGACGGAAACCACCTTGCGCAATGTCCAGTGTAGGCGAGTGTTCATGAAGACAATCAGCTATTGTAAACTCAAAGAGCTTACGCATGACTGATGTCAACGAAATCGATCGATAGTTGGACGGATCAGAGGGATCACCTTTTTTGTGTATCGGGTATACATTAGCAAGACGCCAGAGAGAAGGAGTATAAGCCCATTGATAACACAGGGAGAACAGGAGAGACAAAAGCGGGGCAAGGTCCTTGGTCACGGCCTTCAGCATTTCTGCTTTCAGGTGATCGCTTCCAGGTGCCTTCCGAAGAGGTAAACGCTTGATGTGATCCATGATCGTGTCTGCTGAGAACATATCCAATTGGTGGCAAGACAAAAGGAACCAAACTATCACAGGAAAGTGGTGGGGGTGGACGAGATTCTGACGGAGGCAACAGAGAGCCGGCATAGACCGAAGTCAAGTGAGTAGCCATAGCATCTACTGAAGCTTTAGGACCATCTTTGTGAGCATAAGTACCGGAACAATCACGTCTTCTTTTCATACGAGAGAGGGTGCCAGTGGCTTTAGAAAAGTCTTGTTCCAACTGAGCACAGAAGTTCTTCCAAGAGAGACGCTTAGCTTTAGCAACAAGACGACGAAAGTGACGATGTGCATCATGATGCAACGACCACCAGTAAGCTTTGTCAACACCAGAGGCATGACGCCACCTACTATAACAGCGATCGCGTTCTCGAGCTGCTGATTCGATATCAGGAGTCCAGTACTTCTTCCACCATTTTTCAGACCGATGTTATCTTGCACCAACCGACCCATCCAAAGCCTGCTTCCTTGGCTCAGTCGGTAGAGCGTCAGTCTCATAATCTGAAGGTCGCCAGTTCGATCCTGGCAGGGAGCATCAAATCATTAACCTTTGATTGCCCAATCTGATCATTGGAATGTTTGATTACTTTTTTGTGAATCATCAGAAACGTTTTTTTTTTTTTTTTCTCTTTTCTTTGTTTTCTGGAGACAAGACAATGTTATAGGGCAAAGGTAGAGATCACAAGAACTTGTGGATATAAGAATAATAAATATAACATACAATGATCAAATGTAATGCAAGATCAAGGGACCCAATTAGACAAATGATATAATAATAGTCTAGTTTAGAATAAAAGACAGTACATGTAAGGTACGGTTGTGAGTCTAAGGTAAAAATATGGATGTCTTTATTTAAGTTGAGTTATTCTAGTATTTGTATCTATTCTTAAGTAGTCATGTTGGACTTGCAAAAGTGCAATCATGACAGTCCAAGTACAATACATTTATGGGTCATTGTGAAAATGGTAAGATGTATCAAGCTCTTGCCGACTAAAAGTAAAATGAGCAATATGAAAGCAACGGACAATCAAATGGATGTGATGAACATCAGTTTGAGACGCATTCAAACAGTAAGCAGTTAGTGAATCTACGTTTTTAGATTACATTATACTAACTGTCATCGAAGAAATGATAAAACTATTGCAAAAAGACAGTAAGGCTTTGTACGGATCTTAGAAGATATAGGAGTCCACGTATTTCCTGTCACCGGATAAAGTTTATTGATTGGAATAGGGTATTTTGGGGTGACAAGGAAGGGTTGAAGATGGTCAGATTAACAATTACTCTCTATGGCTTTTTGGTAATATTATTTTGTAAAGTACCTGGAAATATACGTCTTTGTTTATTTACTTGTATTATCATGTCAGATAATCAAACTACCATATACTCTTTGGATAAAATTGTTGAAGCTTTGGTTCCTTCAACCATTCCCGGTGTTTACAAGCTTCCATTGAATACGCCTATTCATCTTGCATTCCATGAATGGGGAGCAGGTCTTGTTCGTGTTAGTGAGCTTTGCGCTTGCAAATGGATCGAAAAAGAAGATTCAGAGATTTGCATTTTGGAAAGACTCGAAATTGCCTAGGGCTCAGAAGCATTCCTCTTTCGGAACTTTAAGTCTTAGTCAAAAGGATACAAAGGAGGTTGGCTGTCAGGCTACTTTAAATAGCCTTCAGTATATGAACAATCGTGCTGTTGACGAAATCAAGCTTTTGACTAAACATACAATACATGTTCCAGGAAAAGAGGACGACATTCGTACCTTGCCTCTGACAAGAGAAACTGTTTCAATTATTGAGCAGAGCTTAAAAAATGGCATTATCAGCAGAAATGTCAGAACTGCTATATTACGTCAAGTTGATGAGTGGAGCAATGGTATACGAAAGCCCAATATTGATGCTGTTTACAACCATTTAAGAAAGGTGTGTTTTATAAAACAATTAATAAGTTGATCCAGTAAACATTGTCGCTTGACTAGATGAAAGAAAAGTTGTATCTGTTGTGATGTAAGAGAGAAGATAAAAACAAAGAAGTCGATTAGAACTTGTATAGGTTTATTATTCAAAAATATATATATCTCGTTTTCTAGCTCTTCATTCTCTAGGTATTTATACATGAAGAGATGTCGGAGTAAGTAGTCGTAGAGTTCATGCAAATGACTGAGTCTCTATTATCATAGACTACTTTAAATTAATTAAATAATGTAAATTATAGGTTTCGGTTATGAGTCTTGATCTATTAAAAGATAATTTGTCTTATTCAGTACAAGAGGTTCTTTTATGTCTATTTCTGATGTAAATTGATTATGATGTATTTTAGTATGTAATTGAAGACTTATTTAATGTCAGATCATCATATGCATATAGATTCTATATGTTCACAACAGTATCGCTTCGATAAGGGCGATATAATCTCATTTAGCCATTGGTTAGATGTACGTTTGCCATTTGAAAACTACGTTATTTTCAATAGAAACCTTCAATTTTACAGCAATGCTGCTAATTCCTTTGCTCGTGACTTTCAGTCCACATCTCAAACTGAGCAAATGTCGCTTGACACTTCTTTCTATTTAGATGCCACTCATGGCAATTCAAAGAGAAACAGCGAGTCTTGTATAGCCTTGTTATAAAAGACGCTTCGACTGGAAAAGGCTATCATTTGGAATTCATGGGCACATATAATCAAACTGTAGGCACATTAAATCAATGGCTACGTTTTCTTCGAAGCAAAGGCTACTTCAATTCAAAAGCAATCATTATTGACTGCTGCGTAGCAGAATTAAATACCACTAGAGCTTCTTCCCCTGAAGCACAAGTACACTACTGTGGCTTTCACGTATTGAGAGATTAGAAAAAGGCTATGTATAGTAAAGTTAGCCTTACAGCAAACCACACGAAGGAACTCTTGATCGAAGACGATCGTGACACTTTTGACGCTCTCGTTAAAAACGCTTGTTTCCTGGTCAGAGCAGAATTGACGGATTTCTTTTTTGGCCTACCTTATTAGACAGTGGCTACAAATAGAGGAGAAAATTAGCCGCTGGTGTAGGCCAGCTGTGCCTGAAGACGACAGAGGCATGTTGACCAGTAACTACATCGTATCCTGTCACAACCATTTGAAGACGGTCTACTTCTCAAGAAGAAAGGTCAACCGTATTGATCAGTTAGTTTTCATTTTGGCCAACGATGTGAAGTTCTACTTCACCGAGGAAAGAGAATGAATCTTGTTGAACAATAGTCAAATGCGCCCTCGAGAAAACCAGCAGGCAAAGCGTGCCTATACTGCGGATCAAGTTCCTGCCGAATAATTAGCTAATCTCATCAAGTATTCTGTTGAGCAAGGTACTGATGGCAGCAATGTAGGCGGTGAATGGCATGTACACACCTTGACTTTGATCGAGAGAGAACACATGGTTGTAGTAGAGTCAGACTGTATTATAAGCTGCAGTTGTCCTGACTTTACAAGACATCACTTTCCTTGCAAGCATATGTATCTCTCGAAGAGATACACTTCTGTTCGTTTGTTGTATGACGATTAAAGAAATGCAAGAGTTTTGGATCCGAACAGAAACAGCAGAAGTATTACACAAGTAGATGTAGATGGTATTGGCATATCACTCAAAACTCAATCGAGCCTTATAAGCTAATCCTATTTTTTGTAGAATATAAAGAAGTAGATGTCGATGTTAACAATGAAGAGCCCATGGACACTGTTGATCAGCTGCGTCAGCAGTTCCAGTTTGATGATAGCGGTTTGGACTTCTTTGGTGCCCAAGACGACATCGAAGCTGAAAAAGATGTAGATGAAACTCAAGAAGAAGAACAGAGACTACGTGACTATAGAAATAGTCTCATTGATCTCAATTCTTCTAGAATAAGGACTCTTTATGATCAAAGACGCGATCTTGAAACGTCAAAGAGATCAAATGTCATGACCGAAGAAGAATTCAATGAGATCGCTTCAGTAGTCGAATTGGCAATTACAAGAATTGACAGTGTTGTTAATAGACATCCAAGTCTATTTAAGGTCTCCTTTTTAACATAAAATAAAATACACTCATGCTAAATGGAGATTCATCAGGCCGCAAAAAAGCCATGAAATTTATGCATTCTGAAAAATAAAAGCTTCTGTTCCTCACAAACGAATTAGAAGATGTTCACTCCCAACAACTCAACTAGCCGTCGCTCTTACCAAGAGCTTGAAGAAGAAAAAATACTGGGGCGTTTATTATCTCAACAAAGTGCGTCTTTCTCAAAATGTGATCAGTTCCACCGTTGATCTGTCTAGATCGACTGTACAAACAATTATCAAACGAATCAAGAAAACTGGTTCACCTTTACCAGGAACAGCACCAGGCCCAAAGCCCAAGATAACTAAGAAGGGTTTAGCTCTTTTAAAGTTGATGATCTTGAGGGATCCATTCCTTACCATTGACAAGGTAAAAATGGAATGAAAGGCTCAAGGAGTCGAGGTGAGTCATCTAACTGTTATTCATTATTTGATCAGTTGGGTTTCCGTTCTTATTACGCTGCTCATAAGCTAGCTCTAAGTGAGGGAAACAAGAAGACTCACCTACAATGAACCAAGGGTCATGTCAATTGGACTGAAGACCAGTGGAGAAGCATGATCTGGTCGGATGAGTCTCGCTACTCTGTAAAGGGCAACGATAGCGGCATCCGAGTGCTTAGAGAGGTTGGTGAGAAGTATAAGGATGCCAACATTATCCCTACTACCAAGTGGGGTAAGGGTAGTGTGATGATTTGGAGCTGTTTTTGGTCTAGTGATGTTGACCCTCTCATGGCCTTGGAAGGCCCTGATCAATAAATCAAAGCTAGAAGATTAATCCAAACTTGGCATGTGTTCTTGACACAATCGCAGCTTTGTAAGTGGTAATATTCATTGGAAAAAGAACTAAAGCTTGGTATGGGGTCTTGGAACTCACCTCTTTTGATATGAAAAAATCTGAAGTGCATGTACAAGCCAGTGTCGTTCATGGTCTTATCAAAGCCATATACAAGGCTGATGCTCACCATTCTCCTCACTGTAGAAACATTAAGAGCAATCATGGCAATACAAGACCAGATTACCTTGTAAATGTATGGCAAAATAGGGTGTACAAGTACCCTCAATGGCTTTGGTGAGTACAGAACTGGTTCTGCATATGACAAGAATGTGAATTGAGGCCTGTACAAGATTACCTTGTATTCAAAGATGGGTATAGATGAAAAGAATCTGAAGTCTATACTTTTCTTCTTTTTGATAAAGGCATTAAAGTCATTTTCTTTGTCATGTTGAGAGTCTGTGGGATTTAGTCTTTTTGCGAATGTTTGAGAAATTACTATTCCTACAACAATTACCAGATTCAAAGATATCAATAATTCCTTTGACGATATGGGCAATGTAAGACGAATTTACAAATATTACTGTCATAAAATTGAACAAAATCAACCTGTCCCAACATTGCCATGATCTGCCATTGATGACTTAACTAAAACAAACAAAGAAAGCTAAGCAATCCTACAGTTAATAAAAATATGTATTAATATATTAAGAAAAACCACATAAAGAGCCCCTACTGCCGCTGAATTCACGGCGCAATCTTTAAATGTGTAGGAGTTTATGCTTTTTTTTTCTTTTTCTTTTTCTTTTTCTTTAAATCATGTCTGTCATTTACTATAAGCTTCGTTCAGCCAAGGATTCAGATTACGATGTATTTACATTTGATGGGCCAGGAGCCACAGTTTTTGATTTAAAACGCGAGATCATCAGAGCAAAGAAATTTGGAAAAGGGACAGACTTTGATCTTGCTGTTTACAATGCTCAAACCGACGAAGGTATGTTCAAATGAAAGGATCGTAAAAACTAACAAACTATAGAATACAAGGACGACATGTTTGTGGTGCCAAGAAACACATCTGTGATTGTACGTCGACTACCAGCAGCAAGACCAGGCAAAGGAACAGCACAACGATATGTTTTAGGTGTATTACCGACCGATGGAAAAGGTGTCGTTAAAGGTGTGCCGAGTACAGGTGGCCCAACTGGTGCAGCTAGTGGAGGAGGACCTATAGGTGGCAGAAATATGGTACTGAACGCTCAAAGACAGCAGCCAAAGCCTTCTTTTTCGCAAAACATTGATGGCTCAACAGAAGAAACAAATGCACCTCATGACGATTCCGAAGAAGCACGTATTCAAGCCATGTTCCAACAAACAACAGATTCATGGGGCGCCATGCAAGAGAGATTGGCTGAGTAAAGCAGACATAAAATAGCATGCTGAATACTTACGTTTATTTAGACAACAGTATATTCCATATAACAACCGTGGTGGAGACAATAGACGTGGTAGAGGAGGACATCAAGCAGGTACGAGCGGCGCAACGCATGCAGGCACCGGTAACAGAGAGGATGCACAGCAACCGCAAATGCCACAAAGAGTGCCACCACCAACCTATGTTTGCTATCGGTGTGGACAAAAGGGTCATTATATCAACCAATGTCCTACTAATGGCGATAAAGATTATGACAAACATCCTAGAATAAAGCGTACAACAGGTATTCCACGTAGCTTCCTTAAAGTAATTGAAGAACCCAAGAATGCAGTCAAGGCAGGTACAGGTGGTCTGATGGTAACACCTAAAGGTGACATTGTTGTTGCACAAGCAGACTCGACCTCTTGGGATAAGCATGTCCAAAAGGCAGCTACGACTATTGGGTTGGGTGTATCTTCTGCAGGTGATTTAATGGACTGGTATGAATCTATTCCTGTACCCAAGCATTTTGCATGCCCTATCTGTCAGGGTCTAATAAGAGAAGCCACTATTACGCCTTGTTGTGGTGCTAGTTTCTGTGATGAATGTATTCGTGCTCATCTTATGGATCATGATTTTAGTTGTCAAGACTGTCAACAGTCTATTCAAAATGGCCTTGATGGCCTTATTCCTAATATTGATGTAAGGGAATCCATTGATAACTATGTAAGAAACTATGTTCATAACAACTACAAAGAATAATAATAATAATAATAATAATAATAAAAAGACAGTTTATTGATCCTCTTCCTCTTCCTCTTCTTCACTCTGGTAATCAGGATTCATGGCTGTTTCAGGCAACCCCAAGCCAAACGTATTTGTTCTTGACCAAGGAGCAGTACACGCAGGACATACAGGGTTAGTAGCATTCTTGAATTGACTCTCTGCACAGTATTTGTGAATACGTACATTACAATTCGTGTTTGTACAACATTCACCCATAGTGACTACATCTAAACAGAAAGTGCATTCTTTCATGGCTTCACCATATTGTTCACGAAGATAGCCTTGCAGCTCAGCAATACCACGGGTATCAATATAGTATACGCCTTTTTCTAATTCAAAAGCAAGCCATTTTTCTTTGACCAATTGATCCAATACTTCTTGAGCTTCTTTGCTAGTTAGATTGGTAGGTGTGATCTTGCTTGCTAATCGAATAGCTGTCATGGACTTGATCGCAAAGTTTTCGTCTTCTGCATTGACTATTTTGTTGAGCTATGTGATCATTTTAGTTGTTTTGTGTTAATCAGTGGTGAGATCTTACTAACTCACGAATATAAGCAAGTTCTTTAGGTGAAAATGTAGTTGCGATCTCTGTCATTGGATCTTGCTTCAGATTGATATAACTCAAGAATGCTTCTCCAGTGCGTTCATCATGAGAAATACGGAGTGAAAAGTCAAGTTCTTCTAGTTCTTTATTAATGGCAGCAATAAACAATGGGTAGTCTGTTTCTGAACCCACTATTATCAAATGAGTGATTGTTCGTATTGTTCTATATTGCTTTACCTTGTGTAACTTGCCCTACTCTCTCATACAGTCTATGTGCCTCTGATTCAGTGATAATTCGCTTAGACAACATGGCTTGTATAAACAAACGGTGTGAATCATTATAGTTTTGATTAGCCATTTAGTAAACACGAAAAAAGACTTTTTTATTATTATTATTATTATTACGATGGATTCAGATTCAGATTAAACAAAGGAATTTAAAAGATCTTCAGGCGTATTGGACTGTTGCCAATCTAAACAATCAACCAAGAATGGACTCCAAGTGTTATTTTTAACTGGCTCATAATGAGTTGTTTGTAAATAATGATTTACAGGTTCTGGTGTAGCAGAAGGTGAGATGGTTAAATCCCGCACAAAGCAGTCAGGTACAATCACTAATTTAGAGGCTAACTCGGGTGCCTGAGATACAAGCTCCAACAAGGATTGTCGAAGGTGATCATGAGAACCTTGTAAGGCATGTGAAATAGACTCAGGATGGCTTGCTTGTTGATTTTCTGTAAAGTCATTGCATCGCACCCATTCAGATTCACCTTGTGAACGCATACTGAAAGAGACAGATTGGACACCAATCTCCAATTGTCCTATGTCTAACTGGATTTGGCCTAAGCGAATATGTCGAATTTGGTCATAATCAATCTCGATACGAAACTGATGACCAGCATCTTGAACTTGCCAGATCAACTGACGTGAGCAAGGATCACTATAGCAGTAAAGATCCCATTCATGAAGGTTGAGCTGCCTTGCAAATCTCGCCCATGTACCAATACGAATATTTTGGACAGCAAAAGAAACAAACGATTTAGGATGACTGGGTTGTGGTGGATTATCTAAGAATTTTAAGGAGTGTTAATCAATAGACTAAAATGGAAATGATGTTACTTTGTGATTCAACAATGTGAATGCCTTCCGACATGGCTCTTTTGGTTGGAACAGCAAATGTGACTGAAGATCTTTCAGGTTTTGAGCTTGATCTTGGTCTACGTTTCATTAGAGGGGATTCTTTTTGCGCTAATAATAGTAAGGATTGGGACCTCTTTTGATGAGATTGTGATAAATCCACCCAGCCAGTTCTGACATTAGGCACAAGTGAAGGCGCTCCAGGTGAAAGTGCTTCTAATTTGCGTGCTTTGGCTCTTCTGTTCTGAAACCATATCTGTACTGTTCTTTCAGTCACGCCGAGTTCTTGAGCCAATTGTACACGGGTGGTTGCATCGGGAAGTGTGTTGGTAACAAATGCTTCTTGAAGTACGGCAACTTGACTAGGTTTCAAATGCGTTCTTCTTCTGGTAGTAGCAGAATAGGGTTTGCTCATATTTATGTTCATCATTTTATATGTATATATATATATATATGTGTGTGTGTGTGTGTGTGTTCTCTTTTGAATGTCAAAAACTATGTATAGAATGCGTGGACCAGCACGAAATATAGAGAAGTTTATAAGAAGTGTGTGAGAGAGAGTGAGAGAAAGAAAGAAAGAAAAGAAAGGTGATAATTAATTTTATGCTTTTATAGTAAGCACAATAATGGGAAGAGGAGGCTGAGAAAAAAAAACCCAAAAAAAAGGGAGATTTACTGTATAAAAGTTATAGCTAAGGAGTGGAGAGAGGGAAAGGAAATAAAGTTGATTTTGGAATCGATTTTGATAGACTTTTCTCTCTTTTGTTTTGTTTTATTTGCGTTTCATCATTTCCCTCCTCTTCTCCTTGGCAAAACTTGAATAGTTGAGTTTTAATCTCTGAGTATTATGCAGTTTGTCTTTTTAAAGAAGGAAAAAAGATTAGGGACATGCTAAAATACACACAATAAAAAGAGAAAAAGGATGATGTTTACTTAGATTTCCTTAAACAAACATACATGACATATGCAGCTTGGTAAAAGCCAATATGAAGCAACTTGTCAATAATGCTATTCATTGCTCCATGTTCTTTTAAGCTTAAAGAATTAAACATTCGGTGATATTTCTCTTAGAAAAAGCTATTAATAGCTTTCTGCAAGTATTTCAAAGGCGGCGTCATATCATTTAATAAATGCCATCATTGAAATTAATTACCAACTTCTTGTCCAGTTTTTATAGGCATAAATGGTGCTACCCATTTGAGTGTCACAAACTACGTCTTTACTGTCAAAACCTCGTGTAGAATTAGAATCATCGAGAATAATAGCTTACCGAAGGATTTTATAGACAAAAAGAAGGAGTTTGAATATGCTGATAAAGGTCCTTTTTCACTCTAAGAAGATGAACACATGGACTGGATAAGGCTAAAATGATCTCAAGTACAGACTTGTCAGTAACAAGTAATCATCAAAATTATTTTACAAACACAAGTAGTACAGTCATTGTTTAAAAAGTAACAAACAACTTTACACTTTGAAACAAATGACACATACACACAAGAAGTTGAATGAACCAACACAAATTATTTTCTGCTTATCAAATCAAACTCAATTCTAGGCACCGTGCTTAAAAGTTCTTTCTGATTGGATAGATACTTATTAATCAATCAGGCACACAAGACTAGTGTCGAATCATATCTTTTTTTTAGAAAAAAAAAGACCAGACAATCGGATTTTCCCTGATAGACTATATATAGTTTAACTAGTACTAGAGAGAGAGAGAGAGAGAGAGAGAGAGAGAGAGAGAGAGAGAGAGAGAGAGAGAGAGAGAGAGAGAGAGAGACTGTGATTTATATCGGTAAATAATAAGTTATTAGTGTGTAGTTTATCAGCGACTATCAGTCATTTTTTTTCTATTTTGACAACAATAAGCATAGGATAAGCCTATCAGCAACAAGAAGACAATCAGCTATTCATTCTGTCATATGCAAACGAAATAAGAACTCAGGAGCTCATGGCAATTGTTGGTTTTTTACGACGCTCAGACACCATCGTGTTATTCCTAAAATTGATCGCTGGTCGTACGGAAGAGGTACAAAAGTCTTTAGAACTGGTTTCACCAATCGACATATTTATTTGCACTAATAGCATATAGCAAGAAGACGATAATGAAGGCAACTTTTAAGATTCAGATGTATAAAGTGTAACAAAATAGACTTGGCAGTTTAAAAGCTTGGCCAATACTATGTCTGTTGGATGTATAGTCACAAACTCATCCGAATGCACAGTGTGTCTAAAGAAAAGGGAGAGAAAGAGAAAGAAAGAGAGAACGTGAAAATTGCAGTATTTATATTTGTTCTAAGGATTCGCAGGAATCTTTCTTTTTGTTTGAAATACCATTGACTCTTTATGTTGCACATTACGCGTTTGAGAGTCGTGTTCAATTTCCTCAATTTGTTACAACAGTTGGTTTGATCACATAGAATGTAACTTTAATGATTTCATTGTTACCTGCAACCAACTTACTCTATTTTTTTCTTTATCTCGAGTGCAGTAACGAGAAACTATAAAGCATCTCTATGCATGCAAATAGACAATTAAAAGACTTCTCTCTTTTGCTCTTCTTATTCTTTATACACTATGGTAGATAGTCAGTATCAATAATGGCGTATAATCTAAGCGGAGATCATGTACTGTAACACACTTCTATTTGAATCATTGTTTTATTGCAAGAAGGGGTTGAATTTATCGATTGTCTTGTTTTTGGGTCTAAACAAAATACATTCTATGTTTCGCTTTCTATTTTCTTTATAGTCAAATATACTCAACCCCTGATCTGCTTAACCAAAGACTAAAAAAATCAATAGGAGTAGATGATAATGAAGGAGTTATAAATCTAGACTTACAAAAAGGATGATTGTACAAGGTAAATAAAAAGACCGCTTTGGGAATAACCAAGTTCATCTTCTTTGGCCTTTAGTCCTGTCATTTAAAAAAAAAAAAGATAAAAATAGCTCTATTTTGTTTATTTTTTTTAAGGCTTTTTTCAGTCTTAGATCCCCGTATAAATATAATCACTTTAGATATATTTCTTCTTCTTTTTCTTTTCTTTAATTATACTTTCTTTTTCTCCCCTTTCCTTTCTTCTCCCTCTTTGCTTTCTTTCTTTCTTTTTTATAAGCTCCTATTTCTTATAGACAAGAATTAAAGCGTCTTTTTATTTATTTATTTATTGTCGCTCCTCCTATCAAATAGATTAAACAAAGAAAGAAAGATCGAGACATAAGCAATGTCACCAACTGAACAGCCACAATATGGTTATCAACCACCCGCTGACAACAATTATCATTATAATACCGGTGCCTCTACAACGTCGATTGGACGTCGTCCTACAACATTAGGAAGAGCACCTACTCGTCGTATTGTACCTGGCGCCAACTCAATTGCCAATGCAAGCCACAACATCCAACGAGGTCGTACACTGATTCGTCCTGATCGCTACCAAGAACCTGCACCACTCTTAACAGGTAAACCTACCACAAGTCAAAGTGTATTTGATCCATGGGTATTATTCTCTCGTATCGTCACATTTTGGGCATTGCCTCCTATGTTGAGGGCTTTCAAGATGCCTGATGCTGGTATGCAACAAGCTTGGAGAGAAAAGATTACCTTGTGTTTCATTATTGCCTGTATGGGTGGGTTTGTGGCGTTTATCACTGTCGGCCTCAACTCTACTCTATGTCCTTCAGATCAATCTAATAATCAGCAAAATTATGCTTCTTATAACGATACGATTAATTCTCGTAAGTTAAAAAAAAAGATTAGGGTTTCTAAATTAACTCCTTTAAAATAGCCAATTTAGTGGGTGTTTTAGGTTGGCAATTTGATGTAACCAATGCTACTTCTACGGGTGGACTCGATTTTGCCAGTCTAGCTCAAGTGCCTGGTACAGACATCACACACTATTTTACACATGGTACAAGTCTTTCTGAATGTACTAATCCCGGTAACACAGCCACTGCTGGCTATCTTGCTGTTACCTATAATCCTTGTTCTGCTGATAATGGCTTTAATGGCTGCAGTTATGGCGAAGCCACCACAGCCTACCTTCAACAAACCTATGGACTTGTCAATTCTTCTCGCCAGGTTGGTTTTGATTGGAATCAATTCGCTCAGTTCAACTTGACAAATTATTTTGTGATTGATGGCAATGTACTCAATATGGATCCTTATATCAATGCTTATCCTACAGCCAACCCTTCTGATGAATTGGATATTTTGATCCGTGGTATCCTCAACAACACATTTGCTGAAGGTGGACGTGATGGCACAAAGATGTTTTTCAGAAAGGCTGAATTCAAAGCAGCCGTCAATTGTCTTGTTCAGAAATACAGAGCAGGTCATATCGATAAAAAGACAACAGGCTGTTTCGTCTCTAGTATTGTGTTGGTTTGTTCATTGGCTGTGGTGTTGGCTATTGTCTTGGCACGCTTCTTTATGGCCTTGATTTTCTCTTGGTTCATCTCTCGTAAATTGTCACGTACACCTCCTCCTGCACCTCGATCTGCTGCTGCGAATACAGGCACGATGGGAAGTCAGACCATGGAAATGTCTAACTTTAACAACAATGACATGTTTCCAAGAGCTGATTCAGCAACCACGGTCAATGCTGTTGCTGCTGCTGGCGCAGGCGCAGCTGTGAAACGCGTTGAAGTAGGAAATGATTTGTTCACTGTGATGTTGATTACTTGTTATTCCGAAAATACTGAAGGCATCAGAGCCACCGTCGAGTCACTTTCCGCCACGGACTATCCTGACGACCGCAAGTTGCTGTTCTTGATTGCAGATGGTATTATTACTGGTCATGGTGAGACTATGTCTACGCCTGATATGTGTTTGTCTTTGATTACATTTGATGAAAGTAACCCAAGTGCAAAAGACCCTGAGGCCATGCCTTATATTGCTGTTGCTGTTGGCGCCAAACAATTCAACTGTGCGAAAGTGTATGCTGGTCATTATGGTAAGTGGGTTTCCTCAGCCATTATTTATTTATTTGTGGTTTTTGTTTTAGTTTGTAAAGGCCACAAGGTTCCTATGATTCTTGTTGTAAAATGCGGTAATCCTGATGAACAAGGAAAGCCTAAGCCTGGTAATCGTGGTAAACGTGACTCTCAACTTATTTTGATGAACTTCTTCAGCAGAGTCACTTACAATGACCGTATGACTCCACTTGATTATGATTTGTTTAGAAAGATTCAATGGCTAATGGGTGTTACGCCTGATTACTTTGAACTGTGTCTCATGGTGGATGCCGATACCAAAGTCTATCAAACATCTATGCGACTATTAGTGAACTGTATGGTCAATGATAACTTGATTATGGGTCTCTGTGGTGAAACAAAGATTGCTAATAAGCGTGATTCTTGGGTTACTGCTATTCAAGTGTATGAATACTTTATTTCCCATCATTTAGCTAAAGGGTTTGAAGCTGTGTTTGGTGGTGTTACTTGTTTACCTGGTTGTTTCTGTATGTACCGTCTCAAAGCTCGTAAGGGTGATGGTGATTGGGTGCCTATTATCACAAAGCCCGAAATTGTTCAAGAATACTCATCCAATACCATTGATACCTTGCACCAAAAAAACTTGCTGTTACTTGGTGAAGATCGTTTCTTGACGACGCTTATGCTTCGTAACTTTCCCTTCCGTAAAATGGTCTTTACACCTCAAGCTATCTGTAAGACCATTGTGCCTGATGAATTCAAAGTGTTGCTCTCTCAACGTCGTCGTTGGATTAACTCTACTATCCACAACTTGTTTGAACTTGTCCTTGTCCGTAACCTCTGTGGTACTTTCTGTTTCTCTATGCAGTTTGTTGTCATGATGGATCTGGTCGGTACGCTCACTTTACCTGTGGCTATTGTCTTGACTGTGGTGCTTATTATCAACATGGCCAGATCGACTATTGATAGTTTCAGTGCTGCTATTCCGTTGATTTTGTTGATCATTGTCTTGTTTTCGCCTGCGTTCTTGATCTTGATTACCACACGTAAATGGGTCTATTTGATGTGGATGTTTGTTTATTTGTGCGCTTTGCCCATTTGGAACTTTGTCTTGCCTGTCTATTCTTTCTGGCACTTTGATGATTTCTCTTGGGGTGAAACTCGTAAAGTAGAAGGTGAGACCAAGGACGATCATTCAAAGAAAGACGGTGTGTTTGATCCATCCAAAGTACCTCTGAAACGATGGGAAGACTATGAACGTAAGCGCGTTCGAACCAATAAACGTCGTGAGCGTAAAGAAAGACAAATGCGTGAAATGGGCGCTACTCATTTAACACACGGCATGATGAATGGCGAAGAAGACGAGTCAAAACGCGGACTACTAGTGAGCCCTGCTGATGACGATGATGCTACTTCTCATATATCTTATCAAACAGATATGTCAAACAATCCGGCTCATTACTTTGATCCCTCTAAAGAAGCACCTGCCAAAGCAGGTTCCGGCTATTACCCAACCTATAGACCTCAATCCATGGCACCTCCTAGAAGTAATATACCATTGCAACCTACCCCTACTGCACCTGGTCCATGGGGCCCTCAACAACAAAATTATGCCAATACACAGCCTACATCTCCTTCTTCACCACATCAAATGAGTCCTCAAGGTCAATATGTTAATACTCGACCTAATCCTACAAACAATCAACAAGGTCCTTATGGGTTTTAATCTATATTGAACTTTTCTTTCTTCTTTTTTTTGTGTATCTTTAGTCTTGAGCATTTTATATCATTTACACATACACATACACACACATACATATATATATATACATATATATACATACACAATATACACACCCACTTTTTATATATATATTAAAAAAAATAAAACTCCTCTTTTTTTTTTAGGTATTCATACATGTGTCTTGAACAAACAATGCACTAATTTCTTCTAAAGATCTACCAGAAGTCTAGATTTATGCAATTAATATTCATTCATCTTCAAGTTCCCTCTATTTTACCTCGGGTAAGTAGCAATAAATACCAACCCATAATATAGCAGAAATACATGCATAAAGCCAAAATGCACCTGCTGTTGAAAGAGCATTGGTCATTGTCAAAAACGTAGAAGCAACCATCAAATTACAGATCCAATTGGTAGCTGTAGCAACCCCATTTGCTTTGCCACGAACAGATAGTGTAAACAGCTCGCTTTGAATGATCCAAGGAACATATCCTAGACCTAATGCATAGCTTGCTACATAGGCTGTTAAAGAGGCCAGGAGTAAAATGGTGATTGGACCATCCATAGGTCTTTGAGGACACATGGCCATGGACTCAACAGAGTCTTTGCTGACACAGGATTGAAGGATAGACCAGCCACAACGATCGTCCAACAAGCAACGGGTGCAATGAAGATAGTCTTCACAGTTGGGTTGTTTGGACACCAGGCCTTGTTGTTGAACAGCAAAGGATCCACCTAACACAACCAAACTTGCTATCATGAAGACCATCGTCCATAGTAAAATACGACGACGGCCTGTCTTTTCAATCAAGTGAACAGCAAGAATAGTAAACAGCATATTTGTTAATGCTACAATCAGGGCCACGACAGTTGAGTTTTGACGAAAACCTGCCATATGAAGAATAGTAGCAGCATAATACATGGCTGTATTGAACCCAGACAGTTGTTGAGCAGCCTGTAATAAGCAAGCTAACAAACAAACATGGTCAATGAGACATGCATAAGGGGTGAACATGTTTACCAATCAATAAAGGCTTTAGGTTCTGATGCTTGAAGAAGAGATCATGATAGGTGCCTTGACCACTCAAATCGTCTTGAATTGTTTTAATTTCATTGTTAAGGAACTCATCTGATACATAAGGACCATAAATCTTTCTTAGTGTGTGCTTAGCAGCCACTACATCACGGCAAGCTATATTACGGCGAGGGCTTTCAGGCAAAAAAGGCATGAAGCCTAATTGAAAAAGAGCAGGAATAGCACCTAGTCCAAACATGTATCGCCATCCACTCTTTTTGTCAGCATAGACAATATTCACTAGATAAGCAATGACCTGTCCAAATGTAATCACAAGCGTATTCAACGTGGCCAATTGACCACGAAAACTTTTAGGTGCTACTTCACTAATATAAACAGGTATAACCATCGAAGCAATACCTACACCAAGGCCAACAACCCATCGACCCAACAACAGTGTGGCATAATGAGTAGCTACTGAAAGCATAACAGAGCCAATAATGAAAATAGAAGCAGCACATAACACTAATGGCTATATCAATTGTGCATGGTTAATTTACTTATATATATATATATATAACCAACCATGTACCTTTCTTCCAAACTGATCTGATAACTATGAGAGCAATAAGCACTTGTCATTGTTCATGGCTCAACTTACCATGCCAGCAACAAGCCCTCCTACAACAGCTCCCATGGTTGTACCACCTACAATCCATTCTTTTTGCTGTGTTGATAAAATAAAATCATGTTGCAATGGCTGTAAAGCACCAGAAATAACTTCACAATTTAAATACTGCAATTCTCACTTTATTTACCTCCTGTATCATAGCCAAACAAGAAACCACCTATGCACACACAAAACACTAGGAAATAGACATAGCTTGTCTTTTGTTCAATATCCAACAAGGTTTCTTGTTCCTGTGCAAGTGGTTCGTAATCTTGGCGTGTCATGAGAATAAAGAAGAAAAAAAAGAGAATAATAATAATAATAATAATAATAAAAAATTTGTCTTGCAGAGTTATTCTTCTGTACACAATGACTCATATAAAAAGAAAAGCAGGGCATTGACTATGTTGTACCAAAAGAACGCAACACAGCTTGGTTTGGTTTTTGATTCATTCTCTAAGGCATAATGAATCTAAAAAAAATGCAGCGTATTTTAATGGCTAAAATAAATATCCGTGCACTCGATATATTATGGTAAAGAAAGCTATCTTGATTCATAAAGAATAGCGCTTAAAGCCTTTTTTTTTTTTTTTTTTTTTTTTTTTTTTTTTTTTGAATAATGTCTAGACTTACAGTTTAGTGTGATGGCATGGCGTGTTGTTGTTCCTGAAAAAAAACTTGAGTTACTATTTAACAAACAGAATTTGACATGAGCGGGTGCTGTATTTATGCTTCCAGGCTAATCTATATACCCTCTCCTTTAAATAGCAGCAGCAATAAAAACTCGTCTTTTTTCGCTTTTGCACTTTATTCATGAAAACAGCAGCCTTTGTCTTTGTTTGCCTATTGCTGTTGATTCGTTGGCTAACAGCCACTTTACCAGGCTATATTCATCCAGATGAGTTTTTTCAGAATCCCGAGATCACAAGCCGAATGATCTTCAAGATCGATTCGTTTATTCCTTGGGAGTATCAACCAGAACATGCCTCGCGTTCTATTGTCTCGCCGTAAGTCTATCTATACTATCTATAACTGCTCTCATACTTTCCACCCAAAAACGATAGTCTTTTGACAACAGGGTTACCATTTTATCTATTGAAAGCGTATTTGCCTGAAAACCAATGTAAAGTAAGAGAAAGAGAGAGTATCGCGTTTTTATTCACTTTCTTATAGTACCTTCTACTATGATGTTGTTCCATACAGAGCGTTTAGGTTCCTTTTTCTGGTCTTTAGGAATAGGTAAGCAGTATCAGGGTTAACATGTCACTTAATTCAATAGATATGTGTGTCTATAGATTATGTAAGCATATGGACATGGACCCGTTTGAACCTATGCTCTTGGTTGCAACCAGTTTGGTTACACTTGCATTTCATACACGTCCCTTCTCTAACTCATTTGAGAGTGTGTTGCTTTGTTTATGCTTAGTGATCTATGCAGACTATGTCAAAAAGGTATATTGACTAAACTGTCTCGCCTATTACTTATCAAATGAAGCCTACCTCAATGCGTGCTTTATGTTTGGGTGGATTATTTAGTTTAGGTGTATTTACTCGTATTACTTTCCCCTTGTATGCTTTCCCTATAGGTGTTGCATTCTTGGTTCAAACATTTAAAAAGTAAACGTATGCTATATGGTACTGATGTACTTATTTTGTCTTAGAAACCAAGGTCGCTTGCAATCTCTCTTTTGCCTCTTGTTAGGTACTTTCTTGTGTGCTGGTGCTTGTATCTTGATAGATTCTGTCTATTATGGCAAGTTGGTATTCACTGTTCATGATATGCCCTTTAGAGATGTATTCCATGTTGTGTCCAGTGTATCTGATCTGACTGCTCTATCAAACATTCGTGCTTATGGCGAGATTGTCATTACTCCTTTAAACAATATCTTGTATAATCTAAATGTTGATAATTTGGCACAACATGGTCTTCATGCTCGTTATACTCATTTGCTGATTAACTTGCCTTTGCTCTTTGGTCCTTTGGCTTTCTTTGGTCTCTTTTGCATGCCAAAAGTATTTAGCAAACTAAAGACAATGAACAACGATTTAGTCTATGGTAAAGTATATATGTATTTCAGAAACACACACACAGATATCTCACACAGTCATTAGTGCTTGTGTCTATGTTCTTTTTAGGCCTTATTGGTCTTTCTATCATGCCGCATCAAGAAGCTCGTTTCTTGTGTCCTCTTTTGGTTCCCTTTGTTTTGATCTATGCTTGGGATCAGTCAACATTTCCCCTCTTGTTTTGGATGGCCTGGATCCTGTTCAATACAGTGACTACATTTGTGTTTAGTTTTGTTCATCAAGGAGGCATGGTACCTGCTCTTGGCTTCATTCAGCGCCATACAACTGGTATTCATGACTGCCATGTACTTCATTCGGGTGACTTGTCTTGTTTTGTTGACTTAAACCAAGCTACTGATCTGAATGGCTTTGATTTAACAACCCATCTTGTGTTCTATAAGACATATATGCCTCCTCGCCATTTACTTGCTTTACCCTTAGAGAACAAAGCACATCATGTCCATATCATTGATTTTGGCAGTGATCATCATGGTCTCGTCTCTGAATTGACTCAAAGACCCGGTATTCCTTTACGTCGTCACTCAAAAGACAAGATTGACATTGATTTTGCTCAAACAAACCAAACACATCAATTTGAAAGGTAGATCAAAAGAGAGAGAGAGAGAGAGAGAGAGAGAGAGAGAGAAAATTGCATTTGACATTTGTATTCAATGACTCGATATAGGACCTTATTGATAACACCTAGTTTTGTCACTGTGCCCAAGATAAAAGACCACCGATACTTGTTAATCCACCGCCTTAGTCCTCATGTTAGTTTTGACGATATAGACACGATGGCACAAGGGGCACAAACATATTCGCCTGAAAGCCAAATGAGTCTGAATGTATATCTCTTGTTGTCTAACCAAGACGACCTATGAAAACTTTATTCTGTGATACACAGCTTTATGCTTTAAATGGCGATAATATGAATCCAATGTATGCTCACAAAATAAACAGCCAAACTTTTTATTCACCATATTAAACAGAAGCTTTTTTCGTAAGATAAACAAAAGTTATTTAGTATTCATTTGATGATAGTGGCGAATATGAGCTTTGAATTGGCTCTTGTTAAGTAAGGTTGTCCGACAACCCTGACAATAATTATCTGTTTGGTTAATACGAGGCAAATAGTCGTAAATGACATAGTCGTGCGTGAATATCTGGTAAGTCTCGTCTGTTTCTGGCTTGTTTGTCTCGTCCTGGTTTCTTGTGTCTGATATATCCTGATCTGATGAGTCATGATGAGCAATTGAGTCCTGCTTCAGATCTTTATCTGATCCATCAACATCTAGTATATTCTGGTCAATAGCTGTATCTAACACTTCTTGTTCATTGGTTGTATCGGGTGTATGTTGAACAGTTGTATCTGAACTATCTTGGCTGGCAGTATTGAGATTGGAATCTTATGAGCTAGTTTTGTTTTTAGAAAGAAAACAACGCCATCGTATGCGATGCCTCTTTTTCAAACGGGCGTGAAAAGTGATGACACTCTTATAAGTGTAATCACATGAACAACAGTAATTGCTGAGATCATACGGATCAGGTTTGATGTTCGGGTTGATTTTAAGAGTATTTCTGTTGATCCAAAGTAGATGCATGCAGCGATTGTATTCACGATAAAAGCCATTGGTTACAAAACTCTTCTTACAGGGCTTGCAATAACTCAAATGATAGTTTTCTAACTCGGCTTGTACATTGAATTCTATAAAGCGTTTAGTGAGTGCTGAATGTATGGATCGCATACCTTCTTTTGAGCTACCAGATCGTGTCTTTTTTATGCTTTCTGTGTTCAATGAAGTATCAAGAAGGACATTACTATTTATTATCAAGAGAAAAAAAAGGTACCTTTGAACTGGAGCATATTTCGAGGAAGAACTTATTGGATCATGAATCCGATTGGCCGAGAAGAGTTGATATATATAAAAAAAACCATTGGAGAAACCCGCTTTTTTTTTTCTTTTTCTTTTTTGAATAACGAGGAGAATAATGGATAATATTGACGATTTCATCCTTTCATTGACAGATAAGCAAGCAGAAGAAGAAAGAGCAAAGCAAGGTCATTCTTCAAGACGTTCAAAAAAGAAGAAATAGTAATGTTTATCTCTTATTTTAACCTTCAACTCATGATGGATAGTGCGTCTGATTCTGATGATGATGTCAATGGCTATTCAGACGAAGACGATATAGGCATCGACGACGATGAAGATATGGAAGATATCGATGAATATGGACCTGATTTATATAAAGACGAAGACGATCGTAAAAGGTAACAAATGACAACGCACGACTTACTCACCTTATGTAGACTCCAAGCACTTCCTGAAGTAGAAAGAGAGCGTATCCTTGCTGAACGTTCAGAAGAAAGACAACGTAATCTGGAACGACTTGAAGTTAGAAAACTATTAAAAGATGGTAGACGAGAAGACGCGACTCGAAGTAAGTTTTGATGTCAATAGCTGTTTTGCTGACAAGTTAGGATCCACGCGTGCCAAGGGCAGTGGTACTGCTAGTGCATTATCGGAACTTACGCGTCGTAGAGAAGAAAAGAACAAGTCTAGAAGTAGACGTCATCGCAGAGAATCACCTAGTCCTGAAAGAAAAAGACGTAGAAGATATGATCAAAGTGATGATGAATACAGTGGTGAAGACTTGGGTGAATCTGAAGATGAAGAAGTCGAGAAAAAGGTGTGTAGATACACACACACACACACACACACACACACAGCATATTGATGCTTTCTATCTTAGGCTAAAAAGAGAACACCTGAATTGGATGAAATTCAGTCTGTGATGGTGTCAAGAAGTATGATTGAGAAATGGATCTTTGCTCCCTTTTTTGAAAACACAGTGATTGGCTGCTTTGTTCGACTCTATATTGGCCCTGATCCTCAAAAGAAAATACCAGTCTATCGATTATGTCAAGTCATTGATGTCGTTCCATGGCACAAGACATACAAAGTAGCCGAGAATGTATGGAGTAATAAGGCACTGAAAGTCAAACACGGTAAAGCAGAAAAGGATTTTACGATGGACATTGTATCCAATCAACCTATTACGCAACAAGAATACACACGTTTCTTGACTACCTTGGAAAGTGACCGTGTTCGTATTCCCACCATGGATCAGATTGAACAAAAAATAGTGGACTTGAAACAAGCAAGAGAATACGTACTGAATGATAAAGAAGTGAATGAGATGATTGAGAAGAAAAAAGCAGTCAAGGGATCTTCTGTCAATATGGCTATGGAAATGGCTCAATTGCTTGCTCGTCTTGAACATGCTAAGGCACACAATGAAGTAGACAAAGTCATCAAATTGACAAAAGACTTGCGTGATCTGGAAGAGCATGCTTCTAGTATGGAAGGCAGTCAACAGAATGTATGGACAGATATCAACAGTCGAAACAGAGAAAGAGATCGAATAGAAATCCATGAAGCAGAACGCCGTATGACAGAAGCAAGAAGAAAAGCACTATTGGAAAGCACAAGAGCAGCACAAGCACAAGCACCTTCCTCTACTGAGAAAATCAGTCACCAAGCGTAAGTAATCATGTCTATTGATTGATATACTCATCTTAGCAGTACTGTGGATTCTTCCTTGATGCCCTTGGAATCGACAAGTGATAAGCCACTTGCCAAAGTAGCTACTTTAAGCAAAGCAGCTTTACATGTAGGAGCAGCTACTTCACATCAAACTGAATATGAGAGACTTGTGAGTCGTGTTGCTTCTGAAATACGCATTGAACTTTTAGCAGAAGAATAATAAAAATCACGCGTAACCCTATGTGACTCTGTTGTTTTTCTCTCTTTTTCTCTTGTTTTAAATAGTTGTTCATGGTTTGTAATAAGCTATGAATAGGTTTTCATGCTAACAAACAATAAAGGCGGTTGTAACTCAAGACATCAAGATATCATGTCAAAATAGTGTTATTAAAGGCAATGGAGCCAAATCGAATGAAGGTCATCCATGGAGAAACTGGAAGATCACATTAGTGGCCATGGATGGCGATAAAGAAGTCAAGGGCAAACTGTCTGTCATATTAGATCATGTCGAATACATTCTTCATCCTACTTTTGAAGATCCCAGAAGAGGTAAACCACAGTCAGTTGTTTCAACACGCTCTCATCGTACATTAGTCAAAAAAGAGGAACCCTATGTATTACAAGAAAAGGGTTGGGGTGAATTTGATATGCGTGTTGTGTTGTATTTTGCAGAGAACATTACAGATCCACAAGTACTGTTATTTGATTTGAATTTTGCCATGACTCAGTATTCCATTACACACACTGTCAAGTTTCCGAATGCATCACCCGAATTGATTGAATTACTGGCAAGAGAACCATTGCCTCGAAAGGGAGGTAAAAAACCTATGAGTACTGTCCCTATATCTAAAAAGGTATCTAAAAAGAAACCTGTGAGTCCACAGCCAAAGATAAGCAAGAAACCAAAACCAGAGATCAAAAGAAAACCTTCTCTAGACACAACTATATCGCCACCACTACCATTATTATCACCAAACATTACCATGGCTCGATCACCTTCATTTACAGACCTATCACCGATAGAGAACTCACCCTTAACAGAGGTGCATGAAGACAGAGCTGAGCATGTCTATAAAATGAGTGATGTCTATCATTTAAACTCAGTTCATCATGCTAAAATTGACAAAAGTGTACGAGACAAGTGGGATATACCACAGATCAATATGATGGAATTAGCCAAGAGAATGCATCGTATGACACCAGAACAAACAGAAGAACTACAGAAAATCATTGCTCACCATCGACCTGAACATCTTAGGACAATGATACAAGAAGGTAGCACAGTTTAGTCACGCTTGTCACTTATCTCTCTTTCTTATATAGACACAAATACAGTAGGCATTGATTTGTATTCACTGGGCAAACCACTCTTGGAGAAATTATGGGATTATTTAGCAGACATGGCTTCAGATGATAATGAATCCTTTACTTCACAAGACCATCATCCAAGCGATTTGGAGTTTGGTAGTGATGTTGAATACAATAGTGATGGAGAGATCTTTGATGATAATCGATCTTTATCTGATATGGATGAACCTGGATTTCCTCTGAGTGACTTTGAAAGTGATCAGGAACACAAATTGACCAATGGGCATGTAGAAAACGAATATCAGCATGGATCAGATATGGATGAATAAAGCCTATATATATAAAGAGGGGAGAATACCTTTCTTCTTCTTCTTGTTCTTGTTCTTTGATGCATTGCTTTATTTTACTCTTGTTTGCCTTGTTTTGTACTACTGCTCAGACTATTTCCTTCATTATAGAATACAGGCAAGAAGACTACCTTGTCATTCAACACTATATAAATGCACAACAGTATCAAGTTCATCATATATTTAATTCCACCTTATTGTATGGCATGTCTTTTAGCCTAAAGGACAATAGACAGACTGTATCTCATCCTGCAATACAAAAGATCTATCCAGTCTCGGAAATACCAAGACCACAATGGAGATCAGATAATCAAACTACAACTATTCCCTTTGTCAATAAAGATACACAAATCTATGATGTCTATAGAGAACTCAATATAACAGGCCAAGGTATACTGATAGGTGTTCTTGATTCAGGTAGATTTGCATTCTCTATCATGAATCATTTTTAAGGAGATCATAGGTATCGATTATCATCATACTGCATTTGGGCAGAAAATCAAAGTAGGCAAAAATTTGGTGCCGCCTTCAACTGACTTGAAGTTTGGCTTGACACCATTGGGTGAGGATGATCCATTTGATCCTTGTACGACAGGTGATGCGGGTAAGTTGTCTTTATAGTATATGTTCTGTTTACACGGTGAATAGGCCATGGTACACATGTAGCAGGTATCATTGCTGGCTATGATCCTGAAAAGGCAAGTGTATGGAGAAAGTGGTATATAAATCAATTCTTCTCCTTAGAATTTCAGAGGAATTGCCCCCGATGCAAGTCTGGGAATTTATCGCATATTCAGTTGCGCAGGAGGAGCCACAGAAGATACAGTGATTAAGGCAATGGAAATGGCATACAAAGCTGGTTTGTTAAACACGATGGAGAGAGAAAGAGAGACAGGCGATTCATTGTGCCATAGGATGTAAAATCATCAATCTTAGTTTGGGTGTGGAGAATGGTTGGTCTGAAGATGCAATGGCTGTGGTAGCTGAAAGATTATCCAATGAAGGAGTGATAGGTAAACAAAGATAAAAAAAAAAAAAAAAGAAATGATATATTAAGCCATCGATAGTGATCGGTGTGGCAGGAAATCAAGGGGAAAAAGGTGTGTATTCTCAAAACTCACCTGCTACTGCCAAAGATGTAGTGGCTGCTGCCTCTATTGAAAACTCCTTTTATCTCACAGATGTGATAAATCTCAATATATTTGAAAAGGAGAGTTTCTGTAAGTGTCAACATGCTGTTGGTGTCTATCTATTGATCATGATCTAGTCTATGTCAAGTCTTCAAACACAACGACGTTTCCTGATGGTATTTTAGCACCTGTATTAAACAACCAAACGGCTCTTACTGGCTGCCAAAATGAAAACATCCATAGTCTAGACAACATCAAGGGCAACATCATGTTGGTCCAGCGTGGTCATTGTACGTTTGATGAAAAACTAGCGACAGCAAAAAAAGTAGGTGCGACTGGCCTACTTTATTATGATCCAGATACCAGTGCTCAATCGATTGTGTTTGCAAAGACATCTAATGATTCTCTTCCCTGTGCTGGTATTGAATTCACATTAGCCCAACGTATCATCGAGTATTTTAAGCACAATACAAAGCCTGTGCATGTAGTATTTCCTATGGATCCTCAAGTGATCTTTCCTAATATAGCAGGCCAAATATCCAGATTTTCTAGTACTGGACCTTCTTATGAATTGGAATTAAAGCCTACCATTACTGGTATTGGAGGTGGTGTCTATTCAACCTTACCCTTGCATATCTCTGATGGCTGGGGAATCCGATCAGGTACTTCCATGGCTGCTCCTCATGTCTCAGGCACAGTTGCTTTGTTGATAGATTATTATTCAAAAAGGGGCATGAATGTCACATCGACCTACATTATGGAGCAGTTGCAGAACCATGCCAAAGTGATCAAATCAACCAAGGATATTCCTGAACATCCTGTTATTCAAGGAGCTGGTTTTATACAACGTAAGTTTGATCTTGACATACCATGTCTGATACGTATCTCAATCTAGCATTGGACGCAATTCACAGCAAATTACACGTATCGCCTGCACATATCAGCTTTAATGATACTGCTTCACTGACAGAGTACAAAACACATAGGCTACAACTTACAAATACTTATTCACGGACTATCGCTGTTTCTTTAGACAACATGCCATCGCAATCCATTCAGCCTTATGCTAACCTATCTTCATTTACACCACTTGAACCCGTCATGAGAAACGGAAGTATAACAGTCAATCTGGAGTTCTCAACACCCAAAATAACCATACCTTCTGGATCCACAGCGACAGTGGATGTCAAGGTGATTTTACCGACTGCCTTATCTCATTATCATTATCACATGTATGGCGGCTATATAGCTATAAAGCACAACCTAGATGACTATTCAACAACAGTACCTTATTTTGGTGTGCTGGGTAACATGACGGATTTACCTGTGTTTGATAAAGGATTCCCTTATCTTACATCCTCCACCAATGCAACCATACGTCCTACAGATCCACAAGCCACTTTTCATTATTATCGTTCAACCAAATCAAGACCAACCATTGTTGTGCGACTACTCTCAGGTTGTGCACGACTTGAGGTGAAACTCTATGACGCTAAGCAGCGATCTTTTGTGGGTGATATCACAGGCAGCCCTTGGACCTATAATCAGCGCAATACATTGGCCAATGAGAAATACTCGAGTGCCATTGAATGGGATGGCAAGATTTCAGGCCAAACACATCCTGTGGCGGATGGCACCTATTTTTTCCATATACGTGCATTAAAGCATTTCGGTCATACAGACAACCTGAAACATTGGGAAGAATGGACATCTGCAGCCATTGTAGTAAACAATAAAAAAGAGTTATTTATTATTTAGATCAACACTGAATGCACTGACAATAACAATAAAAAAAACCAAAACAAAACAAAAAAAAACAAGATAGTATCCGAGGCGTTTAATTTAAAATAGGCTTGTTTTCCTTTTCTTTCTCTTTATTTATTTTTGAATGAAACTCTATTTACTTGCGAGTGCTTGGTTATGTGTTTTATCTGGTGTATCTACACAACACAATCCACGACTTGAATCTCTTCTATCCAATCCAAAGTACCGGCCAAATTCATTAGGCAATGTCATACCAGGTCGATTTATTATTGAATTTGAACAAGACTATCAGGGTTCTTCGCTTGAATTTATCAATGATGTAGAATCCTTATTGGATGAACCCAGTATACAAGGTCGAGTTAAGATCCATATGGCGCATGATTTTAATTCACAGCCTGCTATTTTCCGGGGCGTCTCCGTCAGCCTAGAGCAGGATAACGAACGTAGTCTCCGCATCCAGTCTGTTCAAGATTTGGTGGTGCGGAAAATACTAGATCAAAGGCGTGTCAAACATGTCTATCCAGTGACTGAGATTGCTCGACCCAAAGTACAGGTGGCTAACAGTTTTGATGTTTATGCAGCTAACGGGACATTGTTGCCACATGTACCTGAGTTGAACCTTGCTGTGAATGGACCAAGTCTTCCTTTTAGTCATGTCATGGCTCAAGTAGATCAAGTTCAGACACAATTGAAAAACAAAGGTGAAGGGGTCCTCGTTGGCATTATTGATTCTGGTAAAAAAAAAAAAAAGGAAAAGGAAATATGACTTATGTGCAAACAATAGGTATCGATTATCGCCACCCAGCTTTTGGAGGTGGATTTGGTCCTGGATTCCCTGTTCAATATGGTTATGATCTTGTAGGTAATCAGTATAGTTCAAGAGATATTCAATCTAGAAATCAAGGCGAGACTCCTTTAGATGACTGTGAAGATGGAAATGGTAATACAGTGTTGTTGGTCAAGCGCTAACCATATGTATGTAGGACACGGTACACATGTCGCTGGTATCATTGCTGCTAATGATGCCTTGTTTGTAAGTACCCCTTTTGTTTACAGAAACAATCCATCTGATCTCACCTAGAACTTTACTGGTGTTGCTCCCAAAGTAACGTTGGGTGCTTGGAGAGTGTTTGGCTGTAATGGGGCCACATCAAACGATATTGTCATGAAGGCTCTTATTGATGCACATGACGCAGGTAAATAGAGGTTGATAACTTGCATCGGCTCATTTTATCTATAGGCTGTGATGTGATAAATCTTAGTCTGGGAAGTCCAAGTAACTGGGCAGAAGATCCAAGTTCGATCGTTGCCAACAGAATTGCAGAAAAAGGCACATTTGGTAAGAAGCACCATGTATGATGCGGTTATTCATCTGTTGACTGTAGTGATTGCTGCTGCTGGAAATGAAGGTGGCTATGGTGCATTTTATGTAGCAGCACCTGGCTCATTATCCAATGTGGTTGCTGCTGCTTCTGTTGATAACTTGTACAATCTTGAACAAGTCGTGACTACAGAAAATGGCCGAGAATATCGTACGTATAGTACATAACATCAACACACTGATCCAGATATTATTCTCCCCCTAATAGCTTATGTTTTGGCAAGCAACACAAAAGAAGTTGCAGCTGGACAACTCGTTGATTTTGCAGAGAAGGATTCAACAGCATGTGATGGATCAGAACCGGATAAGGATATTGCAGGAAAACTAGTGCTTATCAAAAGAGGCAACTGCACATTTGATGAAAAATCAAATGTGGTTCAAAAATTTGGTGGTATCGGTCTTGTCATTTATGACAATCTAGAAGAAGCTAGCTTCAAGCCTCAAGCGAGTGATACATCACTACCTATCTCAGCTATTCCTCAAAAAGCAGGTGAAGAACTAAAGCAGTACTTTACAAATAGCACACAATTTGTTTCCGAAGGAATACATATTGAGTTTGGAAGGTCACTGACGCCCCAAAGTGTATCCAGTGCTGACAAGATCTCCAAGTTTTCAAGCGTTGGACCTTTATATGACATGACTGTCAAGCCTGATTTTGCAGGACCGGGTGGTTATATCTTTTCGACGCTACCTCTTGTGAATGGTGGTTATGGCGTCTTGTCGGGTACTTCGATGGCTGCGCCTTTTATAGCAGGCGCTTATGCTTTGTTTCTTGAGGCTCATGGTAAAGATAAAAGTCCTTTGTTCTTGAAGGAGCATTTCCAAAATTACGCTCAGCCTGTGATGCAAGGTGATCACTTTGACAATCCAGTTCGTCAAGGTGCAGGACTCATTCAGCGTAAGTCCAAAACTTGACCATGTCTTGTTCTGACATACAATAGTATTTGATTCGATTGGACAATCTGTGCACATTTCTCCAGCCACGATTAGTTTTAATGATACAGTCAATATGAAGCCTGTCTCTTTGACTATCTCTAATCCCTCCAACAGAACGGTATCTTATTCAATAAGTCAGAAAGACAGTGTGTCCATTGCACCTTACAACACTTCGCTTCAAGGATATACACCCTTAGCTCCTGCACCTTACACATCCACACTTGTCAGAGCACAACTTAATTTCTCATCGAGCCGTGTGACACTTGGACCTCGTGAATCAGCCGAATTGCATGTCCAAGTAACTGACATTTTTGGCACATCTGAACAGGAACCTTTTCCTATCTATGGAGGGTTTGTTCAGTTTTTACCAGATGAACATGCCACTGAATTCAAGCCAATCCATGTTCCTTTTATTGGCACCCAGGGCTCATTAGCAGAACTTCCTATTTTTGATGAAAGCTATCCTCATCTGATGGTTACCAATACAACTCGATTCTTTAGACGAATTTTGGACGATGGCACAAGACTAAGTGGGCTTGTGATGGACCGCTCACGAAGAGCATCATCGTTTGTCACTTCAGTTTTCAGGCTCTTGACTGGCACGCCTCAGATGGTCACTGAAGTACTAAATATCAATAAGACGGTAATTGGTACTTTTTCTCACGAAGAGTTCCTTGCAAGAAACACACTTGATGATGATGACTATATCTTCACATCACGTTGGAATGGCACCTTGGTTCCTTTGGCTGATGGTATAATAGATAACTCGGTCGTGCTTGATTCTGGCTATTATTATCTACGATGGAAAGCTCTCAAGCTAATGTCGAATGCTTCTGATCCAAACGGCTGGGAGATAAGAGATTCTTTACCTATTCATATTTTATAAAAAAAAAGAAACTTGGATCATACAGCTGATATCTCATACCTCTTTGTTAAACTATGTTTCTCAAACAGCCTCACATAAATCAATGAACAGCCAGATGCAGCAAAAAAGCATTGTTTAAGCTCGCTAGAAAAGAATGAAATAGATAAATCACATCTTTATTGATTTCATATACTTGATATGTTTCTAATCCTCAACTAGTGTCTTTTTTAAGTGTCAGGTTTATTATTTAGTCTTGATTCATGAACAGACTTACAATTCGTTTTTGAATAAAACTGACAAATGTAATGGTTCCACCAGCAGATTGGTAGCCCGCTGTAAGCGTCAATGTTTTTCGGAATAAACCATCATTTCTGCCTTCTAATTCCCGTTTTTTTGAGTTTCCTATGTTTAAGCACACATAAAAGAACATATTGATGCAAAAATAGAGCAAACTGTGAAAAAGCCAAAAAATCATCATTTGCCCTTAGATACCCTTTACAAATTCTTCATTTTTTACTTTTTTGCGATTGGTGATCGATAAAGACATTATAGACATAACATGACCTATCGCTTTTGTTAATACGCTTTTTTTGATAGCTCTTCGTTTTTAAACACTTTAGTCCATCATTTCTCTTGAATTTCGGATTTTTTTTTGACATGAAAAATTAAAACTCAGATTTTTTTGTAGGAGAACATTACTCCAAGCCTCAAGCATGCCAACTTTGATAAACTAGGACTTAATCAATTTACAGAATCGACTGAGAGACGACTATTTGATTGTTTGAAAGCTTCTTTTTCAATAAAAGCCATCCAAAAGGATTGTACACTAAAAATCAGACTGTTGAATGCTTAAAAGACTAAGAATAAAGCACTTTAATGAATGAGAGAAATAATTCTGATACTGCTGATTGTTTCCTTTTGAAAGAAGCCAATGTCATAGTCTAGATATAAAGTGGTTTTAGTTGTTTGAAAATTGTGGCTATGATATCTCAAGATAAAAGGTCCTCAGGTCAATGTGTTATATCTTTGATTCGAACAGCTGAGAGACAAGAAGCCCTTTAGCTAACTGTTTTCAACAAAATTTAGATCATACAGTTGGACTGTCAAGCTGTCATAGATCTTGATCATATTCAATTCCCGGTCCATCTTTACACAATAAGCATTTTGGTCGTTTTTTTAAAGGCCTATTGCGACTCAGTTTCATCTACCATTTATTTATGCTGAATCGTTTTGATGGATTAAGATGAAAGTCTATGTGCTTTTTTATAACATACATAGGTAGATAACTCTACTCATCTAAGATGAACTTCTTGTATAGAAAATGACGCTAGAAAAAGTAGTTTGTCACTATCAAAAATGACCAACAGCATCATCATTCAAACTATTCGGTGGCTTAAAATTGATATGAGTCAGATTCAGAACCCACATAATTAAAGCAACCAGTTCTTGGTTTCTCTTTTTTTTTTTTCCTTTTTCTATCTCAAATCCTCTTTTTCTAAACTCTGTTTGTACCATGGCTTCTGGTATGTTGTATCATTTGGTTTGATTCTTTAATTAATGAGATTTACAGAAAAGCTTACGATTCTTCTTGTCGGCTCTGGCGGTCGCGAGCACGCTATTGCTTGGAAACTCGCTCAGTCTGAACGAGTCCAACATATTTATGTTGCTCCTGGTAAGCATTGATCTACATAAATCACGTATATCTCTAACAGGTTTTTAAAAGGTAATGGAGGTACTGCCAGTGGAAACAAAATTACCAACGTCAAGATTGGCGTGAGTGATTTTGACAAGTTGGTTGAATTCGCCGTTCAAAATCAGGTATGCATTTGAAAAAAAAAGAAAGAGATGGATCTTGTGACACTAAATAAACAATAGGTCAATCTTGTTGTTCCCGGTCCTGAACAACCTCTTGTAGATGGTATTCAAGGCGTATTTAGAAAAGGTGAGCTTTCATATAATCATAAGTTTAAATACTTATGTTTTATTTAGTTGGTATTCCTTGCTTTGGTCCTTCTCTCAAGGCTGCCCAAATGGAAGGTTCCAAAGCCTTCTCCAAAGATTTCATGAAAAAGCACAACATTCCTACTGCTGCTTACGAGGTAAAACAAAAAATAGCGACATGAAAAAAGTAACTAACATCTACATGTTAGAACTTTACCGATTATGAAAAGGCCAAGGCTTATGTTGAATCAGTTGACCATAAAGTTGTTTTAAAGGTATGATTGAGAAAAAAAAACGGCAACAGATATATTAAGTACATATATGTGATATAGGCTTCTGGTTTAGCTGCTGGTAAAGGTGTTTTGATGCCTGAAAATAAGCAAGAGGCTCTTGAAGGCCTCAAGTCTATCATGGTCGATAAGGAATTCGGTAGCGCTGGTAGCGAAGTTGTAGTTGAAGAATGTCTTGAAGGTCAAGAACTCTCTTTCTTGGCTTTCTCTGATGGCTACACCATCGTTTCTCTCCCTCCCGCTCAAGATCACAAGCGTGCCCAAGATGGTGATTTAGGACCCAACACAGGTGGTATGGGTTGTTATGCCCCTACACCTATTGGTACTCAATCATTGATTGAAGAAGTCAAGCGTACTATTTTGCAACCTACCATCGATGGTATGCGTCGTGATGGTTTCCCCTTTGTCGGTATGCTTTTCACTGGTATCATGTTGACCTCTTCTGGTCCCAAAGTGCTTGAATACAATGTTCGTTTCGGTGACCCTGAAACTGAAGTGGTCTTGCCTCTTTTGAGCGATGATACTGATTTAGCAGAAATTCTATTGGCTTGTGTGGAAGGCCGTCTTGATGCTGTTTCTATCACAACTAAGAAGGCTTTTGGCGCTACTGTTGTTATTGCCTCTGGTGGATACCCTGGAAGCTATGCTAAAGGCAAAGTCATCACACTTCCTCAAGAAAACAAAGGTAAAGAGAAAAAAAAAAAGCAATTCATGAATACATGAATATTCATGACTTTTCTACAGAATTCACCATCTTCCATGCTGGTACTACTATCAAGGATGATCAACTTGTAACTGATGGCGGTCGTGTTCTTACTGTCACTGCTGTTGCTGAAACCTTGCGTGAAGCTGTTGATAAGGCGTATACAGGCGTCAAATCTGTTCAATTTGAGAACATGTATTATCGTAATGATATTGCTCACAGGTAATTGAAGAAAAAAGAGAGAGAAAGGGGAGAAGCTAAAAAGAAGTTAACAGAGCTTTCAAACATGCTGAACAAAATACTGAAAAGAAGGGTCTTTCTTATGCTGATGCTGGTGTCTCTATTGATGCTGGTAACTTGTTAGTTCAAAAAATCAAGCCTCTTGTTAAGTCAACCAAGCGTGTCGGTGCTGACTCTGACATTGGTGGTTTTGGTGGTCTCTTTGATCTCAAGGCTGCTGGATTTAGAGATCCTATTCTCGTATCTGCTACAGATGGTATTGGTACCAAACTCAAGATTGCTCAAGACTGCAACATCCATGATACTGTTGGTATTGATTTGGTTGCCATGAATGTGAATGATTTGATTGTCCAAGGTGCTGAACCTTTATTTTTCCTTGATTACTTTGCTTGTGGTAAGCTTGAAGTGGATGTCGGCAAAGATTTTGTCGCTGGTGTTGTTGAAGGTTGTCTTCAATCTGGCTGTGCTCTTGTAGGCGGTGAAACTGCTGAAATGCCTGGTCTTTATGCTTTGGGTGATTATGATGGTGCTGGTTTCACAGTAGGTGCTGTTGAACGTGAAAAGATCTTGCCTCGCATGAATGACATCAAGGCTGGTGATGTCGTCCTTGGTTTAGCTTCTTCTGGTGTTCATTCTAACGGCTTCTCTCTTGTTCGTAAAATTGTTTCCTCTCAACCTGGTTTAACATACCACTCTCCTTGTCCATGGGACAAGTCCAAGACACTTGGTGAAGGTCTTTTGGTTCCTACTCGTATCTATGTTAAGCAATTATTGCCTGTTGTTCAAAAGGATTTGGTTAAGGCTATGGCTCATATCACTGGTGGTGGTTTCCTTGAAAACATTCCTCGTGTGATGCCCAAAGACCTTGCTGTCATTGTGGACGCCAAGTCATATGAATTGCCCCCTATTTTCAAATGGCTTAAGGAAGCAGGTGGACTTTCTGCTTATGAAATGTCTCGTACCTTTAACTGTGGTATTGGTATGATCCTTGTTACTGATCGTGCTCATGTTCCTGAAATTACTCGCTTATTGGAAGCTGCTAATGAAACTGTTTATGAACTTGGTTCTGTCACTACCAAGGCTGAATTGGGTGGTCAAGAAGTTGAAGTTCGCAATACTGACACTTGGTAAACAACATTTGCTTTATAAGCATCTTTTTTTATTGTATATAGAATCATTACACATGTATTTAAAAAGAAATAAACTATTTAAAAAGAAATAAACTATTTAAAAAGAAATAAACTATTACAGTGCGTACAGTCCCGATTTTCGTATTATTCCACTTAGACTGTAATAGAGTTTTTCACTATACGTAAGATTGACACAATGCCTTAACTTTTACTAAGCCAAATTTGATATTGCAACATCCTATTTGTTACATCGATCGCCGATCCCCCATATATTCGCAAGTCCGGGAAAGAAGCATAAAGTTATACAAAAAAAAGGAAAAAGTTATTTTTATTAACATTTAAACAGTGTTCTGTTTATAGCTTATTATTGAACAAGAAAAATTATTTTACATATAAAAAGTATTTACTGTTGTTGTTGTTGGTTATTGTTGTTGTCACCAGTGTGACAAGTATCTTCAATTTGAACAATAGAAATGTTGTTGGCAGCAATTGCATTAGGCAAAAGAGCGACAGTCTTGTTGAAAGTGTCTTGACCAATAGAAGAAGTCTTAGAGAGAATGATACCATAGACTTTATCAGCTCTCTTTTGGTTGTTGGTGCTAAGGAATTTCATATCATTGCTCCAGAGGAAGACAGTATCAAAGTTGGTAGAGTCATTTGAGCCAGGTTGAGCATTGGAATCAATCAACTTGGAGTAGACAGTAGCTTCAAAAGGTTGAGAGCCAGGAATGACAGCACTACCAGCATCGGAAGCATTGCTATTACTTTGACCATTGGAGGTGAAGTTTTCCCATGAAACCTTGTTGACAAAGATTTGAGAGCCATAAGCATCCCACAAATAAGTGTGGTCTGAAGTGTTGGTATTGCTATCAGGTGCCTTCAGCATGAAAGAGCCAGCAACAGAGGCATTGATACCAATGTTAGAGTTAGTGTGAGTCAAGAAGGCAGAGACAAGACCATCAAAGGTAGTGTTTGAAGTAGTGGTGGCATTGACTTGAACACAACCAACATCAATGTTCATTGTGTGGTTGAGGAATTGAAAAGCATTCCAAACATCTTGTGTAGCACCAGTGACAAACCCTATATATGTATGCATTTAGTTGATCATACCATAATAATGATATATAAATGTTACTTACAAGTGCCATTGACGACGCCAATGTCAGTGCCTTGGGGGTATTGAGACAAAACTTGGCTTTGATCTTGAGAAGCGTCTTGTCTGGGAGTAAGAACAGCAGCAGAGACAGCAGAAATGGCCAAGAGAGCAGAGGAAATAAACTTCATTTTTTTTATAATTGAATAGAATTAAGAAAGCTCTGATTGTCTCTTTTAGCCTTTATATACCTTTCAAAAGAATACTGTGATATATAGATGACGCAACTATTTGACCTGATTTGTTAAATAACAGAGAAGAGCCAAATCGTTTCAACGTCATGATAAAAGAGAGAAAGAGCGAGAAAATAGAAGCTATAAATAAACAGCGTCTGAAAGCATTGTTCAACAAATGATGTAAATCGTACGTTACACACACAAAGAAAACAAAAGCTTTTAAACGTCACTTTCCAATTTACCGACTGCAGTACATTTTTTCTAGAACTCAAAGTTATGGAGACACGGTATAACCAACTTGTCCTGATCTCAAAACGCGCTGAAGCTGCAAACAACAGAATAAATGAAATAATAAACACTTTAGGTTGGGATCGTCAAGATCTTAAGAAAGTGAGTTGTTCTGCCTAGTTTCATGTCTAGACCTCAACAAATTTAACTTATGTTCCTGAAAAGCGATACTCTAGAGATATTCTACACAAAAGCCATAGCGCCAAGAAAGTAAGCTCACATGAAACTGATGATGTAAAATGTCATATGCCCTAAACTATCCAAAAAGAAAAAGAGTTCACTTTTCTTCTACAAAAACGCATCTTCAGTCATTTCTTTTGTCGATACACAATGGACAGAAGAACACAAGAATATCATTGATGCCAGTCTGCTGAAGTCATTGCAAGAATCCAAAATTGAAAAATGTCAACTTTATGATCAGGTGATACAGCGATCTAATCAGTTAAGGCAACCATCCAATAGCAACATTCATGATGACATTAGCCAAATTGTGTATGAAAAGCAGCAAAAAGAGAAAAAGAAACGAAAAGAGCAAGAAAGAAGCAACAAACCCAAGAAGCATCGAATCAAGATGAAAGTCATTTCAGCAACAGAGGTAATTGATAGACATGATTGCACTCAGTTAACTAATGATGTTTAGCTTCAAAAAGAGCTTATTGATGCTTATATGCAGACCCAAAATAAAAATTAGCCCTGTTTTTTGTCATTCAAACTCAGCTACAAAGGTATCATGATCCAAGAGCTCTTTAATATGCCAAAATGATACTTAAACGCGCTTAGTTTTTTGTTTATGATTCGTTGAGATGTTCTTTTCAAGATAATATAAGTTAAAAAAGTCAGTACTTAATGGTACAGCCTTTGGCATCAATGAAAGCTTGGTATTGGTCGGTCATATTGTGTAGTAGTATGAATGTAATGAGATAGTATAATGCAAAGAAAAACAAACAAACAACCTACTCTTTGTTGTTTTTTTTAAAACAAGAGTTGGTTACACTTGAGCTTTAATGAATGACTTTACACAAACATACCAGTAGCATTACGCCTATTGAACTATATATTCTGGATATTTTAGACATAAAAGCATTCTGACTCAAAATAATCGTCTTTTTTTTTTAGCAAATCTTAGCAGTCTTTAACTGTGAGCTACCTTCTGGTATTTCAACTTGGAAGATACGAATAGTCGTTTGGACCACAAAAACCCATTCCAAGCATTTCCTTTGTGTTGAGTATAGACTAAATGCACTTCCAAACATGCTTACGGACAGGCTTGGATTTTTGTATTATTAGCTGCAGATAACAATTACGTTTTCATTCCAAAGCAGTATATATATTATGTCAATAAGCAAATATTGTTATTTATTCGGGTGTATATAATAAAGGTATATTATTATTATTATTTGGGTCACTTTCGTTTTGTAATAGTAAGCCTAATAAGGATTCTTGATTTGGTATGCTAGTAGAATCAATGCTCATACTACTTGATGTTGTGTCTGCTGAATATGGTGGTACATGGTATTGCTGTTGTACAAAATATCTATTGTTTTTCTGGCTGCCAGTAATTTCAGTAGCAGGCGAAATCGATGCCAATTTTTGTGCTAGTTGCAACGTGATTTGATACTCTCTTTCAATACTTCTCTCTTTAAATACAGTAATAGCGGCAGATAAATAATATACAATTTGCTGAATGCCTCGTAATGAACAATACATGTCTTCAAATGCATTGCATTCAAGTATTAATTCGACGATATTTTTAATGGTAAGAGCAGGCTCGATGCATTGATTGAGATCATAAGGTCGACATAGTAAAATAATCGCAGAATTATAAGACAAATAAAGAAAGCATACTGCATAGCAAATGTTTTCTTTTCGAGGAGATTTGGTAGTCGAAGTAATCAAACTGACAGTGGTTGATAGTTCATTAAACAATTTTTGATATGTGTTCTGTTCATCCCAGTCAATCGCTAACTGCTTTTGATGCTTACAGCGCAAAAATTGTATGATGTCTGCTTGGTTTCGCATAATTTTCGAAAGCAGTATAAAATGAAGGATTTTTTCTGATTCGTGTGCTTCGTCTGTCAAGATGTTTGGAAAGTCTATGGAACAAGGCATCTCCATAAAATTAAGTGGTGTTCCATTTTCAATACTAAAAGAGTCGTCAATAAATAATTCCTTGTATTTTCAATAGCTTGCCTCATCATCGTATCGTAACAATAAGCAGCCCAAAAAGTACGCTTTCGACATTCCAATTCGACCACTGGTATCGTAGTAATATCACGTGCTAAGCCTAAATCCTTGCACATGCGGACAACAGTCTGAAAATAATAGCGTGTTCTCCACATGAATCCCGGTCGGCGTACATGCTCATTATATTTTAACATCAGGAAAATAGCCTGTATTGTCGACAGTTGAGCTTCCCTTTGAGCTTCCAATAAACTGATTGCTTTTTGATAGTATTTCCATCCTCGAGGTTCGTCTTCAACTTGAGGAACACCTACTAAATCCCATCGAGACGAAACACAATACATGGCATTTAATAAAAGCCGACTGACTCGCTTTGTGTTCAATTGGTGTAGAAATGAAGGCTTGTGAAGAACAGGTATAACTGGATCAATAAACTGAAAGTAAATCTTGAGCAAATGTTGTTGAATTGGTTCGTTTAGAATTGGTTCCTGGGTCTGAATGATGAAATTACAATGATTTTGTGATGCACGGTCTATTCGATAGGGGTAATCAGGTACATAAGTCCCGCATCCTGTTGTATCTATTGATAACCCTTTAAAAGATATGAGATGATGTTCTGTGTATTTATCTATCTACCTAATTCTCGAGGTGATGGCTGAATAAGCTGAGGTGGGTTTGTAAATAAAGGTGGTTCAGGGTCTTTTATGTCTAACACTCTTGAAAATTGCCTTAAAAATTGTTCAATCGCCTTTAGTTTTGGTTCAGGGTTTTCTGTTGCTGGTTTGGGAGCATCTTTTTTCTGTTGAGGTTTATCATAAACGCACGTTGTTTCTGATCTTGTACAGCGTTCACAAGGGTATTGACCGTTGCACTTGACCTATAGGTAGAAAGCGTCAGATCGCAAAAAAAAGTGTTTGTTTCAAATACCTTTCGCTTTCTACAAGGTGCACAGGCCCGAGTAGACTTTTTCTTTACTACTAGTGAGGCTGGGGTTTCCTGAGTAGAGATACTAGTGCGTCTATTATTCGTTATATTATTTGGAGAAGGCTCCATAGGCTAAGAAATAAAGCCTTTACGACTTGAAGGGAAAAGAAGAAGAAAGGAAGAAGAAAAACACATTTCATTCTGCACACAAACAACGCACGTACGCACACCCGCATGTACGCACGTACACACACACTTTTTTTTTCAACTGGACACACACACACACACACACACACACACACACGTACAAGTGTTTCTATTTGTACTACCTTTATTAGAGAGGATGTGTTGTGCCGCACTGTTAAATACCACAAGACTAGACTACTCAAACGTCAAAACAAACAATAATTTTATTAGTTTTTGGCCATTTTTTGTTTGTTTTTCTTCTTATTTGTTTTTTTACTGGGCGCTTCTGCTTGTTTTTCCTTTTGCACTTCTTCTTCTTCAAGGTCAACAGACTCTGTTGTAGGCTGGTTTTCTACCTTTGAAAATCCGTCATGCGATGTAATACAAGTTACACGACATTTGGTATTGTATTCACCTAATGGTTCTTCCACCTCTTTCAAAACTGCAGCTTCTAAATCCCAGCATTTGATAACACCATCTGATGAAGCAGACGATAATACGAGCTTACCGTCTGTTGACAGAACATTCACTGATTTGACTCGCATGTTGTGTCCCTTGATTTCTCTGATACATTCGCCTGATGTAGTGTCCCAAATACGAATGGTTTTATCTTCGCTTCCTGTAACAATGTACTCCTTTTCGTCTAGTTTGAAGTATTGCATAGAATGGAATCTGGATCTATGAGAAATAGTTGTCGATACTTTGGCATCCTAAATCAGGAAATCAGCAAATGGCTTGACGAAAGGTATAGACTTACAGCCACTTTATAGATATGGATTGCTTTATCAAACTGAATGGCATATTGGTCACCAGAAGAATTCCATAAGACCAACATAGGTTCATCTAATTTTCAATAAATACATGTCTATCTATCTTATTCAACTTACCTCTGCCCAACTTGTTTACACTTGCCTTGCGACCTGTCATCAAATTCCAGACGATGGCAGTCCTATCAGCACTAACAGATAATGCAATTTTACCAGTAGGGTGAATAGCCATTGAGTTCACTTTTGCTCTATAGGAAATAAGCATAAATACCCCTCTTGTTATAAACATTGGCTTCACTTACTTGTGTCCCTTGAGTGTCTTCAAGTATTCCCAATCTTTTGTTCTCCATAAATTAATCAAATGATCGTCACTTGCAGACAACATGTATTTGCCATGGAATTTAATGTCAGTAATATCACCAGAATGATGTCCACCTAAAGAACCGTATTCTTTGCGTTTCTTGACATCGTAAAGACGAATGATTTCATCGCTACTACCAGAGGCCAAAAAGTTTCCGCCAACAGAGACTGTGCGAATACATGCCGTATGAGCAGGAATAATAAACACAGGTTCCAACTTGACTTTAGATTTCTAGATATAGAATGAATACAATGTAAGTTTGTTTTATTATTACTCACGTCTTCTATCCATTGAGCATTGATACCAAACAAAAGACGCTCATATGTACCAACAACAACACGAAAGTCTTCTTCAACGTTGAGTAAAGCTGAAGTAGGTAAGAGTGTGTTCGATCCTGTCACTTTTTCCAAGATTTGCTTCTTTTTTACTTGATTGTCATTCATTTCCTCTGAATTTCTCGATCTCTTTTTGCTTTCCATGGTGACTATAGATCTATGTATTAAAAAAAAGTTTTCGACAAGTGTCAAAGGGAAACTGACTTTGAACTGCCTCGAATGCCAAGTCACTGTCTTAATGGCCAATTAAAAAGATGTTAACGTATGCAAGTTACACCAAGTCTTTTTGGTAATTAGACACTGTGCTTTGCTTATGATCTATAACAATCTTGTGTTAGAAGCGGCTTTAGCAACAGGGATTTTTTTTCTCAAAATTGGATAAAAATTTCTTGTTTATTTTATGCAAATGGCATTGGGTGGGGAGGCGATCCCATATTTTTTGTTAAGAGGAGCACTTGTAAAAAAGTACTCGTATACTTTATCTTGAAATGAATCTTCAGCCAGTTTTTCCAAATAAAACAATTCACCCAACATCATACCAAAGCCACCATTAAAGACAGAATCTATCAAAGAATGGTTAGTGTTTATATGCATACAAAAGAACATACGACAACAATTTTTCAAATCAAAAGGTAAGGCTTCAACAGGAATGGCATCGGTAGCCACAGCAGAGAAATGATGGTCCCAAAACCACCGGTAGGTTTCTTCACCTGCTTTAATGCCTGCACATTGAGGCCAGTCTTTCCCGGCTAAAGCTTCAACATCAGGCCCTCCCTTTTCATATCGAGCTGTCCAGCCCGTTCGAATCAATAAAATATCTGCTATCTGAAATTCTACCTGCTGATAAGCCGCTACTTGTTCCAATTCTTGCATGGTGATTTCATACCGTTGAAAAGGATCAAATGTAGGATGGTGAATCTCGGCCCAACGACCATAGTCCAATAAAACAGCGCGACCCACAATCCCTTTTTCAGCCACATGGTTGATTCCTAACCGATCATTTGAAGCAGGCTGGTTCAGTCTGATATTGTCTGCACTAACGCCATTATAGAACAATTGAGCTGGAATATATGAAAAATGACGAAGGCCATCCCATTGTGATGTGGTTTGTGTGTTAAAGCCATCATAACAGTCATCAAAATGAGCTCCGTCGTGTAATTCGACCAGACGATGAACAAGTGTTTCGCGACCAAAAAGAGGCACAACAGGATGTTCAAGCCCCCAGTTTAGTGGAAATCGCTTTCCTGTCTTTATACATTTGGATGCCTAGACACTATGGGTCAAACACTACGTCTTTATAAACAACTTACATTCATGACTCGTTCAGGAGTCAACAGATTTAATGTGCCAATGTTGTCATCTTCACCCCAAACACCCCAAGCTGTACCTTTTGGATATTTAGGATGGACAGGTAATTGATCGTAGTTGGGAATAGTCATGGTGTTTAAATCAAAAAGAAAAACAATCTATTAAATCTATTGATCCGTTTATATAGTATACAAATAGACAGATACTTATGCAGTGCTTATACATTTAGCTACTTTTAATTGGTATGACATGGAGCAACATGATTTGTGTAGATTATAAGCATTGTTTATTATTGCTGCAAGGATTAGAGGATCTTCATGCGGCAATTAAAACTTGGAAATGTAGTAGTTTTGTTACTGAAAAAATAAACACTCCGATAGAGGTTGCTTAAAGCATGCTTCTTTACAGTGTCTGGACAACGAGCATCTTTTCTCTAATGTAAATCTAGTTTATAACAGCTTTTCCTTTTCAAAACTCATTGTTTGGTAAAAACAATAAACAAATCGCAAGTACTTTGAATATGTTGGTTCCATAGAGATAGAGGAGGAAGGTTCATTCTCGTTTGTAACAGGCAATTTTTCTCATTCTACTTTAGATCAAATATTCATAATGAATACAAAGACTTAAAGATAAAAACAAGACCATGACTTGTATGCTAATTAAAAAAGTTGTCAGAGTTTCTTTTAAGTTGGCAACATAATCTAGGTATATATAAACAAGCGTTTGCTTATCCATTCACTGTATATTCAACAATGCCCAAAGTCAGACCCGATAAACCAGGTAACACACCTTTATTCTAACTCAAAGTGTCTCATTCTTTTAAGCTCTTCCTACACCTTATCCTTTGCCCGTCAAGAAATAAGCCAATTTTGGACACTTCAGGCTAAATTTATTCCTATTTGCGTTTTTATTGTTTCTCAATAAAAAAAAAAAAAAAAAAAAAAAAAAATAAGGGCAAAATGAATAGCCGCATTTCTTCTTCCACTAAACTGATCTATTTGCATACTTGTCTTTGCTGTTTCAACGATAAAATGAAGTGTTTATTCTTTGGTTAGTCTTCACCATGCACAAGTGTCTGTTTATTTATATTTAAGTAAATGACATCGATACAGCATCACTTTGTATCATGAAATCAATCTTAGAAACGGAGTACTAATATCTAGAGAATCAGCAAATGGGTAAACATTTCACTTTCTACTGGAAATTAATTGGATGTCTCGGAAAATCCTGGCTATAAAATGGATATTTATCTGATAGAAAGCGTATGTATATACAGATATTGTATATATACAGAATAAGCAGGAAAACAACTATAGGCTTAGTAAAATAAGGCCTAATTGAGTACATCAAAATGATGCTTTTTGTACTAAAGTAACACAGGCGATTTAGCTGGCCCATGATGTAATAAATGCGGAAAAGTTTAGAAGTTGATTTTTCTTTTCTTCTTTCGTTTGTTATCATGTTTTCGCGCTCATTTTTAAACAGCCACAAGCAACAGTTTGTTAGACTCACAAGACAATATACAACTCAAAAGACACCCAATGCTTGGTTTGGCCCCAAACTTAAGAAATTAATGCTGTATTCCAGTGTTGGGCTTGGTTCCGGAGGTCTTGCTTACTATCTGGCTCAAGATCCAGATAGATTTGTAGACGTATTCGGTGCTCATGAACATGTTCCTCAATTAGCGCTCTATCCTCAACGCGGCGGTGCCAAGGGCTTACCAGTAGCAACTCATTTGCTGGATGATACAGTCGAAAATGAGAAAAACAAAAAGCAGCGTCTTGTTATCCTTGGATCTGGATGGGGTGCAGTGTCTGTTCTGAAGAACTTGGACAAAGACAAATACGATGTTGTCATTATTAGCGAGAACAATTACTTTTTGTTTACGCCCTTATTGCCTAGTGCTACTGTAGGTACATTGGAACTAAGGTAATATCCAAAAAAAAAAAACTGTCAAAGTATTGAATGAAGGCATAGATCTTTAATTGAACCCGTACGTAAGATTGTATCTCGCATCAATGGTCATTTCTTGGAAGGAAGAGCAGTCGATATTGATCTTGATAATAAATATGTTGAAGTCAATGGTGTCAATGATGATGAAAACTTTTATGTGCCCTATGATAAGTTGGTAGTTGCTGTAGGTGCCACAAGCATGACACATGGTGTTGAAGGCATCGAAAACACAAACAGACTCAAGACAATCCAAGATGCCATTCAGATTCGTCATAAAGTGACAGAGAATGTAGAAAAGGCTTGTTTGCCTACAACGACACCTGAAGAACGTAAGCAACTACTTTCCTTCGTTGTCTGTGGTGGAGGACCTACAGGTGTTGAATTTGCTGCAGAAATGTCTGATTGGATCAATGAAGATTTAGTAAAATGGGTAAGTTGTCGCATTGTAATGGCGTCTGACTGACTTGTGTCTATTAGTTCCCTAAATTGATTCGTGAAGATATTTCTATCCATATTATTCAATCAAGAGATCACATTCTCAACACATTTGATAGCAAGATTAGTGATTATGCCGAGAAGAGATTCGATCGCGAACATATCAATGTCATTACCAATGCTCGAGTGGAGCGCATTGATAAGAATGAAGTTGTCTATAAACTCAAGGGAACAGGTCCTAATGAAGAGCCTGTGGTAAAGACGTTACCTTATGGTCTATGTTTATGGTCTACAGGCATAGGTAAGTTAATGTAGAGGGTAGTACATAACTTAATAGACAAATGTAGCCATGACTCCATTCGCAAAGAAATTAACAGAGAAATTGCCAGAGCAAGCACATAAGCGTGTATTGACAACAGATGGATATTTGCATTTGAATGGTTTAGAAGATCAATCTATTTATGCGTTAGGTGACTGTGCAAGTATTGAAAACCCTAAATTGTTGGAGCACATCATGGAGTTCTTTGAGGAGGCAGACAGTGATCAAGATGGTAGTTTACAATTCGATCAGTTCTTAGTTGCTTGTCAGACTATGCGTACACGATTCCCCTTAACAGATCAATACTTGACCAACCTCGAGAGAATGTTTAGAAAGTATGATTCTGACAAGAATGGTGTCTTGGATTTCGAAGAAATGAAGTGCATGCTGAATGATATTGACAAGAAATTAACTAATCTTCCTGCTGTAAGTATGGAATTCTAATATAGAAACCATACTCATGTGTTTTATAGACTGCTCAAGTAGCAAGTCAGCAAGGTGCTTATTTGGCTAAGTATCTAAACAAATTAGCAACCGAAAACAGTCCCGATGAATTGAGCACTAAACAGGCTGTGGGTGTGTTTCGCTATAACCATCTTGGTACTTTGGCTTATTTAGGTAATACGGCAGTCGGTGACTTCAAGTGGGGATACCAAATGATTGGTGGATTGTGGGCATTGTATCTATGGCGTAGTGTCTACTGGAGTGAGCAAGTTAGCATGCGTACTCGAATGAATCTCAGTATTGATTGGACAAAACGTGCAATTTGGGGCAGAGATATTTCCACAGTCTAAAAAAAGTGTGCTACACAAGTCATTTTGCTTGTCGGCTGATGAACTCTTTGCTTTTTATAGAAAGTGCCCTGCACGCTCTCTTGTTTTTTTCATATTAAAATTACGAAAAGCATTTGATTTCTTTTCTTTTTTCTTTTTTCTTTTTTTGTTTGATGTTATTATGCTTGTTATTATCAAAAGAGTTTAAAAGAGATAGATACTAAAAGAAAGAACAGAAAAAGAGACTGAAACGTATTCCATTATCCCCTTTTTTTTTGCGTCAAGAAAAAAAAACTTGCCTTTTCTACACACATATTTTTTTTTCTATTTAAACAAACAAAAAAAAACTTCCTTTCTAATTTTTCTTTCTTTCTTTAATAATGCGACATAAATCAACGATATTTAAAGCAACAAGTTTGCCTGCAATCAATACTGACTTTCAGGAAGACCGCAACATGAATTACGGACATAATTTAACTATATTAGAAGAAGACTGGAACAATAGCAGTCAGCAAATTAGTATCCCTTCTTCTAGTAACATTAGTTTATTCGAAATCTGTCATTGTTGTGGACAACATCACTGTCAGAATTTGGACTATTTTAATCGCACTATTAAAAAACTCGAATCAGACACTCGTTTAGCAGCAGGTAAAATGAATTAGATGATGTATGTTGTACTTATCTTCTTTGATAGAGATTGGACAAGGCTTACTTCATAAACACGAAACGTTTGTCAATGAATCAAATCAATACAAGGCACAATTAGAAAAGCAGGTAAGTTTTTTTTTTTTTTTTTTTTTTTTTTTTTTTTTTTTGCATGGATGGACTTGTGTGTAACATATGCTAGTTGACCGAGTACCACGAAAAAATCATTGAATTAGAACAATCACTGGATCAAGTTGAAAATGAAAAAGATGATCTTGTCAAAGAAAAAAACAAATGGCTCTGGGAATATCAGAAGAGACAGAAGGTAAGCACTGATGCTCATTTTCATCTTTCACTTATTCATGACTAGATACTTGATGAGACAATATCTGACTTGGAAATGGCAAATGAAAAGTGCAAACAATTATCAATTGAACTTGAATCGAAATCAAATGAATTGGAAAAATTACGACTCTTTAAATTCATGGTGCGCCATTCTGAGTCCCGAGAAGAAGTATTGACATCCAAAGTAAGTTATATTCTATATATTTACACTACATTCACTCAGGCATTAGTTGGAAGATACAAATCAAGAATTAGCCTTGTGTAGAAGAAATGAACTTGTGTTGGAATCAAAGATAAAAAAACTAAAGACAAGATATGGCAAGTTGATTGTGTGTAAAAAAAAATAGCATGGTATTTTCTAACTTGTTTTTTAATAGAATCCTTGTATAATGCTCATGAACAGTTGAGTAAGCATGTTGAAGAAAATAGTGCATTGAATGATCATCACCGTCATCATACTTCTGATGCACTCAAGGTATTGTCAGTTTAACGCAAATGGTTGTGTTAACCAATCATAGTTTACTTCGCCCAGCACAAGAAATACAGACGATCTGATCAATCTGATAAAGGAGCTTTCTGTTTCAAATGCGAAGCTTAAATCTGAACTATTGAACAGTAAAGATCAACTCTTGGAAGCACGAGAAGAAATCATTACACTATCACGGAAATCAGATAGAGATTCAACAGCGACAAGAAAGAGCACAGACTTGTTTAGTGAGATCAATATGAAAGCAAAGACAAGGCGTGCTACTTCAGTCAAGGAAAAGAAGAAAAAGAAAGAGCCAATGCCTATTCGACACAATACAGTGCTTCCTTCACCTTTGCCCACAGTCTCTTCTTCTATGCCAAACTCCATTTGTTCAGAATCATCGCCTGTTGTTCATCATCATTATCATTACTATGTCAAAGGCGAGCAAATGGACGATTCAATGTCAGATACATCTGAGGAAAAGGTGAGATCACAAAATGCAATATACGTTATGCTTATATGACAGACTCGAGCACTTTTACAGGAACCAAATCAACAAGACACAATTGAATCTTCATCCCCTACATCGTCTATTCTTACTATTAAAAGGGATGGCACAACTGTTACAAATCAATCTCCCTATTTTATGTTACAAGAGCATGTTGCACAAGTGTTGGACAGATTAAGGGGTTCTGACATTCGCACTTTGAACAGAAGACTGAAGCGAGCATTTGATATTACTGAACTCAGTAGCATGAGTAATGCCATAATTGACAATATTCTTATGGATGTAGACACACTTGAAACAAGATTCTTATGGGTTACAGACACAGTTGGCTTTTTCCCTCTATTAGACTTGTTCAAGGACATGTTAAAAGAATTAGGCCTACTCAAGTCTACTATGAATGAATTACAGGTAGATTATGTCCAAAAGATTGAAAAAAACGAGATCAGAGTACAAGAAGAAATCCTAAGAAAAAGACAACAAAAAAGAAGCCAAGTTGTTAATGAACCAAAACCTTTATCTTGGCTGATTAACCTGTTTACTAAAGCAGATCCCTTAACTCATTCTAATGTATCTACACTCACAAAAACCACTACTAATGCTTCTACTTTGATACCAACTATTGAAGAAGACGAGCATCTTGTACGTAAAGAAGAAGATCGCGCACCGCGAAACACATTTCCCCGTCCTATTCCTGAAACTAAAAGACGCCCTAAACCAATATTTAATACGCCACCTACGCATGCACCTATAATGCATACTTCTTCAAGTACAGGTACCAATCGCTCTGCTGTTCATATTCGAAACAAACGCAGTCTACATCGAATCCATATCGATTATGAAGGAATTGGGCCTGCTGCTATTCGCCCTATCCCATCTGATAGAGATCTTTCTGTTACAGCCAATTTCTCATCCAGTTGGTTAGGCGGTAAATAATCATTTTGTACATCTAATTTTTGCTATCATTTTATTCCATCTTGTACCATACAAACAATAAAAAATTTACATATTAATAGAAATCCCCATATTCATCAGATTCAGTATCAGGATCTGAAGCCCAAACATCTTCTTCTTCTCTTTTCTTAATACATTGCATACAACGAGCCTTTTCTTGATTTCTTCTTTGAGACTATGGAATGGTATAAGCATCATTTGATTTTTTTTATTACTGCTTACTTTAGCAAATTTGTCCAATGTCTTTGTCTTGGAACAAAGCATACAAGTCAAGTGAGTTGTTTGAGAAGCTGTACATTTCTTGCAGGAAATAGTCTTCTTCTTGTTATTATAAGAAGGAGGTGCCCAAGCTATGACGTATTAACAATCAGATGCATATACTTTCTTACTTGCGATTAAAAGTGGCTTTGGCGATTTGTGTTTGAGAGAAAGCTTCAAGAGGTTTTTCCTATTGAACAGTTTCTTAGATCACGCTTGCAAGCATACTTTTTATTTGATTTACAGTATCACAAAAGACACATCGCAATGACTTTAACTGCTCTCCACGTTGGGCTACGTGTGTAGATAGGTAAGTAAAAGCTTTTTTTTAATGAATAACGATACCATTAGGATTGGCATTGACATTACTTGCAGAATAACTTTGAGAACCTTGTGTAAAGTTATTGTATTTGCCTGCTGGTCCTGGTCTACTCATAATGAAAAAAAATGTAATGAAAAAGAAAGGAGATGGCTATTTTGATTTATATTCAAAAACTCTACGTGGTGATTGGTCAATTGAACAAGCAGGGCACAGATTTTGTTTGATTTGACTTGAGGTAATCAATCTGAAAAGAAACTTCAAAGTCACACATTTTATTTTGGCGTATATTTAGATCAAATAAGGTATGAGATCCTCAAACAGAACAAATAATAGAATTACATTCATCATCAAAGAAAAAACATATATCACTCTGGGATATGTTAATATGTCATTTTATGTGTTGCTTCTAGAAAAAGAAGTCACTTGTAGGGTAAAGATATTTGACAAGTACTACCACATTCAGCTTAAGGGATACCTGCTCTAGCTCCTTAAACAACTCCAGTACGCCGATCTATGGTTTTTTTTGGAAGGGTTTGATTGGATACACAGAAGAAGGAGAACTTTTTTTTTATTTAGGCAAAGTCACAGTCAATAACAAGCTTTTTGTTTAGATATTGGGCCTTAAAGTAGTATGGTCACACATATACACAAATGGCTTTGTGCTATAAGGAAGAAGCTAAATCTGCGAAGGAATTAGCAATTTTATATAAATTTAATTAATTAACAAAAATTATGCCTCAATTGATCTCTTTGCGTAAGCAAGGATGAGATCAGGTTAAAACAGTGTTGAATTAACTGCTTTTTTGAAAATTGAAAGCTGGCAAGGTTCCACCAAAAATTACTTGAGAGAGACCAGCGACACCAATTGTTAAGGCAGAGTGAACGTATCGAGAAGTAGCTGCCCTTCTATTCTTCACCGAAACATATAAAGGATTACTGCGCAACAGAGTTCCCTTTTGCTCCATAAATCTTTCTCCTCCTTCAATGACTTTTTTAAACAATGGATGCGAAAGCTTATTGAGGCATTAGATACATGTTTGGAATGATATATGTCCATCTGTGATACACACGCTGGAATATCTACTGTAAAGTTTCTTTCCACTTGACCATACCTTTGATTCACGATTCCACTTCTGTGTCATGATCCCCGACGAACAACATTGGCCTGTTGCCATTTGAACCACTTATTGGACACAAAACGAGAAATAGAAATGTTACAAAACATTATATTGGTTACTGTTTGCCTCACACACCTCTGTTCTTTCTTTGCTGCATAGCTTGAGCAAGAGCTTTTGCTTTTTGAGTTTCCTTGTGGCGCTTTTTATTAATAGACTTGGACATTGAATACAAAGCTTGAAGTGCTGCAGACAATGAAAAGTGCCGGTTGTAAGTGTCTTTAGATTTATTCAATATCTTAATATGTTCATCACCACAGCGCAAGCAATGAAAGAAATCTTCCATTTTTCAGTAAGATTTGGCCAAAATCTTCCAATTTTAAGTGCATATTTCTTTCATCACTTGCGTTGTAGTAAAATATCATCAAAGGCTTGAGCTGGCTGGATAATATTTGATGTGATAATGCAATGTTAAGCTCCAATGCTTGCAAACTCAAATAAATGGGGACAGGAAATAATTTGCAAGCAAACTTGCTCTATCTAACTGAATTCAAGTTAACATTGACCAAAATGCAAAAGGGTAACTAGTACAAAATACAGTTTCGATTTGGCTTTGATGGGATATAAGGCTTAAGGTTGTTAATGAGCAAACGACATGTTTGTGATTCCCTATTAGTGATACTTGAGCATTGGCTTTGTATGTATTGGTCACTAACAGAATTATAAATCGATAAGAAAAGAAGATGTTCGATGACAGCCTTCAAAACTCGGAAGCGTCGCCTACTAGTCTCCGTATCACTTGTCGGCAAAATGACATCAAAATCTTTATTACTGTTAATGTCACCGCAAACAATAGACTTTGAATAGGACGAGCATCCAGTTTTTTAGTTCTAGTACCTACGGCTTCAAAGAAATAGAAATGAATCAATCTCAATTGCTGCTCTTCAAATAATGACGCGAAGTCCCTGTCCAGTCTTAGTTCGTCAGGCATTTGTAAGATAGATTATATAGATTGCAACTGATGTTTGTTGACAAAAACATGCAGAAGTGACCAATTTGTATTCTAGCGTTTCTTCTAGAGACTAATAGTTATTATGAACCACAATAGAATGAGATCTTAAAATTACGATTACCATTTTGATAATTGACGAGAATTCTGATGCGTCATTTGTTCTAACAACGATGCAATCTTCAGTTTTATCAAGTACTAATGTCTTTATGTTGTCTGGTAAGTTAGAATGTAAGACATGTCTTGAAGTTTTGCTCCGGTTCTTCTTTGCTTAATTCATTTTGTTAGGCTAATGATGACTTAGCTACTTGCAAATTCTACTGATTCATCAAAGTCTGCTTCAAACTATCAAATTTTTCATTCACTTGCTGCTTCCAAATGACTATATTTAACCGAGTTTCGCATTTCTCCCGGTAATCAAGCATTGTATTTCTGTCTGTCCATGCCGTTTTCGCTGGAACGGTGAGAATTTTTTTAGGAAATCTTTTTATGTTCAAAAGTTTAGCTTTTAACTTATTTAGATTCTTCCCATAACTGTTTTTTATTCGTCCAATGTCTCGCGTATGGCTGTTAACATAAATGATGCTATCAAATTACGAAAGTACTTCCCCATAAAGTCATTCATTGGATTAGCTTGTCGAGGACATTTGTAAGAAGCGAGATTGCTTTAAAAGCTTTCTTCAGAAGCTGTTCTTTCTGAATTTAGCTTGGTAATAGAAGCCAAGGCTGATTGATGTTCAGTAAAGCGGCTTTTTTGTTGTTTCTTTGCATTACCTATCTTAAGAAATTGTACCTGAATCAAAACAATACATTAGTGTTGCTATTAACACCTATATATATATATATATATATATCTCAACATAAACTTCAAGCATAATTGTACAATAATAGTCTGTTTAACAGTATACGTCAAGAGGATGGAAAGAAAAGGGAATTTTAGCTTCATTCAACTTGCATCTATAGAAAAAAGATTATCTGATATTGAAAGCTAGTTTCAGAACTTACACGAGCTCCAGTGCTATCTATAATAAATTGCTGTAGCTCCTTTCTGTGCTATATAGTTGTAGGTCGCTCCTCCACAAGTGTAACGAACTCACCAAAATATGTTATTTTAAAACTCCTCCAACATTTATGCCGACATGCCAAGTATGCCTATTGTGTACTCAAAAAAATATTTTTTGAGAAATAATAAAAACCACTGTTCTAAAAGAAAACAAAAACTTTTTCTGCGATATCAAAAAATAAAAAAGAAGTAAATTTTCCAATTTTTCTGCTTAAAATTTTAAAAGAAGCTTGTTCTTCAATTTTTCTGTTCTAAAATAAAAAACGAATCTACCGGATGATAATCTTACTGTTTTAGTTTAAAGAAGAGATTACTGGTTGGTAGACTCGGTTTTTATTTCAAAACAGAGAAATCCAAAAACAAGCTTTTTTTTAATTCAAGCGGAAGAACTAGAAATTCTCTACTTTTTATATTTTTTGTCATTGCAGAAAATATTCTTAATTTATTTTACAAGAATAGTTTTATTTTAAAATGGCAGTTTTTATTATTTTTCAAAAAAATTTTTTTGAGTACACAATTGGCATACTTGTAATTTCGGTATACCTGTTGATATTTTTATTATTTTTGAAAATGTTTTTTTTCTTTTTCTTTTTTTGTAAGCGTATCACACGGATCATGAAGGCCTGAGATCTACGAGTATTTTCATACTTCTTTTATTGCTCTAGCTAACTTTTTCGTAGAGTTATTGCAATCTTTGGGAAGAGGCTTTGAACACTAAAATTTATGCTTGGACCAGAAAAATAGAATAAGAAAGGTATGGCTCAGCATCTAAGCTTACTCAGCCAACGGGCGACACTGCTCTCAAAGCTGTTAGTTCTTCCTTTTTCTATGAAATCGGGCTCTAGAGCCAACTATACCCTTCCCTTAAATAGATTTTAGCAAATTCTAGTCAAGCAAGTAGCAGTTAGAAACCTTATTTGGAAAGCAACTGTCAGCCATCTGTAACGTCTTCACCTCCCAAATGACAACACCAGTAATCTGAACTCTTTCTTAAATGCTTTTGATCATCAGTTTCTTGAACAAGCTCACTCTTACAGCAGAATGATTGCTACGACCATAGCAACCATAACAACCATAATAGCGGCCATAGCGATCATACACTACAGAGTAAGCGATTACATTTTTCTTCCGTCCCTTACGCTGTAGCGATAGATCTACGAAAAAGTTAGCTAGAGCAATAAAAGAAGTATGAAAATACTCGTAGATCTCAGGCCTTCATGATCCGTGTGATACGCTTACAAAAAAAGAAAAAGAAAAAAAACATTTTCAAAAATAATAAAAATATCAACAGGTATACCGAAATTACAAGTATGCCAATTGTGTACTCAAAAAAATTTTTTTGAAAAATAATAAAAACTGCCATTTTAAAATAAAACTATTCTTGTAAAATAAATTAAGAATATTTTCTGCAATGACAAAAAATATAAAAAGTAGAGAATTTCTAGTTCTTCCGCTTGAATTAAAAAAAAAGCTTGTTTTTGGATTTCTCTGTTTTGAAATAAAAACCGAGTCTACCAACCAGTAATCTCTTCTTTAAACTAAAACAGTAAGATTATCATCCGGTAGATTCGTTTTTTATTTTAGAACAGAAAAATTGAAGAACAAGCTTCTTTTAAAATTTTAAGCAGAAAAATTGGAAAATTTACTTCTTTTTATTTTTTGATATCGCAGAAAAAGTTTTTGTTTTCTTTTAGAACAGTGGTTTTTATTATTTCTCAAAAAATATTTTTTTGAGTACACAATAGGCATACTTGGCATGTCGGCATAAATGTTGGAGGAGATTAAATCGATAATAATTTCTTGATGTTAGTTTCTTGACATTTATTGTGATGTGAAGAGAATGGATTTACAGTAAGAGAAAAGATAGCAGAAAAACACTTTTGTTTGTAGCTTGTATAATGTTTCTATTTTCAGAGGAAATATGATAAAGTGTCGATGTATTTTTGCTTTTTTTTTCTCGTCAAAATATTATTTTGGTCTAAGAAATTCCTTTAGAGGAAGTTGGCACTTCAGCCAAGATAAATAATTTGACCTGAACTTGAAGAACAAACTATTAAGTATTTGTCAATGTCAATGCTAATGTATTTGTCAGCTCCAACTATCACTTTATGAGCATCATTAGTAATGATAGTAATAAAACCACTAGACCAATGATCTCTGAATCTCAGGGTGATGTAGTATTTCAGGTAGAATGAATGAATGTCAGTGAATAAAAATCCATTGCAATTGCCATATATGTGAACTGGTCTCTTGCTATGATCATCATTTATTGTTCTATGCATAAGAATTCATATATATATTCACAACAACATAATTTTTTCTACAATATTTTCCTGACATTGCTATCAATTTATTAAATTTTGTCAAATTTTATCAAATTTTGGTGAACTATTTTTATAAGTTCATTATTTTTACAGTATTTTCACTTTAAATTCAGACGATGTTAGTTTTTTTTCTAGACGAATCAAAATTAATCTTTAGATTTTTAGCTTACCTTTTTTGGACAAAACGAAAAAGGAAATGGAACAAAATGGAAATTAGTTTTCAGATAAAGTGAAAAATAAAATTAAAATAATGAACTCACCCTGTATCATGGATTGAAAGCAGCGATAACTACTTCGGATTTGTTATTGTCTTTTTCTACTGTCATTTTCAATAGAAGGAGATCTTTGTCTTTTTTGTTGTTTTTTTGGTGTTTGCTTGGCTGATCTTTGAAAATAAATCGGTCTTGCACCGTGGTCACGTAAACTAAAGAGAATCTCACAAAAGTTGAGAGGAGCGAGTAAGTCCCTGTTCCAAAGACGACAACCTTCTTTCAAGCATTGTTCGTTTTTACACCTAGATGACATATAAATGCTATCAATAAACTAAGCATAATTAAAAGTTTCATACCTTAAAAGACCATGTCGTTTTACGGTTGGATATTTTTCCCTTATAAAGGGCCTTGGGTTCACGACTTCTTCGAAAGTTCCTACATCACTTTTGCATACCGGGCATGTACTGGATGTTTTGAATTCATCAATCAGATGTACCAGAAAACCTTCTTTTTGAAGCATTCTTCTCATGCCAACTCCTCTAATCGCTTCATGGAACTTGACATTCCCCGCAGACCAGTTACCAATAACAATAACAGCATCGTTGCCAAAACGTTTTCTGATATTCTTACAAAGACGTTTGCCAGATTGCTGTCGATTAATGTACCTTGATAGTTTTAGCCTTCGAAATGGTAACATATTAGTATTACGTTCTTCTAAAGGCAAGTCTTCATTCGAGTAGTATTCCTGAAGAACTTGAGTCACGGTAGCTTTCTGTCTTATATATTCTACGTATTGATCTTTTATGACTGTGGATGACTTTAAACGTGAAAGAATTGTTTCTACATTGCTTACGGCATCTGGCTTCAGTCTTTCACAAAGCTTCATGAACTTTCTTGTTTTTGTTTCAATGTTCCTTTGATTTCTCGTATAGCGGTAAGTTTTTTTCTTTTCAACGGTACTGCTTTCGTGCATACAGAACAACATATCACGCCGTCCGGGATCAATCAAAACACAATTATTTTTGTAAGTTCTTTCTTGAAGTTTTTCTTGCGACAGACTTTCTATGTAAGCAATGTCTTCTTCTATCTTCTTATCATTTCGCATGCCGCCTCCAGAACCTTTCTTCTTGCTGTCATAGGTCTGCTTCAAGATGGATACGGCAACACCATCTGTGTAAATAATACCTCTAAACTTCATTTGTTTATTGTCTTCTTGAGGCTTCATAGCTTTGGATTTCATGTTCAGTACGGCTCCCCAGATTACTTCTTTGTCTAAGTGGCTAATGACAGAGTTTCTTAAAATTTGAGTGTTTACGATATATGTGTCTATAGTCATATAACTAGGTATGAATGTTCTTCTCAGAGGAAAGCAGTTGAACGACTTATTGTAGAGAGATTCAGAACATCGCGTCAGATAATAAAATGCCTTCAAATGCTTCGATGGATCCGCTTTACAATCATAATAAATAGAATTCTTCTTGAAGTGAGTGTCAGAAGGGTAGCAATCAAAAAACTGTTGAAGGACGCCGACTTCTTGTGAGTTAAAAAGATGTGCTGGCAATTCAGAGAGATGTTCATTTTTACTTTGGTGCACTGGCTTGCTATGGTTTTGACCGCAGCAGAGATTTCGCTTTCTATGCAATTTTTCTTTTTCATTTCACTTTTCAAAGCGCCAATTCTTTCCTGCTTCTTTAACAGTAGGTTCAAAAGCATACGCAATCTGTTCCCGAAATGAAAAGCAACGCTATTCATGTATGCAGTGTGGATTTTCGTAGCTTCATAGCTTCCTATTTGTTGCGCATATTTCAGTTTGATTGGAACATAAGAGGCGAGTTGGCAATAGGTATCTCGATGCTTATTGGTAAGTTCCTTGTAACTTCTTGCTTTTTCTTTTCGTTTTGCTTTATCCGATTTATAGCTATCAAGTAGTGAAATAAAGACTTCTCTGAAGAAATCAACATTGGCAAGGTCCTGTAAAGCAAAATCCATGTTGTTTTTAAGTTCTTGCGTGAAAATATACTTCAAAAGTGCATAAGTATGTGTTACGAGAGTATGTACCTTAAGTACAAGAGATTTGAGACTTGGAATGTATCTCGTTTTCCACCCGATGCCAGTAATAGAACTTTTAGCTGCAGTTATCTTTAGAGGAGGTTCCATAAGGAAAAAAGAAGAAAGAGTACAGCTGACAGCTTTTTATATTTTTATTTAGAGTTTCAATAACTGATGTATTATTTTTATTTGAGGTCCTACAGATATATGCCTATTTAATTGTGCGTATTTTATAATAATTGAAAATAACTCTGGCTTTTGTCCAGTACCTGAAAAATATGAACATACTTTGCTCAGCAAAAAAAAAAAAATAGCCTGAGTAACTAAAGTATGATTTGACTTGTATCTAAATTTTTGTGTTCACCTCTCTGCTAATGATCATCCTGCATCGTTATTTGAAGGAGGAAGTAACTTTTAATTTCCTTTTCCATTTTGGCAAATCAATGACTTTTAGAAAAGGTTGGTCCACATACAAATCTCTGATTGATTGTAATTTGTCTAATTTCCTTTTTCGTTTTGTCCAAAAAAGGTAGACTAAAATTCTAAAGATTAATTTTGATTCGTCTAGAAAAAAACTAACATCGTCTGATTTTGAAGTGTAAAAACTGTATAAAAAAATGTTCCTGACGTTTAAGAGTTCCGCTTTTTAATGAAACAAGGCGATAACTATTTTAGCAAGTCAAAATATTTATTTTATTCATGTGATAAAAAAAAGGCTCTAGTGTAACTGCCAATATGCCTTCCATTTTTAGAATGGGGGAGGCAAACCTCTTGAATCATACATATCTTCTATGATGTCTATCTCTTATTTGTAAGATGATAGGTTTATCATGATGTTCTACGACTCTTCTGCCGTATCAAATGCAGCAAGCCTACTGATTTGTCAGAAAAATAGAAACCATCGGAAATCAGATGTTGCCCATGCTCAAGGCAACCTACTAAGCAAAATTGATGATGAAAGATACCAATAAACTCGTTAAGCCAATGCCTTTAACGATAGATGTTGATTTGGAAGAGTATACGCTTCTCTAGCTATCAGATCCATTAGAATTCATTACACTTTCTTCTTATTATCTTCATAGAATTCATTATGGACTGCGACCTTTTCTTCTATTATACACTTGCTCTACATATTAGATGAATGAATAACATACAGTTTATTCAAGATATAATAAAAATATACAAAATATCAAAAGATCTACATGTGGCTATTGCCCAAGACACTTGAAGGTCGCTGCTGCACTTCCCATTTCTTTCTTAAATCATCCACACTACCACTACTATGACGATGATTGATTTTTGCTCGAGATGCTCTTGTAGGTGTTTGTGCTAAACGATCAAAAACAGACGGCGTTGTGGGCCTGTCAAATGTTGACAGACTGGGCATTAAGGGTGGTAATGGTCTTCTGACAACATTCTGGTGTTGCATTGAATTTGTAGACTGAGGTGAAAGCTGTTGGTGACTCATGATACTGTCGAGATCATTTGTGTCAAGACGGGGCATATTTTGAGTATGAGCTAATAAAGGACTAATGACAGCAACATCACGACGAACTGGGTTGTTTGCTGCTGGCATAGACTGGTTATTGCTGCTACTCACACGACCTGTTGATTTTTGATTCCATGAAGACAAGGAAGACATGTCTGATTGAACAGAAGATCTTCTCAAGTGACTACTGCGAATAGAAGATGTAGAGGATTCATGATCAGACATGTATTGGCCAAAATCAGGCGAGCCACCACTTGCAATAGAGAGTTTGGCTGCTGCTGCTGAGACTGCACGAAGTAAATCTTCTTCTTCTTGGTCTTCTACTTCGTATTCTGGTGTCATTGAATCTCGTCCCTCTTGTTCTTGTTGCCATGAAAGTCGTTTTTGAATCATGTTATAGAATCGATCAGGCGAAGGAGTCACTTCACGTCCTAGGGCTGTACTTTTGCTGAGTGTTTCTACCATTTGAACTGGTAGTGGTAGCCTTTTGTTCACTGCGTTGAGAGTGGCTTTGTTATATTGAGGTGAAGCAATAGGCGAAGGTTGCTGCTCATAAGCACTTTCAGATGTTTCTGTAATGAGTCCACGAAGACCATCTTCATAAATTTTGTCAAAAATAGTATTCCCACCCATATATTCCTCAAGAGAAGCATCTTGCTCATTTGACATAAATTCATGCATGCCATCCTCCTTGGTCTCCAGTTGACGAATACGGCGCTCATTGTCTATCGTACTCGAAATGGCTGCTCGTTTCATGACAATCAATGTACGTCTTAAATCAATTACGCTTTTTTCTAAATTCTGCACAGTGACTTGACGACTATATTCGTTCATTCGCAAGTCCATGATATCGTCCACTAAGTTCTCTATAATGCGTTTGCATTCATCTGCTTCAAAGGACTTTATCAATTTAGAGGTGATATCGTATGCCATTTCAGGCGCGGCATTGGCTGGAACACTAAACTGATCATCAAATGAGTCGATATCAGCCCATTCATCGTTGTTGGCTACTGGCTCGGTCACAATTTCATCTACAAAAGTAACATGCTTAGGTGGCCGAGGACTCATGTTCTTGATCAAAGTAGCACCGTTTTCTTCTGCCTGAAGAGCTTCTTCTGCTGCTTCAGATTGAAGTGTACGTATACGAGCCGATAAATAAGCAATTTCAGCTGCGATCAAATCAATGCGTTCGTCCATCAATTCAATAGCAATAATATCCATTGGCTGTCCTGTGTTCTCCTCCAGTTCTTTTTCGACATGAAAGACATGATCTCTTTCTTCTTCTAGTTCGAATTTCTCAGAAACCAAATGTTCACGACGCACAAGCAATTGTTCCATTTCTACTACAGCTTGCTTTCCTTGAATGTATTGGCATAATGCCTTGTCTAAAAGTTCTTTTTTGCGTGATACACGAATACCTAAAGGAATGGGATTCTTTTTTTTAGATTGACGCTTGGGGAAGCCATGACCACCACCTCGAGCAATGACAGCAAAACTACCACCCATGATAGGAGAAGCCTTGTTCAGCATCTTTTCGTCCAAGATGCCTCCTTCGCGAACAGCCTTCTTCAAAATAGATGTTAATTGCTTTAGTTGGCTTGAACTGATCATGATTTCTTCATTTCGTTTCTTGAGTGCCGACTTTTGTTGTTCGTGCTCACGTTCAAGTCGCTTTTTGGCTTGGTTTGATTTAGCATGTTGACGTTGTAATTGTTGAATACGTCTTTCTTGTTGTGAAATTTGACTACGAACACGCTCAGCTTCTGCCTTCATACGGTTCATCAATTGTCGTTTTTCAACTTTGAGTGTTTCGACATTGGTTCGAAGCGATTTCAACATGCCTTCGTTTTGATTGCGGTTGGACTGCATGGCCATGGTAGCATGAGAGTATTTGCGTTTTAAGTCTTGAATTTCGGACATTAGATTCTTCATCTTGACTTCATACACATGCCGAATTTCACTGCTTTGTTTATCAATAGCAGCATTGGATAATGTGCCCCTTGAAGCTGCTACTTGTTGTTGAAGATTATAGTTAGCAATGTCTGTCTTGATAGCAAAGCCCGATTTAGTACGCATAAGTGCTATGTCTTTTTCCTTTTGAGTTTCTGCGAGTTGGGCTTGTAAATGACTGATTTTTTCATCAAACTTTTTGCGCATAAAAGTGTATTCTGTCTCTGATTTTTCCAAATGAGCAACAAGTTCTTCTTTAACCTTGATATCCGATTGGATCTGATGAAGCATACGTGAGAGTTGGATGGCATATTTGCTGTGTATGTTTGAAGTGGTGGCTGATGAAGCAAAGGATTGCTTGGAGTCTAGAGACAAAGCTGGCTTAGAACTCACACTACTATCAGGCTTATCATTGCTGCGACCATGATTATCCCATGCAGGAACAGTCTATGCACATGCATCGTTAGTAGGAATAGTTAAACTTTCGGGACATACCAAGGCTTCAATTTCGCTGCCATAGTCATCATCTACAGGAGAAGGAGTCAGGGAATACATGCCTTCATCTGATGAGGCATTTTCATTGATATCATGCAATCGATTTTCTACTGCTTCAAAAGCCTAAAAAAAAGAAGGAGTCAATATCATTCTTTAAATCAAAAAAAGAACGTATACCTTTAATTCATCTTCCCAAGAAGTATTCGAACTTTCCAAAGGCTTTTGAAGAAATAAGATTAGAATATGCACTACTTTGTCAATCCTTTACCTTGACTAATTCAAGTACTTCAAGACTCTTTCTGATATCTGCACGAACCTTGGCAATACTCTCCTTGACTTCTTCATGTCGGACTTCATCATCTTGAAGATCATTTACATATCCTTCATCTTCTTCTGTATCTGCCTCTTCATAATTTTGTTGCTTGTATGCTTTTTTCTTGTGACGATTATGTCTTTTGTTTCGTAAGCTTGCGCTCGTACTTTTAGTAATAATAGGACGTCTAGTTATTTTGGTTGTAATTTTGGCTGCATAGCCATTTGTAGACGAGTTATCAGGAACTAAACGAGTATTGACCTTTTTTCGTCTCATATTGTTGCCATTCCTGGAAGCAGTAGAGACAGTAGAGTTGGAGAACTTTTGTAATACGCTACTTGTACTTTTGGTTGGTTTAGCAGCTGCCAAAGCTTGATTAGCAGCAGCAACAGTAGTTTCCATGCTTTTAAGTTTATCCTTAGTATCTTGTAGCTCAATTGTTAATTCTTGAATTTGCTTTTGATAGCTTTCTATGATGGGATGAGTCTGAATACGTTTTGTTGTATTCACGTCTTCTAAAAGAGTGTCGTCTTCTAAGCTATCCTTTTGCATGAACTCGCCTAATTCGCGTTCCATCAAAAGAGTGTCTCTTTCACTTGTCACTTGAACCAAACGGTTCGACATATCTTGAAGTCGATCTCGTAGTCTGGCTGATTCATTTTTGAGTGAAGCGGAATCGTCTTGTGAGGTATTTGCTGTAGACATGGAATGCCCATCAGCACGCAATGATGCAATTTCCATACGTAGTCGAGAGACAAGTGCTTTCAATTGATTGACTTCCATAGATGAACCAGCAAAATCCTGATTGACAGTGACACGGTTTTTAATATTGCGAGCACGGTTGGCATATTTAAGTGTATTGAGTGTCTCCATAAAGTTTGTATCTGCTGGTGAAACACAGGCGAGCATGAGTGTTTGACTGTTGCCACCCAAAGAGTCTTGAAGTAATCGAGTCAGTTTGCTGTCTCGGTAAGGTATATGAGTTGCTCTTCGAGTTTCATCACCTAATGCTGAAATAACGTTTCCCAAGGCCAATAATCCAGAATTAATGGCTATACCTTCTTTAGCTCGATCACCTTGTGCATGTGTTCGTTTTAACTAAATATATAAGTAACGCATTTCCTTTTATCTTGCTTACTCGTTCAGAACCAGCTAGATCTACAAAATGAAATTTACTATTGAGTGATTCGATCACTTTTTTGCCTGTTTCATCTTGCTCAGGTTTTTGTTGTTTCAGTATGACAGAGAAAATAGCATGCGATCTAGACGATACGGAATTCATTTCAGTTGATCCCGTTGTACGACCTAAAGAACCTTGTGCAAGGTATCTTTTTTGAAGCAATTAGTAACAAAAAATTTGTCGGCAGCTGTTTTTATTTTTGTGTACCCTAATACTTCTTCAGGGCTGTAGCAAAGTTCTTCTTTGACGCCGCTCCAATAAATATTTCCAGCAATATCTTCACGAATTGAAACTTCTTCTTTGGTGTTGCCATTTGTTTGCTGCTGTTGCTGCTGCTGTTGTTGTTGTTGTTGATTTGGTGTAGAGAGAGTAGATTTTCTTTTAGATGGTTGAGATGTGTTTAACAAGTCAATAAACTCTTCGTTGTAAAGTTCAAGAAAAGAAACATAAACTTGGAATTTATAGTCTTCATCTTGGAGTTCTTGAGCTTTCAAGACTTGAAATAATTCAACAATGCATCGGGGCACAATTCCTATAATGAAATAAAAAAAGAGGGGGGTTAGTTGAGGAGGAGGAGGGGGAGGGGGGGAAAAGGGGGACGAAAAAGGATAAGAAACTGACCTTCATTCTCAGCACTGACAGTGCTATCCAAGCTTGTACCCATACTGAATGTTTTACCTGAACCTGTTTGACTATGATTGAAATCATTAGAATATGTCATGTTGTTTTTGATATTTACCCATAGGCCAAAATAGTAGCATTAAACCTATTCCATCGATTGAGTCATTGTTCATATTATCGTTATTTTACCCATCAATAAATTTGTGCAGTAGTGGTGAAGCGGCACTAGAGTAGACCTGGGCTTGGTTGGCTGAGGACTCAAATACATAATCATATGTAAATGATTTGTCAGTTCCAATCAAGATTTGCGGTTCGTTTGGGATAAATGAAAGACACTCTGTGCAGTTATTGATTCGTTCTTTCTCTGTAAGTGGTCGGACACGCAATCCAACTCTATAAAAAAGAGTTACATGTCTAGCAATTTGGCGGTCTACGATTTTATATATTAAAATTAATGCTGGTACCTCACTGCAGTGGAAGTCATGTCTTGGTTAAAAACTTATTAATATTAAAAGAAAAAAGAAAGAAAAAAGGTATATAAAAAGGGTTAAAAGAGAGAAAAAAGTATTAAGTATTATGTACAGTTGATAGAAAAATAAAAAGAAAAGAAAGAGAGAGAAATTTTGTTTGGTTCAACCGAAATGTATATGTTTGTCTGTTTTGCGGTTTTTCAAAACAAATGGCACTTGCGGTGCTACTTCCGAGTGTAGCACTTTTTCCCCTTTTTTTTTTTATCCAAACAAAACTATAAAGTGTGACACATACAACAGACTTATGAATCAGGTGGTTTATTACTACTATTCATCATCATCGTCATCAGAATGCTGAGACTTCTTTCGCTTCACTTTCTTCCCCATTTGTGCCTTTAAATCTTCTAATTTTCTCTTTTGTGAGCCCTTAATACTCTTTTGAACTTCGTCTTCCATCACTTCCTTTCGAACAAAAATATATCGCTTTGGTTCTGAAGAAATAATTTCTGCATTAGCGCCTTTGCTCAAGCCCTCCTTGAATCCAAGTGTACGTCTATGTTCGTAACCAGGGAAATCGTCCACATAGAAAGGCGCTGTACCTTTCACAGCTAAGACACCTTTTGCTTTCACAAGACTTTTAACAGCCCATAAGTTATATGGCTTGACTGTTTTCAATGTAACATGAATTTCTCCTTCAGGTATAGGGCCATCATCTTCAATGCGCAAGTGATCGCTTGTTTCTACTGGTTGATCTGTGCTTTTAGATAGTAAAGGACTGGCGGCATCAAAAAATCCATTCAGCAACTTTTGATTAGCAATCACATTTCGATCTTGATCCTTGATACCAGCACCTATAATACTCGTCAATTCAGTTAAATCGCTCATTCAACATACCAGCATGAGGAAAGTTAAACACAATCTTTGTGTATTTGCTCTTTTTGATTTCTTTAGGAAAGTCAGTTGCATCCACATCAAATAAAACAATGCCACCAAATTCACGTACAAATTCGATATTTTCTTTCACTTCATCTCCGTATTTCTCATAAAGCACTTGCTCAGAGTCATAACAAGTTGCTGTCAAATGCTCAGCACCTTCTTCTAAATAGTTTTCACACAAAGACCGGGCAAATGAAAAATTACCCTCGCCCACAAGAAGAATTCTATCTTTGGAACTGTATTGTGGTCGAACACGAGCTGTATGGGAAGGGGTTTTTCTTATTTGGTTCTTTTTTGCTCTATTCATATTGTCGTTGTATGCGTTGGCTTTGCGTTCTTGTTCTTTCCTCTTGTCCGCCTTGTTGAGTATACGGCCAAGGGCGTTGGCCAATTTCTTTCTCTTTAATTTTCCCATAATAACCAAGATAAAAAAAAAGGAAAAGAAAAAAAAAACGGATGAAAAGTTTGGCATGAATTTCGTATAAGCCACTCAAGACTCTTTTTTTTTGGCATACTGTTGTTCGATGACAGTTTTATTTCTTTAATACTGGTTTTGGTACATGAAGAAGAGAATAAAGTTTGTCTCTTTGCTCCTTAACTTGTTCTAAAGATTGAGTCCTAAACAAGTAATAAGAACCATGTGTGATTTGTGCTTCGCTTACCAATCTGTTCCTGTGATAATCTCAATGGCTTCTATCATATCCTCACTTTCCTCGGCTTCTTCAGACATGGAAAGTTGGGTAAATAATTGATCCGATGCCTCAATTCGAATCTATGAATATTAGACGTGATGGGCTTATCTGATTTAAGACTTACTCTAGGAAATGCATGTACAAGATAAGATAATAACTGTTGAAGTGCCTTTGTTTTCACCTGAGTATCCTCCAGCGAGATCAAACCAATATAGACTTTGATTGAAGCCAATAATTTACGTACATTTTTGCTCTTGAAGTTTTCTTTCTTGACAAGCAAAAATAGTCTAAGATGTCTATACAAGAAAAGTGAGTCTAAATGTATATTACGGACTCAAGATAACGTACAAGTTGTTTTGAGTACATTTGATCAATGTTCCAGATTCATACAAGAGACCAACCACATCTAATAAAGGTATAGTCACTCGGTCTTGCTTTTCATACTTGGCAAAAATAGCCAAGAGTGTTTTGAAGATGGCTTCCAAAGATGGATCTGCAGGTTCATTAGCAGGTAAGTTGTTCATGTATTCAATCAGACAAGCACTCGAGTGACGAACCTAGATAAAATCAGTCAACGAACAATAAACACAAAAACTTACTAAAGATTCTGTAAGACCGCCAGCACTTGCGATTAAACCAGTCAAGAGCTCAAATCGATATTCAGGTATGGCCAAGATATGGACCATCACAGGATACAAGTCAGAAGGTGTTGACCATGACAAATCCCTATGGATATGTGACCTTAAATAGTCTCGACCGGGAAACTTTAAATGTTCACTTGAAAGAATCAAATCACACAAAACCTTGCCTGCACTTGCTCTCACTTTATCAATACGCTCCACACTTTGTTTAAGTAAAGCAGCAATAAGTCTGGAAGTATGATCCATAGATAAATAAGGTTCAGGACTTGACGCATCTAACCTTGAAACACAGGGCAACAAGTAATCAATCAAGTCCATAGCAGCTGTACGAACCCAAGAACCAACATCACCTCGTTGATCTGTACTATAATCTGTAAGACAAGACTTCAAAGATTGTAACACATATTCAAAATCTTCACGGGAAACAGCTTTTAAAAAGAAAGGGTTAGACACTGTCTCGATGGTTGACTTTCTTTTACCTGTTTTTAAATTGTCTCCTAAATGAACAAAGATATGGTGTAATCCAATGACTGCATTTCGCTTAGCTTCTGCATCATTCAATTGGTGGTTCTCCTAATCCTAGTTATTTCAAATTGAAACAAGTAGTTTTCTTACTTGAACCTGAGATCCTTTGGCTAATTGAATTATGACTTGATGCAGTCCTTCTGTATAGTCTATTGTTCCTAAAGCAAGTGCATATCCTCGACGACTATAGTAGTTGATTTGTTGTGTATCAATCTTTTTCAATGCCAATGATAATTCGTCTGGTTTAAATCCGTAGGTTTTTGCCATGGCACCAAAAGCAAAGACAGCAAATGCTTGTACGCTTTCTTCTTTACGTTCCAATGAACCATGCACTACTTTTTTCCAATCTGACAATGTCTTGTCAGACACTTTGAGTTGTGTCTTGGAGAAACTAGAGACAAGGTGACACGCTGCCTCACGAATGTGTTCAGAACCAAACGTGGTTAGTGATTTAGGAGGTAATTGGGTAATAATGGATTCTAAAAGAAGGGTATGTTGATGGTAGGCGTTAAGTATATCAGGTTGTTGTGTTTCGTAAAGGGCAAGTGCAATTTCAGCAATAGCTAAAAGAGCACCATGTGATATCTGCATGTCCTTGTTGGTGGCATTGGGTATCAGAGAAGGAAATACCGTATGGACAAAATAAGTGGGGTCAAGGGCAACTAGATTATATAACGCTTTTGAAGCTAACACTCGCATGGCTTTGTCCCAGTGTTTAGCAGTGATGGTGACCAAATGTTGAATTAAATGGTATCGGTACTCATCAAATCTATCTCGTCAGCATTCACAAGTACAGATATACAAATTACCTTGCAATATCAAATGCAATGCTCAAGAAGGCATTGTTGCGATTACCCAAAGAGAAATAATCAGCCTTCTGAATGATGTCTATCCCATGAGGGAAAATGCCTTGACGACCTACATTCTCTTGAAATGCAGCACTACTTGCGCGACGTACATTGATTTCTCTATCAAAGACAGAGACAACAATCAGATTTTGTGCAATTTCAGCTACAAAAGGCTGAATGATCTCAGGTGCATAGGCTCTAGCAAAAGCCCAACAAACATAACAACAAGCATCTCGAACATGAGCACCAATCGAATGAGATCCACGCTTCAAATCAAATTTAAGGCCCCTAAGAATCCATGGCATCGTCTCTTGAAGGCGGTTTGGCAAGAGCAAGCCACGACGAGCCAGTTCAGCTACAGCTAATGAAGCACCATGCCAGGTATGATCCGAAACAGCAGATAGATTCAGTGACCCATCCTGTTTGTTGATCAATGTGTTTTCTTCAAACAATTCCAACAAGGAACCCACAACATCCTCAGCAAGTTCTTGAGGTAAACGTTGCGTGATACGCCCAATACCCTTGGCAGCAGACCAGCGAACAATCGTGTCTTTATCACGCAAACCATGTAACAAGATTTCAATAATGACTTCTAAATTTTCAGAAATATCATCATCATCGTCTTCTTCTTCTACCATGGTATGCTGAATATAGATTGTGGTTCCTTCTTTATGCCCCAAGTTTTGTTTAAGTGATCGATTGCCTCGTTGGTATCTCCAGGCAGCCACTTTTGGCTTAAGATAACAAAGACCCACACGTTGAGTTAGTTTGGTACGAAGCTTGCGTATTAAAGCATTATTGGCATACAAATCAAAGAATGCCATTGTCAAGAGAGGTATAACCGTGTCATCAAGTGTTGGCAACAATACATGACGAGGCGACAATTGATAAGTCATGCATAAGCTTTGAAGAATACCAGTTGTCTATCATTTCTCTCTTGTTAGAATCCAATAGGGCAATCAAGTCTTTTACCTCGAATACATCAGCATTGGAACTCAATCTTTGCTTTGCCCATTCAATATAAGGCACTAAATAATGTTGGCATAAATCTTGACGAGACAAGAGTCGAGCAATCAAAAGACCAGCACCATCACGCTCTTTACCCGTAGTGCATAAATAATGCTTACATACATTCAGCATCTTCTCAATCAAAGGACTATCTTGAGCACCACTATCGATTCGCTTTAAATCAAAAGGAATCATACAGATCAAGGAAAGCCAAATAAAACAAATGTATCTTGCTTCCCATAAATCTGTTCTTTTTGGATCCATGCTTGAGAGATACTCAAACACAGGCTCTAAATCAGTCACTTCATGCGACATAAACCTCACTAACTCATTGTTTAGTTTCTCTCTCTCTCTCCTTTTTTTTTTGTGTAGGTATGATTACCAATGGTTTTGTATCCTCTTGTCTTTGTCAAGAGATATAAGAATCGAAAAAGTAAGCATGTTATTTCCTGCATGTCTTGCTTGTTTTCAATATCTTGTCGAAGTCTTATCATGACTGGCTGTATCATATATTCTAAACTAGGATCAAGTAAATGAGCTTGTTCTTGATATGAATCAAGCTTTAAGTGATCAGTCTCGAAAATAATAACAAAAAATGACTTACAATAGTCGCTATTTGTTCTAAAGCATCTGTTGCCTCTTTAACTTGTACATTGTTACGCGTTAAGGAATGAATCAAGTTCATGCATTCTTCTTTATGCTCAAAATGAGAGCGTTGAGAAGCACATACATGCTCTTCAACCAACTGATCGTCTTCCATACAAAAAGAGAGAAAGAAAAAGAAAGAGACACACGAGGTACCCATCTTCTCTTTTCAATAACCGCATTTACTTTTTCTTGTATTTTTATCATGTATACAGAAAAGCCAACCACGCTTCACCATCGTCATTCATTTTTTGATTTGCAAAGAGCAGCTATCATTAGAGATACGCCGTCTGTACGTCTAAGAAAAGCTGCTCAAGAAGGCAACATTGCTGCAGTGAAACGATTATTAAAAAAAGTAAGCAACATTCAGAACCCTGATCCAGAGACAGGATAGTAAGTACCTCATTAGCAGTACTTTCTTTCGATACTCAACCCTGCAGTACTACGCTCATGTATGCTGCACGATATGGGCATGTTGATCTAGTAGAACTCTTGCTTGAATTAGGACACGAAGAAGAAGTGATTTCCATGGTAATTCAGACACAATGATTGGCTAGCATAATAATCATAGGTATAGGACAAAGAAGGCATCACAGTACTGATGCTAGCAGCCATGTATAACCATGAAGAGGTAAGCCATAACGATCAAACGGTATGTCTCATATGCGTTAGATATTCTTTTTATACGTGAGTAGATATCCAGAGTGCATTCATGCCATCAGTAAACATGGTTGGACTGCTTTGTTTTATGCTGCTCAAAATGGCAATGCTAACCTTGTTAGTGTAAGTGAGTCATGACAACCAAATGCGCTTATCTGATTCTATTAGTATTTGCTGTCTATATCTGCTGATTTTGATCATATAGATAATGATGGAAATTCAGCACTTCATCATGCTTCTGCTTGGGGACATATCACTGTCATGGACTTGCTGGTGGTAAAGTATATTTTACATGAAGCCCTATCTCATCAACTACATAGTCTGAAGGATGCAATGTAAATCTTGAGAACAATGAACACTCAACAGCCTATGATTATGCTTATAGTACGCTTGTTCAAGAACGTTTAAAAGGTAAAGAAATATGAACCAATATAAGATTGATTGATTCTTATACAGAAATGTCACTCATACCCTTTAATGATGATTCCACACTCTCTGTCTCTTCCTTGCAAAGACAACAAAGTCTTGTCAATGGCCCTTATTCTTCCTCTTACTCTAGCACAAGTGGTTATTTGGGGCTGAATAGCATGGCTCTTTCGCGTGGTCCATCCTATGGCAACACAGGCCATGAAAGTCCCATTCCCCGGGCATCTACTTCCTCTTCTTCTCTTGTGATACCCTCTTCTGCTTCTGGCACAAACACTGGCATGTTAACTAGCTCCCGTGGTTCATTCCAACAACAAAGCGGAAGCCCTTCTTCACTTTCTGAACTAGAGAGAAGGAGAGCAAGTAGTTTTGGTGATACAAAGCCAAAAGGATATCGTCCTATTTGAACTCTCCTTTTTGAGGGGAGGAGGAATTCACAGACATTATGCTATCCCCTCTTTTTTTTCTTTATTAAATAAAGTTTGGGTTTCATTAAAACAGGGTTATATTAAAATAGGATCAAGAAAGACGCTGTTGTTTTCTGGTTCGAAATAAGATTCTTTTGTGATCAATGTCTTGTAAAGTCAAGTCGAGTACAATGTCGTTTTTAGAAGAAAAGATACACTATGGTCTTTATTTAGTTGAATTTTTTCTTTATCAACTTACTTTAATAAACTGATCACAGTCAATCATTCGCTTAGGCATGCTTTGAAGTATCTGAAATGCTTCAATAGCATCTTCAGCTTCATAAATGCGTTGTTCATTTAGCTTAAGTATTGTCAGGGCCACTTGATAGAGCACTTTAAATCCTTCACTAAGTACACACAGTGAGTCTATTATTGTTGTTCTGGATATACTTACATAAAGAAACAATCCCACACACGCAATACTGTTTCCACTGGTAAAATATGGATATACATCGTCAAGAACCAATGGGTTGTGATGAACGTAATGGAAGGAAATTCGCCCTGTACTTGTTCATATTCCCAAAAACATTTTTTGTCTGAAATCTTGGACCATATGGCCGGCATATGTTCATAAATCAAATTCATCAAGACAGTTTGTTCTAGTTGAGTCCCTTGCATGGTAGTATCAAACATCTCTTTTGGAAAGTAGTCCTGTACGATAGTCACCAACATCCAAAATACTTGTTCTTCTGTATCGTAAAACAAGAGCAAAAAGCCTGCCAAGAAGTTGAGTGATTGGCAGTAACCAATATCAGGTAAATAGAGACTAAAGGCAGACAAGACATGTTGAAGCATGGTGATTTTAGTGTCTTTTGTAAAATGAGTATTGTCAGGGAAAGTACGGAAAAGGTCTTTTTGAATAGATTCATCTATAAGCGTTGGCTCCTGTTCAATTTGGAGCAGAAGGGATTGATATAAACCAGGGTTTGCTTCCATATGCGTTCCGGCGCCACTATAGTGCATCCATGCCTAACTATTGATTAAACTTTATTGATAGTTTCATTTAGTTTACCTTTGCTCTCACTTGTGGGGGTAGCCCCTTTCTGACATAATGAATCACTACAACATAAGTCATTTATTCATTATTTTTTGACTTACATTCAGGGCATAATTCAGGCCATTGATGATGGTTATTTTGAAGTAGTGTATACCATCTTTTTGATTGTTTTTGTTGTATTGTCTTGTATCTTGACTCAAACTCATAGATCTTTTCTGGCTTAATCCATTCAAATGGTTTTTTGAAGCCATAGTCATCTCTGGTCCATAGGAATGAATGACCACATCTACATGTCTTTCTAGTTTACCTGTCATTGGTATCTGAGTCTATTGTTGTGATAGAAGATGCGCTTGAATGTAATGATGAAAATATACTGCTGACAGAATGAATGGAGGATGTATCATCTGCATATAGGCTGTTACTGCTTTCTACCCGTGTGCCTGCATGAAGACCGTAATTTGACAGTAATTGTTGTTCTTGTATCTGTTGTTTCCTTGAAGACACAAGTAATTCTTTGAATGCATTTTGAATTGACTTTTGTTGTTTCTCAAGTCGTTTTTGTTCTGCTTCTTTATTGACATAATGTAATTCAAATAAACTCATGATAAATAATAAAGGAAACAAGAAAATAAAAAGACTGTTATATACAAGTTGAATTTCAAGGAGAAGGATATTTCATTGTCTCCTGGTTTGTGCTACCCATCAAGAAATGAAGAATGCAACTCCTTTTTTTAACATGTCTTTTAATTACATATTATTATGTTCATATTGAATTGTGCTTTATTTTAGGGTTCATGATTGGATAGTGTACAAACACGTAAATAAATCAAAAACAAAGTCAAACAAAGAGGCAGAGTGTGTGAGTGTGTGAGTGTGTGTGTGAATGTGTGTGTGTGTGTGTGTGTGTGCACTTTTTTTATTTTATTTTATTTTTTAATAATCATGAGTTTTGTATTAACTGTGCCTGAAGCAGCTGCTACACCCGATACTATTCAGTTTAAAATAGTAGTTGAGGGCGAGGTAAATAAAACAAGACAGACCTTCATCTAAGTTCATATGTTCTAGATTCAGGACGAAACAATATTACCTACTTGTTTCCGTACGTTTCAGCAAATAAGTTGGATACATAGCAAGTTGAAAAGAGCGTTTACAGATATTGTATTACCGCCTTTACCTGAACCACCTGTGGTATCGCATATTGACGACCAAGACTATGTTGAACGGAAACGGCTTCAGATAGAGCGTCTTTTTAGTAAACTCAGTCGACGCACTGAGTTACTGGAACACGTTGATTTCCTTCATTTTTTGTCCAGTGATATGGTATATATATATATATATATATATCTAGCTTTATATACACTAATGATGATATAGTCACCTACAAAAGAAGGACCTACAAATACAGGTGTCTTGTCCTTTTTAAAATTCAATCGTGTCATGAAACCCAACACAGACCGAGGATTTAAATCATTCAAGCCCTCAGAAATTATTGAAGGTGTAAGTTCATATCTGTCAATACCAATCACTCATGTAGCCATCAGAATGATCAAGACACATTTCATAAGCATCAAGCCTATATTTTACTGCAAGAATCGTATTATGGGTTTATTGCAGAGTCATTAAATCAATTGATCCAGACCAGAGAAGGACTCGGTGACATGATGGTCCATATGGGTGACTTGATTATCGAAACAACACAGAGTAAATACCGTCTTGGTTTAGGTCTCAAATCAGACCTGAGAGAATCTCAAAGGACATTGGATCGAAAGATGCAAATGCTGGGTTTATTGATGGATGAATTAGGTTTTGTGTTTATGCGACAAGGCATTGAAGAGAATATGAAATTTGGTGATATCATGATTGAGTTCAAAAACGCATTAGATCCATTAAAAGTGATATTCAACACAAGGACAACAAAACTGATGGAGTATGTGGATCAGCTCAAGTATCGCAATAAGAAACGAGAAAGATCAGACAAAGTAACCGCAAGACTCGGTCCTCATCATCCGGAAGCCAAAGAAATCATGGCTGAAGAAAGAGAAGTAAGGTGTGTACGACACATGGACAAATCACTCATTTGATCATAGGCTACAGATCAACTAGAGAAAAAAAAGAGAGAATTTGATGATTACCAAAAGAAAGTGAAAGGAGAAATCAAGCTATTTGAAGATCAAAAGAGCAACGATGTGAAAAAGGCGATCAAGGACTATGTCAGCCTGAGTATTCGATATGAAAAGACAAAATTACAAAATTTGGAAAAGACATTGAATGATATGCAGCAACCAGTGGTCAAGTCTATTTTTGCTACTTATCAATTGTCTCCTTCTACTTCTTCTTCTATAAGAGATGGTGAAGAGTCTGCTTCTTCTTCTTCGGTATTGGAATCCGCTTCAAGAAAAAAGAGAAGACAGAAACAACACTTTCACCAAAATTTCAAAGAATTAAATAAGCCATTGCAAACCTCTGCCTCTTTACCTACACGGCACAACAAACCTGAAGAGGATGATTTAAGCGACAATAATACAAGCATGATACCTACTACTACTACTACTCATATCACGCCAATACCAACTAAAGAAGATAACAACAATCGATTGTCTATATCTGCTTCTTATGATGAACGCTTTTCTGCAAAGAATTGGTTAGCTGAATAAAAAAAAGTACTTTATAGGACAATGATTCGGAAAAGCTATCCGTCTCCGTATGCCGTTATGAACAAAATTCAATTGAGCTAGCCATTGAGAGTTAAAGTTGTTTACATGAAATTTTCTCAGTGTTTAATTCCATACTATCAAACTGGACAATAAACAAAGGCTCCATCCTAAGCGGATCTATCTCTTATGAGGAGAGTCAATCAAGCTTGGCAAAAAAGACACCCATAAAAAGTACGTGACTGTCGTCAAACAAACCCAAATGGGTTTCTTTAATTGGGTCAATTTCTCTTTTTCTTTTTCTTTTTTTGTTCATTCAATCGTATCATTGGCTAGACTATGTCAAACAATAGTAATATTTCCATGATGCATACAAATACAACTTATACTAGTATAGACACACCTACCTATCATCAATCAAATCCATCTCATGTAAGACCTTCCGTAGAACAACAGACTCGAGCTTCTTCTCAACCAAGGTATGATACAATGAATGCTGTTGCTGCTGCTGCTGTTGCTGCTGTTGCTACTACACCTTCCCAATCCTCTCCACAATCAACACAAGCTTCTCCTCCAACATATCCACATGCTTATCCAGCCATGGTAAGAAAGATATAACTATACAAAAAAAATTTTTTTTGTCTCAACAGCCATAGCCAAATTTAGTATTAACGCCTGGGAACACCACGTATTCACCACAAGTGCGAACTGAAGAACCTGCTGAAGAGCCATTATATGTGAATGCAAAACAATACCATCGTATCCTTAAACGTAGGCTTGCTCGTGCTAAATTGGAAGAAATAAGTCGCGTGGCTAGAGCAAGAAAGCCATATCTTCATGAAAGTCGTCACCGTCATGCTATGCGTAGACCGCGTGGTCCTGGTGGTCGATTCTTGAGTAAGTTGTCTTGATTGTAATGCATCATTGATTTGTTTGTCTTTAGCTGCTGCAGAAGTTGCTGAATTAGAAAAGGCTGGTAAATTAGCTGAACAATCAAAATCGAACCAACAGGACAATGAACAACAGCAGCAACAAAGTACAATACCACAACCACACATGAATTGGCAGCCCAACATAATGAATCCACAAACTCAACAAGGATATTACGAACAATCATAATCATACACACACATACACACACCTAAGCTTGATAGAGTAGTATCTTCTTTTTTTTTTAGACAATAAAAACAATGCAAAAATAGATATAATTTTTGTTTCTTCAAAGCAAAATTGCGGTAGTCAACTTGACAATTGACACAAGGTATGAACCCATTGCTATAATCAATATAAAAGCATCCATATAATTAAAAACCACACACATACTTTGTAAGTAATAAATAAATTTAGATTCCATTTGGCACACTTACTATGCTTTTGATCCTCAATTAATGTCTTTTTTGAGTGTCAGGTTTATTATTTAGTCTTGATTCATGAACAGACTTACAATTCGTTTTTGAATAAAACTGACAAATGTAATGGTTCCACCAGCAGATTGGTAGCCCGCAGTAAGCGTCAATGTTTTTCGGAATAAGCCTTCTAATTCCCGTTTTTTTGAGTTTCCTATGTTTAAGCACACATAAAAGAACATATTGATGCAAAAATAGAGCAAACTGTGAAAAAGCCAAAAAATCATCATTTGCCCTTAGATACCCTTTACAAATTCTTCATTTTTTACTTTTTTGCGATTGGTGATCGATAAAGACATTATAGACATAACATGACCTATCGCTTTTGTTAATACGCTTAAACACTTTTAGTCCATCATTTCTCTTGAATTTCGGATTTTCTTCTTATTATGTATTGGATGAAAGTTTTATTTGGAAAAATAAAATCATCGTATAAATGGAAACTAGTGTATGTGAAGCAAAGTGACTAGTCATATGAAATATCTTTAAAACAATGCTTTTGTGGAAGCATTCAGTACCATTATATGAGTCTTATATAATCCCAAAAAAAAATAGTCATCACCTGGACTACCCCTTAAAATGTTCTAAAAGGATATATCAAGTGCTTCGTTCGTTGCTCCTGAGAGCCAGTATTCTTTATATCTTGTCTTGTTCAATGCTACAGATGGCTATACCAATACCACAAGTAGAGGACATCATTCCAGAATGTCTTCAATTACTTGGCACTTGACACAATTGTTGATACCTAAGAGATACAGTCCTTCACAAGGGATTATAGCAAAATCCGGAACACCACCCAAGAGTGACCAGACCAACGTACTAAAAAAAATTCTTTGGACAAAAGAAAGGTGAACTTTTGAATTTGATTTTTAAAGAATCATGAATGACAACACCATCTGATCCTATCTAAATATTAAAACTATTTTAATTGAATCTCTTTAATTTTAGTCTTCATTTCTCACTTCATTAGTTTCAATAAAGACACTTTGTTCTTGCCTTTTTCAATACTAGTTCATGTTTAAATCGAGTAAAAGAGAGATTTTTTTATTCAGTGACAAAATGGCAATCTTCCGTGCGCTGCTATTATGCAGAATCACGTTCGAAGGGTATGATCTCAGCAAGGTTAGAACCAAGCACCCCTAGCGCCGATTGTTGCTAATAAAAAAGAAGAAATCTTTTTCAAAAAAAACAACCAACCTATAAAAAAAATATCAGAACAGAAAGTATCACCATGTCAAAAAGAGAATTTAAGCCTTGACGGCTGCCTTCTCTTCTTCAGCTTGTCTTTTGAGAGAAGCGCGAGCAGCATAAGCAGCCTTTTGACCAGAGATCAACATGGCACCAAAAGTAGGACCCTATTTCAATGTTAGTATACTTAGAGTGTACCACAGCCTCATGTCTGCACAAATCAATACCATTCGAGGAGCACCATCGAGTTCAGCAAGTTCCATACCCTATCATATAGAATTCAATAGGCCATTCACTAAGTAAATTGTGTACTTACAGTAACAACCATGCCAGGAACAACTTCACGAGTATATCTTACAATATCATCTTCAGCAGAGTTCATATCAAGCGAAAGCATGCCTTTCTTTTGATCAATCAAGCCGATGGATTCCAAACGCTTGACTGAAGATGCACCCATAGGACCATCGTGACCAGTGCCAGAAACAACAACCTTGGCTTCCATCACATTAGGATCCATACAAGATTGAGTATCATGGTTCAAACTGACCAAAGTCCAGTTGGTAACAACACCAGCGACTTTACCTCCCTTGACAATAAGGTCTTCAACAGCAGTAGCGTTAAAAAGCTTTACATTGGGACGCATCAAGAGCTTGGACAAGATGGTAGACGTAAACAAAGCAGCATGCTTGACAACGACATAATCGTCTTTTTCATCATAAGGGATACCAAGTTCATTAAGAAACTTATCAGCAGGTTTACGGACAACCATGGCAGAGAAGAGTTGACCGCCTAACCAACAACCACCACCAGGAGAAACGCTTTGCTCAATAATGGCAATCTTCAAGCTAGGGTCTTTGGATAATTCCCAGGCACAAGAAAGACCAGCACTACCGCAACCAACAATTACCACGTCAGATTCAGCGTATTCGAGCATATCGTTCATGTAACGCGTAACCATCTCACGATTGACTTGAGCTTCACGAATAGGAGCAAACTTGTAGTTATCAAAGTCTTGAAGCTTCTTGTCAGGGACAAACTCATTGGCACCACCAAGACGGTGACCATTGGAGCAAGCAGTAAGAGTAACAGTAGAAGACATGATAAATAATGAGAAAAAAAATGTAAAAGAGAGGGTGGTATTTATATCCTTGTATTTCTATCGATTTTTCTCATGCTAGCATCACTGTATCACATACTCAATACCCTTGAAGTAAGATTGTGTACAGATAAGTCGGAACCAAGCGTGATTGAACAAGATCCGAAATAATGGTAGATGGGAGATTTTATAGTATGACACATATTTTATTTCTCATTTTTAATGCAAACAAACCAGCATGTTTCATATAAGCCAAACTAAAACTACCTTACTTAGGGAATAAAACATTATTTGTTTATTTCTTTTGTGTATTCCAAGAGAAAGAAAGAAAAAAAAACACGGGAAATAATCAACGTTTCTTTATATCATGTTGAATCAAGCTCGTATCGATGTTATCAATGGAGCATTAAACAGGTCTACGCGTACGGTTGATTTTCCCAAAAGTGCCACTTCAGGTAATCAAGCTGCCATATCAGAAGTTTTTGGCAAAAATGTATTTGGTATCAAAGAAATGTCAAGTAAACTTCCCAAGCCTGTGTTCAAACGTTTCTGTAACCAATTGAAAGGTGGACACACGTTAGACAGAGCAACAGCAGATGCCATTGCCCACGCTGCCAAAGTATGGGCGCTTGAGCACCATGCAACTCATTTCACACATTGGTTTCAACCTTTGAATGATTCTACAGCGGAAAAGCATGATTCTTTCCTGTCACTTAAAATGTCATTTACCAATGGACTTTCAGAGGTGATTTTTTTTTTGTTTATTCTGTCGCATGTGTTTCTAAACAAGGGTATAGGCTACTCCATTAGAGACTTTTTCTGGCTCTGAATTGTTACAATCCGAACCTGATGCTTCTTCTTTTCCCTCTGGTGGTATGAGAACTACTTTTGAAGCAAGAGGATATACAGTATGGGATACAAAAAGGTAGATGATTCTTTTCTTTTAAAAAAGGTAACCTACGTGTATTGCATAGTCCTATGTTTCTAAGAGACGGGCCCCATCATACCATGGTGCTTTATATTCCTTCCGTATTCATCTCTTATAACGGTGAAGCACTTGATGAAAAATCAGTTCTTTTGAGATCTTCTTCTGTCATTTCCAAAGTGTCTTTGGAAATTCTTCATCTCATTGAACCTTTTACAGAAGGTAAGCTATTCATCTGCTGTGTACTATATAACTCATGCATATGGATTAAGATGAACCACGTACAAAACAAATCTTTACTACCTTGGGCACAGAACAAGAATTCTTTTTGGTCGATAGAAGTCTCTATGCTCTTCGTCCTGATCTCAAGACGTGTGGACGTACCCTTATCGGTGGACTTCCCGCTCGTCATCAACAACTTGAAGACCATTATTTTGGCAGAATCCCATCCCGCGTATTGGCTGCCATGAGTGAAGTTGAACTCGAACTGGCTAAACTTGGTGTTCCTATCAAGACGCGACACAATGAAGTCGCTCCTAGTCAATTTGAAGCCGCACCTGTGTTTGAAGAAGCCTTGATTGCTGTTGATCATAACTTGCTGACCATGGATGTCTTTCACAGTGTAGCTCACAAGTATAAGCTTAAATGCCTGTTCCACGAAAAGCCCTTCAAAGGTGTGAATGGGTCAGGCAAGCACTGCAATTGGAGCATTGCTACAGACCGAGGCGATAATCTCTTGAATCCCACGTCTACACCAGAGACAAATTATCGATTCTTACTGTTTTTGGTGGCCATATTAAAAGGTGTGCTTGATCATGGTGATCTTTTACGCGCAGGTGTTGCCTCTGCCTCCAACGACCATCGACTTGGCGCTCAAGAAGCTCCTCCAGGCATCATCTCCGTCTTTCTAGGTTCAGAACTCAACGAAGTATTGAATGCGGTGGAAGAAGGCAGACAAGTCAACAAAGTCTTGGCTGGTACAGAAACAACGCGAATCCGAATTGAAGGCACAACGCTTGACCTTCAGGTAGCCACTTTGCCAAAACTAAATCGTGACATGACAGATCGTAACCGTACTTCTCCATTTGCATTCACAGGCAACAAGTTTGAGTTCCGTGCTGTAGGTTCAAAACAATCACCTTCGTTTCCTGTGACCTTGCTGAACTCAGCTGTAGCTTCTGCCTTGATCGACATTCGAGACGACCTCAAGAAACAAATGGGCAATAAAAAGGTTGCTTCGGATGAAGATTTGCTTGTGATCATTCGCAAATACATCACGTTGACCAAACATGTGCGTTTCGAAGGCGATAACTATACTCAAGAATGGATTGAGGAAGCCAAGCGTCGTGGTCTTTCCAACATCACCAAGAGTCCTGAAGCGTTTAAGCGTATCAAGAGCGCCAGCAATATGAATATGCTGACTCGTCTTGGCGTTTTTACAGAGGCAGAATTGAATTCACGGTATCATATCTTGTGTGAAAAGTATGCTAAAGAGATCATCATTGAAGGCCTCACGATTGCAAATATGACTATTCAACAGGTACTTCCTGCAGCCTATAGCTATCGTCATGAACTTGCATCATCAAGTGCTCTTTTAAAGCAAATTGATGCGGCTTTTGGGCCTGAAAAAAAACTGTTGGATCAATTAGCTTCTCCTGTCGTTTCCCTTCAAGAAGCAACAGAAAAACTCGAGGCCAAGATTGCCAAAGCACAACATATGAAAGATCCTATAGAAACAGCCAATTATGCCTGCGACACACTCTTGCCACACATAGAACGGGTCCGTTCTTTATCTGACCAACTAGAAAAATTGGTAGCTGATAAATACTGGCCATTGCCTAAATATGATGAATTGTTCTCAACACTTTAATTAAAAAAGCTTCAAGATCTTTTGCCTCTCTTCTTGTTTCTTTTTTGACGTGTGCCTACGCTCGCACCTTCAAGTTCAGGATTGCCTTGTACTTTTTCTCTTGCCTCTAAAAAGAACATCAAGTCACGCACTTGATCATTTAAATCCTTGATTGCCTTTTCCTTTTCTTCCATGTCTTTCATCAACAAATTGTTGTTTTCCAACAGTGAGTTTGTGGACTAGTTTTAAATTGAGTATTATTATGTCATGACTCTTTTTCTTTCTTACTTCTTTCTCTGCCAGCCAAATTTTTTTTGTCGATTCAAATTTTTCTTTCCATGTCTCTAGCTTCTCTTCAGATAGTTTCTTTTCTTGCTTGATCTCAAGGACTTTTCTTTCTTTCTGGTTGTTCTCTTCTTCAAGCCGTTTGTTTTCCGCCTGTGTCTTATCCGATTCTGCTAATAAGGTTCTTGTTTGACAAGTGAGCTCAGACAATTGAGAAGAAATTTGGTCCATTTGATTCTCATAATAGATGCGTTGCGAATCTAATTGAGATGTCAACAAATAACTGTACTCAATCGACATGACTTCCAATTTCTCCTGCGAGTAGCCATCAGTGATGTGATCAGATATCATTCTACTTACAGATTGAGCCGCTTGTTCTTGTGTAGGCAATTCAACCAATTTGCCATCCACAGCATTCTGTATCAATCGATGGACATAGTTATCGCCTGCATAATCCCACACACGCTGTGTATCAATCTCAAGCGCATAAAGGTGATCTGTTTGCTGGTAATGTTCATACGCATGGGCGCCATGGTACCTTCCACAGCCAATATGCCCACATATCAGACACACCCAAAGATGGCTTGTCGATTGACATACACTGCATTGATTGTCGCTCTGGTCATGGAGTTCAAGTAATTGACTGATCAGCGTGTTTTTTTGACTACTGCTGGGTTCTGTTGGTTTAGGATGATGCGAGTAACGACAGATAGGACAGCTACTATCACCCCATTTTGATAGACAGTGTGAATGAAATGTGTGTTGGCATAAAATAGTCAAGAGTCCAGTAAGTTGGTCGTCCATGGGTTCTAAACACACAGAACATATAGGCAATGTCTCTTCATCCAGATTCGATGTAGACGCTGGTTCAGACGATTCTATATACATGATTTGACATTTTTCAGACTAAACGATTAAGATGGACGTGTGGTTTCAAGTGACTTACTTCCATTGAACTAAACAGTCTACCATGATACTGTTTATAATAAGTATTTGCAGAATAAGGGTCTCGAAATTCGAGTAAGACCATATAAGTATCAGGTATAGTACCATCCCTGTCTCTGGTCAGTCAAGTCATTCAATTATACCCGAATTACCAAATAACGCGATAATGACTAACAAAGAATCCACGGGTGCTACAAATTCCAAGAATTCAGGTATAGATATATCAAGTGGAATAGAATAAGTGCATAAAATAATGGTGGCACTGCTTAAATTGATAGGATTCTGACTAAATCTTAATAAGCCATAATTATGGTCTCCTTTTTTTGATGTGAATTCAATAGACGCAATAGGTGGATTTGGCATAAGAAAAAGAAAAGAAAAAAGAAAATAAAAGTGTGATGATTAAAATTCAGTATTTAAAGTCTGATGATAATTGAATTTCTCCCTCTTTTTTATTATTATTATTATTTTTTCTCATTCTATTCTCTCCCTTTCTATATAAACAAAAAGAGAGACAGAAAGAAAGAAAAAAAAAAGGCTTGTTACCAACATGTTTGAACGATTTACTTCTTCGTTTTCCAACAGTAGTAGTAACAATCGATACAACAGTCGGTTAGAGAAAAGACCTCGTCGTCGATATCTTGCCTCTCTCTATAACAGCCTGGCCGTTGTAAAAGCAGCCTTTCAAAGATTTGAACAAGATCAAATAAAGAAGAGTTGCTATGATCCTTATCAAGTTCAACAATTAAATGAAGAATTTAAATACAATCCTTACAACAATAGTAGTTCATCAGAAGATGAAGAAGAAGAAGAACAACAAAACATTACTACAAAAGCAGACAAGGATATGATCATGATAAATAAGCGAAAAGCAAGTGAATTAGATGATGATGATGATGATGAACAAGAACAAGAAAAGAAAGATGAACCTGTTATTAAACGTATTCGCGTCATGGCTTCTGTTGCGGCTGAAAATGCCGTGCATACATTCATTTACGGTGCACTTATTGCTTGTGATTTCGTTTGGTCCGAGAAGAAATACCTGGGAATTGCCAGACAATTATCCAATCATACCTTGACTGAAATGAACGAATCCTTCTCTATTACATCACCACAGAAAAACAAAAAGATGAGAGGATTTGGTGTTGACTTTTCTCCCTTTGTTGAAAGACCTGCTGCTTTGCAACTGCGTATGGATGCAGCAGAAAAGAATATCCGCGATATTTGTAAGCGTGCTGAACAGACTATCCAAGAAGATGTGAGTCGCCATAAAATGACCAAGTGTTATGCTCTTCCTTTAAAAAGGACATTTGATGACCAAAATTGGGGTTTTGTTGATGAACATGATTACTCTGTTAAAGTAAGTTTCATTTTTATTGTGTTATTCTCACCTATTGTCATAGTTTTAACACACTCTATCTATCTATCTATCTATTATATATCACTCTGTAGTATTATTATCCTTACTCTTATATGTTTATTAAATACACACACACACACACACTATAACAATTCTTCTTGAGCAATAATCTTCTCAACAGCCTCTTCTACATTCTCACAGACCATCTTGGCAGGAAATTCATGAGAATTTTCTCTTCCAACAAAGACGCCTGTACGAACAAGAACACTTGTCCAACCATAATTATTGGCACCTTGAATATCTGCAGCTGGATTATCACCGACTGCATACACACGCTGAGGTTGCTGTTCTGATAAAGAATGAATCACTTGCTCAGCAAATTGATAAGTAGCAGCATGCGGTTTTCCAAAAGAAGTGGATTTTAAATCATGACCCGTGAGTTGCTTGTATAAACTATCTAATGCGGTCTTGAAAGCACCTTGGCCCAAGCGAGGAGCAGGGAAGTCAGTACTCCAAATCTAGTTGGAGGATAAGTGGCTGTGATTGATATGTCTAACTTACAAGATCATTCTATTGCATTGTATGAGTAAGACAGAGAAAAAAAGAGAGAGAGAAAAAAAGGTATTATGACTTACATTAGACCAATATAAAGGAACATCTTGTGTCGTATAATCCTCTTTTCGAGTACCCAGAATACCGTCCTTTGAACAGAGTGCATCTAACATGATCTGGAGATCTCTACCCCCTTTTTTTTAATGAATATCTTGGAATTCATCAGACACACTTACAATCAAACGTATCATGGAATACCATCACAGCATGAATGGGTGACTTGGTGAATTCAACAGGAGTCTAATCAAGAGATAAATAATAAGCTGCTTATACTTACTTACATCTGTCAAGATAGATAAATCAGAAGTAGGTGTTGAATGAGGCCAAGAAGAACTATTCCAATGCATCACATCATGAGGTGTTACTGCATTTTTAAAACCATAACTATATCACTGTAAATCAACATGTAGTCATGCGATACTACTCTCTTACTTTTTGGCTACATTGTAGCAATGACGGCCCTTTCCGCCTACGATCAACACTCGCTTATCATTGTACTTGGAAGCTAAATTTTGCATAGGCGAGTGTGACAAAATGACTTGTTTAGGGTCAATCTTGAATTTTTTCTAAAGTGAGACTGAGTTGTATTGATGGCTAGATTACCTTGATACCAACAAGCTCGCTGATTTGTCTCGCTTTTTCTTCTTCAGAGACACCACCTCCATTGGTCAATAATACAAAAGGAATACGTCTATTCAATGATGAATAAGCCTTTTGTTTACATATGTTCGAACCCTACCTATTGGAAGCATTATCGCCATTTAAAAGCTTCAAGGCACTAGATAAACATGAGTTATAAAGTCTGTTTTGTGTCTCTTTCTATACCGTGTGGCTTCAGGAATACGACGTTTGCCCTGACACAAGTGAATAAGTGACATCTCGGTCCCTACCTTACCTTGATCAATACGCCATCAATATCAAAAGCAAAAGCATAGTTAGGTTTGCTTATAGTAGAAATAAAACGCGAATTATTGACCGGGAAAACAGTATTCCTGTTGAATAGTCTATGAAAGATCATTGTCAAAATATATATATAAAAAGAAAAGAAAAGAGAAAAGAGGGGAAGGAAATGCTATCCAATCAGAATACATCCGTCAATTTACTTTCTTTTTTCTTTCTTTTTTTTTTTTTTTCATTATGGAAGCTTTCACAAGTGTAAAGTAGTCTATAGTATGAGATATAAAAGAAGACTAAAGTGGTGACTATTTTAGAATACGACAACTACTTTGATAGTTAAACATTTGCCTGACTTTATTACACGTTCAAGTGAACTACAAAAGAATTATTTTAAACCATATAAACCTTTTGATGTGAGATTTATGGAAGGTCCTGCTATGGTAAATATTATGTACACAAACAAAATGAAAATAACTCTTAAGATTGGATTTGCTTTCCTTGATTTTCCTGATCGAGACACAGCGCAAAATGCATATCAATCAATACAGAAAATAAACTTTGGTCTTTACTACAAGCCAGTGACAGTGGAGTATGCAAGACCAGATCCAAATCGTATTGAACGACAACAAGCCATGTAAAGAATATACAAAAGAAAAGAAATAGAGAGAGAAAGAGAAAATTAATCTGTATTGTATAGTCCTGTAGAAGAACATGAAATAGCAGCGGATCCGGTATCCACTGCACATCAATTACTCTATCCACCCAACCCTCATTTACGTTATTACTATCCAGACCCTACACCTGAAATCATCACTAACATATCATATGCCATTGGTACAGTACCACGTCTTTATACCCAAGTCCTTCATCTGATGAACAAACTGAACATGCCACCACCTTTTGGACCCTTAGTGAAATCAGCCAAACCTTCTCTGATTTCAAAGAGAAAATATGATGCATTATTAGCAAGTGATGAATCAGAGCTAGAAGACGAACAAGAACAAGAAAGCAACATAAAGGAACAAGAAGAAAAGATCAAAATAGCAAGACTGAATCGAATAGCAGCTGAAAAGCAAAAACTGGCGATAACAAGCCATGTTCAAGGAACATCAACCAAGAGTGATGCGCCACACACCGCCAAGATCCATATCCATGCTCCCACAAAACTTGTACCTAATGAACAGCAAAAGGCCCTTCAAGAGCAATGTAGGCCACTAGATCAATTACAAGAACTATCGGCGTTCAAGAACTATCAAGCAGGAGCACCTAGCGCAAAGCTATACCTCAAAAATCTAAGTAAACACACGACACAACAAGACCTTATCGATCTTTACTCTCAATTCTCTCAAGAAGTGGATGTTCGATTGATGAATAAGGGTAAATTGCGTGATCAGGCATTTGTTACTTTTCCAAATGAAGCTGTAGCTTCTTTAGCACTTGAATGTACAAATGGATTTTTGTTGCATGATCGTCCATTAGCAGTCCTTTTTGGTCGGAATCCTAAAAAATAAAGAAAAAGAGAAAGAGAAAATTTTTTTGCAACAGTCACAATGGCCGCATGTCTATAAAAACGTCCCCATTTTTCCTTTGTCTTTTTTTTCTTTAAGTTTAAGCGTACATGGTAAGTTATATATACGTTTTGAATATGATGGCTTGTTGCAATCAAATGATGGAAAACTTTTTTTGGACCCGAATCGAAGCATATTCCGATGTTCACAATCTTATGAGATGTGGGTTATCCAAGGTGAACAATCTCTGAAGAGTTTATTGCATCAAGTCATTTATTCGACGCGTTTAAATATATATTTGAACTTCTTTACTTACTTTTCTTTATAGTTCCAATTTCCAGACTGGTCTTGTACTGCTTATGCGCTCTTCTTTTGCTCGAATCTTTATTTGGCAGTGATTCTTTGACAGTCATAATATTTTTTTGAGCAAACTTTATGTTTAAAGATATTACAAGGCCTCTTTCAGAATTGGTCTAAATATTTTTTGGGCATTTTTTTTTTTTTTTTTTTACACGTATTTAAAAGTCACATCTGTCACTTTCTTTGTCTGAATATGTTATTGTGTCTGTAACTATGTAGGCCTTGATGTATTCAAACACCTCTTTCCCTGTCCCTAGTATAGAATATAATAAATAAATAAAGCTTGTCTAAATATCATCATCACTAGTAACTATATGTATATGTATGAGTTGCGTTGAGCCTTAAAAAATAACCAGGATAGAAAGTTTTATTAGAGCTAAAATCATGTTGGGTCATGCTAACACGAAAAAATCTTTTTGAAGTTATGGCATTTATATTCTTCTGCTCAACAATATCTAATCTCCCTGAAGATTTACAAACAATGTGAATTCCAAAAGCATTGTTATTCACTGCTGCTAGACAAAGTGTACGCTATAACCACAAACGGCTAACAAAAGGGCATTTTATCTGTGCAATAGATGTTAAAGTTTTTATAGCACTCTTGATATTCCATGAATTTCCAGCACCTACAATAATATTTTAAAAGCTCAAGAGATAGTATGAGCAGTTTATTGTCATATGTACTACTCTTGACATCTTAGCTGAGATATACTATTAGGCTTTTGAGATAGATCTTTTGGAAACAAATATACTTTCTCAATCCCAACAGGTTTTGTATAATAATATTGATAAAAAAAAAGAAGCTTTTATAGCATGACAATTGAGCTATACAATTTGTGGATTTAATAATAATATACACAGAAAAAAAAAGAGAGAGAGAAATTGGATTATTGTATATATGTATATATAGATTTTTTTTTCTATCTTAAAGGTTGGCACCTTGAGATTCACGTTGAAGTCTAGCAACATAAGCACGGGAAACAACGTTCCAGGCTTCCATATAACGATCCATACACTTGGAAAGACAAGCTTGTTCACCAGATTCAAGACGAGCACCGGGCTTAGGGACACACTTGAAGTAACACTTTTCATTGATTTTCTAATGCCCATCATATCAGCCTAATACATACATCAGAGGGTTTTATCTTACATTAATGAGTTCTTGAGCATTGGCTAAAGCAAGTTCAGAACGAACTTGATCCATGACTTCTTGCTTCTTGTTGCTCTGCAAAACGTGTTATTTAAACAGACAACATCATCTATAGCAAATACTTACGAGGTCACCAAGACCGTAGTTGGAAGAATAATCGCTCATGTTGATAATGTGTAATAAGAAAAAGAAAAATGCTTTAATAAAGCACCCCTACAGTAAAAATAGTCTCAACTAAACGACAGTCCAAAAAAGTGACGGTTTATGTGATTGGCGTAACACAATACCTGTTTGAAACTGTAAGACAATTTTTATGCAATTTATGCTTATTTTAGCATGATAAACACACTTTTATTATCAAGAAGTGCAAAGCGAAATGATTGTAGGATTGACTTCAAGCAATTTCCTTCTTCTTTTTTTTTTTTTAAATAGGATTGGGTTGCTTTAGCGTAGACTTAGTATTAGCGTGATCTTCTTCTAACCATTCGTTTTCAAAAACAACTTCTTTCTCAGGCTGTTTTAAACTAGCAGAGGACGATATTCTACTTGCACCATCAAGAATAACTCTTCTTGAAATACCTCTAGCATCAAAGTAAACAAGTGTTTCTGCAATATTCAATCCACTACCAATCGTCTTTTCAGCCACAAACCCAGCATCTGTTCCATATTTTTTGTGAATCATCTGAACAATGCTATCACGTGAAGACACAAGAACCATAGAGGCAGCCGAAGCAGCACCTCCTACTACTTTGACAGCTGCTTGTAATGCAGAGATGCCAAAATGTCGAGATGCATTTTGAACAGGTTGTTGTTCTTGTAATTGTTGGTCTTTGTATACCATTGCATTGAGTCCTGATAGAGCTGAATTGACAGCCATGTCTACTAGTCCTGCTGCTACCTGAGTTGCTGTATGTGTTGTTTTGTAGAATACTTCCAATGCTTTCTTTTCTCCCTGACTGAGACGAATAGGTGTAGGGTTAGGCTCAATTTTATCTTGAAGCATTTGACCACCACTAATCAATCAGTACAATTCCTGTCCTATCAAATTACCTTGTGATTCCTCTTGCTAGTGCTTGACCAGCGAGAACAAGTGCATGCGCAATCCAGTCAGAACCAGTTACCATAGCATTACCAGAGTGATAAAGTAATTTTACTTTTCTTACTTTATGAGGATCAATGTCATCCTAGTGCTATCGTGAGTATGACATGACACACACACAAAAAGATATATATATATAAATATAAATACCTTAGGTAGCTTGCTATCGACATACACTGGTAGCTTCTGTCCTTGCTTATTTTCTTCAGATGTGATAAAGTCTTCTTCATCCAAGATACTTTCTGATTCAGACCGATCTAACTCAACATGACTTGCAACGACTTGTGTAACTTCACACGAAACAGGATTGACCATGGCCAATGTGTTCTTCATTTGATGACGGTTTTCATATTTAATAAAATAAGTAAGGACATCTTGAAGTTCAGTAAATGCAGATGGATTTGAAGCACTAAACACATAAGATAAACATGATAGGTTTGTTTCTTTTTTTTTTTTTTTACCTGCAGTCTAGTTTCCATAAGCCTCCTTGTGCTTTAGGAAAAACCAAGGTACGTTCACCTTCTAACCAAGCTTTGGATCGAGAAACCAGTACGATGCTTGCCTTTTCATTGTCTTTCACATCTTTAAATTGGAGTAATAACAGTTGTTGTTCTGCTTCTGGGTCAGAAGTGATAGAAGCAACCACGTTTCCTTCACCTAAATGTGATAATTGACCTTCATAAAGACTAGAAACCGAGACTTTATCCACAAGACATAGAAAAGCTAAAGCTGCTGCATCAATTTGTTCAGGAGCAGGTGTAATAGGTAAAATAGTCATCAGGAAATAAAAAAAAAAAAAAAGTAAAAAAAAAAAAATTGACTACGAATCTCTATTTATGCAACCAAAATGTTGTCTTGGCACACATCTTTTTAATTGGTTTAAATTTGGCATTGACAAGTACAATTACTGACAGGACAAGTTGAATGTTTCTGAAACCAGTCAAACATATGGATAGCATGGCCACCATGGCGGCATGTTTGACACCAAGTAAACCAGAGATCAAATCCAGCAGGATCGACTTTATGGGTATCATTGGCTATCATGGTCTGTCTTAATTGATCAATAGGTGTGCCCATATGCAACAGACAGAGAGCACATCGAGGCAGTGGTTTTCGACAACTTGAACATACCGAACTCTATAGAGAATAAGCCAATGGATAAGTGGAATAAAAACATTACCTTTTGTTTAGCGGATGCCCGACTACCAGGATTGCTTGTTTGGACATTCATTCGCTTCCCTTCTCTGTTACGAGCATTTTGTATCACTAGACTATGACCCAACGATTGAGCACAGAAATTACAGCGGACATAGACTTGAGGTGGTGCAATTTCACTTGAATTCATGCGTTTACCACGCTGAATATCAAACTTGGCTCTTGCATGCCACATTTGCCATCGATCTATTAAGGAGCGATAACTAAAGGCTATCCGTTAGACAGCAAGTGATTGAGAGTTTCTGGTCTCACCTTTCTACCCAGTCTTCTACTCGATTATCTTTAAATCGCTTTGGAACCGTGTAACTCATGACTAAACTGGCTGTCTGTACATCGCCATATCTATCTAATGCTCTTTCTAAAAGATCAACGCCTTTCACTGTTAGTCCAGTCAGGACAACTCCTTCTACATCTCCTTCTTGCACTAGTTTCTCTAGTGTTCTATTTAGATAGAGAGTCATCTAGCACTTGATCAATAGTTGCTCCAGCATGTACTCTTTACCTGTTCATCATCTAATACACGTAAAGCAATAGCCATTCTTTCTCGAAGTGGTAAGCAAGGTTCATCCAAGACTCTATACCAATTATTGGATGCAATATAGGCAAAAATAGCACGTAAATAAGGTCTATCCACCATATCATTGCTGAGTGATTCACAGATATCTTTCCATGTACTGTTGGCTTCAGTACCATTGGCTTGATAACTAGCCAAGATAGCAGACATTAATTTGCACTGTTGTTCTACATAGCATGTCAACCATCTTATTGCTCTGTATGGATGCTTTACCTTCTTTATTATCTTTTCCTCGAGCATTACTTAATGCTTGAATCGCTCTTTCAGGAGCACCATGGAATAAAGCTAAACCAGCAGCCTTATCATATTCTCCTCGAGATTCAAGTCTAGATAAACCCTTAACTAAATCATCTACGAATATCTTTTTCTTTAACTCACTGTATCAATTCTCTTTCAAATCCTTTTGTATCAAATCCAAACCCACAAGAAGCTAATGCAATGGTTCTCTGAGCTGATTTGGCTGTTTCTACCATAGGTAAATCGTTGGCTGTCTCTAAGGGACTCGTTTCTGTGTCTTTTAACTTGAGCGTAGGTGTCTGTCGAGGTGGTTTAGGAGACTGACTGGTACGAGGTGTACTTGAAGGTGAAGATCGATGACGACTAGAAGATCCCATCCAGATACCATACACGCCATGAAAACTATAGTCTATATTCCCAATCTTGGAGAGCTTGGTGGACATTTGATCTGCAATCTTCATCCAAGACCATAACTCTCGTAGCTTTGGATGATGACGAGTGATTTCAATGTTCTTGTTGCAGTCCATTGAATAGCCTTCTTCTAATCGTCTCTTCATGACAACAGAAATATCTTTGGCAAGTTCTGCAGCCAATGGTCGATCGACACTGGCTGTAATTGCACTGGGCTGTAGGGACAAGCTATGGATCGTGTGTTCCACTGGACTGTTCTCTGCTGGAGGATAGGACAAAAGTCCTTTTTTGCTTGTCATGACCATACCACCCGTTGGCTGCCATGTTATCTGACATGCTTCTTGTATTTTGACAGATTCAAATTTACCGTCTGTATGAATAGCAAGCATTGTATTGTCTTGTTTCGCACTTGCTTGAGGAATAAAAGCAAAAGAAGCAAATTTTTTTGCACTGGATCTTGTCTTGCGTGTCTTCCAAAGCACAGGAATACTCAACTCATTGTCCTCAAACTGACTTGAGAGTAACACATTGTTTGATGTATTGACAGCAGGATAAAAAGCTGGTTTTTGATAATGTTGCACAGACGAATGGACAGCGGATTGCAAAGAACAAGTCTCTTGAATATCCCATAAATCAATGGTGGATGCATCTTTGGCTAATGAGGCTAAAAACCCAGGTTGAGAAGGAGAAAACACAATTTTAGACAGATTTGTCTTGCTTTCTGCATTCAGTGTCAAGATGGCATCGTTGTTCTTGCGAAGATCCCATAGTTTAATGATGCCTTCTTCTGAATAAGAAGCAACGCGGTATGGACTGAATGGATCTACCACAATACCATGCACTGCTTTCGTGGTGAATTGAAGTGGATTGGATCCAGGATCTGCTCGAATATCATACACACGCAAGTATTTATTGCCCATGCCTGCAATCAACAGTGGCGCATTAGCATGTTCAGACCATGCACAGGAAGCAATGGCCTCTGAAGACCCATATTGTCTCACTGGTCCTTGTTCTCTCGTACTGTGTTCTGGTCAGTACCATAGCAAACGAAAGTTTTTTTTTTACCTAGACATATCTTGATTGTATCGACGGTCTTTTGTATCTATGCGCCAAGGATCTTGTTGGAAGCTTTTAGTCGGTGTCTGTGATCCAGTCGGTGTATTGCAATAACTGTCTAATGATCGAGACACATCCCATACAAGCAAACATGGATCATTGCGTACTTTATCAAGACCTGCTGCTAATAAATGAGGATGTGTTTTTGAGAATGAGACTACGTTGCTTGAACGCGATAATTTGACACCTAAAGAAGGATATTGCTTCTGTTGTTGTATCTGTGTAGATTGTTGTGTTTGTTTGCGGATTAAGTGCGTATTGCTGTAGATGGTAGCTCTTCCTTGTGTTGATGTTTCTAATCCGTCTGCATTGGGATAGTCTGTCAAAGAGTGCTCATGCATACGAACAAGCAGTGTTCTTCCTGTTGTTAAACCCACAGCGACTAAATCTGGACAGTTGGAATCAGGAGACCAATCAGCACACTACATCAATTAGAAATCATCAAAGTCTATACGGATTGAATTTACCATCATGAGTGTAATGTCTGGGATCGTCGATATATAGCGTGCTCTTCCTGGTGCGTCATGTGTCTATATAGGGCACGTTAGTTATACCCTAAGTGAGAGGGCTTAGACTACCTCTGGCACCCATTCATACAACTTGAGTTCAGTTCCTCCCGCTAAGAATTGATTTTGACCTTGGTGAGGAGACCATATAATAGATCTTTGAACAATAACCATAGTATAAATAACAAAAAAAAAGCGAGAGAGAGAGAGGACATTTAATCCATAAACCCTTTTTTTTATGATTTGCAGTGTATCTCTGTCCTACCTAAGCATGATCATCATAAAGTAAGATACAAAGAACAAAAGAGAAATGAGATTAGGCTTTAGATTACGTAAGAAGGTTTAGCATAACCCTTTGACAATGCTTCTTCATTCTGTTCAAATAGACGCGAATTCATTCACCGCTACTCACACTGCTCTTCTTGTTTTATTATTATTATTATTATTATGCCACCCATAAGACAGTTAGATGAAGCCTTTCTTGCTCATTTACTTGAGGAAAATACAGACGTAGCAGATGTCGTCCTTCAATCCAACATTAGCTCAGAATCACTTCGAACAGTCTTGAAAAAACTGACTTGTACTTCCAACGCGCTTCAACATCAACTGTTTGAAAAAGTGCATGCCAACTTTGACCAATTTGTATCTGCCTACAACACAAGCCAAGAACTCCATGAAAATGTGTTTAGTCTTCTTGGCCGTTATGCAGATGTAGAGACGCAAGTCTCTAGTGCACAACAAGAAACATATACCGCTATCGATCGATACCAACACACATTACTCTTGACACAAAAGAATCAAGCGAAAATAGATACTCTGGAGAGAGTACAGGAGATTGTGGAGATTGTGGATGCTATTGATCATGAACTTCAACAATATTTGTATGTAGAAGCAGTGCAGCATATCAACAAACTCAACACCATACTGAATACATGGAAAGAGGCTGATACGCGAATGATCGGATTAGTTCATGATCGTCTTTCCAGACAAAAGGAATCGATTGTCTTTAGCCTTCAAGATAGTCTTCGCACAGCTCTTCATATCGAATCAGGGTCTATGCGTATGCTCACCACGTTTTGTCCCTCGTCAAATCATGTAGTGCAGATCTGTCATGTGTTTGAAAGCTTAGATCAACTTGGCATGCTGGCTGAGCAATTCATGGGAATCCAACGCTCCTTATTTAAGCATATCATTCTGCCTTATTTTGAACACACAAGCAAGATCAAGATAAACAAAGTGGACGAGACACTCGGCAAAGGTGGTGTCTTACAAGTGATTCAGTCTTCCGAGGAGCAAACCATGGTGGATCCAATTCGCATGTTACAGCAAATAGACTCAATCCTTGCATTTCTCTACGAACACATGTTTAAAGGGAACAAGCCAGAATTCCAGCAGCTATTTAGCCATCTATTCATGCCAGACTTGGCTCGGGTCATGATAGACAAAAGCATTTCACCTGCTATTCCTTCTTCCAAAGAAACCCTATCTGATTTCAGCAAGGTAGCACAAGCAGTAACCCAGTTTGAGAAACAGTCTCGCGACACGTATGGATTTGAGGCAGAAGCGACATTGGGGACCTATGTAGACAACATGGATGCACACTATGCTAAAAAGCGCCGAGAAAAGATACTACAGGAAGGCAGAAAAGTCATGGTGCGTCGACTATATGAGACAGATACAACGCATGGCTACCAAATCACTCAGACGCCTCAAATATTAGTTGTGCTTGTCTCAGACACAATAGAAGAAGCAGCTGATCTTTTGAGGTCGCACCCTATCTCCGCAACTTCATTAATTGAAGGAATACGAGACCTTCTGGACATGTATCGCGCTATTATGCCTAATTATCATCGAACTCAATATGCTTCTTCTCCTGCTCATTCCCTTGTGTTTCGAAATGACTGTGTCTGGCTAGCTCAACAGCTGACTACCATGAAAACATTCGGGTTAGATAAACTCCCTGACTACCTCAAGACTGCTTCAGAGCGCTTAAAAGAACTCGGGAATGCATGGCATGAACTAGCCATGATGCAACGTGTCCAGTTGATTCAAACAGTCTTGGACCATTTGGACGGCTTTTCGGGTTTGGCCGATCAAAAATTCCAACAAGACTGTGACCGAGCTGTGACACAAGTGACTGAATTAGTCAATGCATATGCTGCCGAAACTCGCCACGTTGTTGACCAAACCTTGTTTTTGGACATGTTGGCACGTATTGTCGAAAGTGTCTTGACTCGGTTGATTCAGGACATTGAACACTTGATTGATATTGGTGCTGAAGAGTCACATGTGTTGGCACGTATATTGAACAGCATGGCACAATTACTGAATGCATTTGACTTGCCTGGCAAAGATGCCACGGAGACCTTTGTGGCCGAATTGGTGCCTAGCTGGCAAAAGTTTTGGTTGGTAAAAGATATATTGGAAATGAACATGCGAGAAATCATGGAACGATATCGTCGTGGTAACTTGCACATGTTCTCAAAACCAGAATTAGTGGGGTTATTATGCGCATTGTTTGCAGACACTGAATTAAGAGAGTCTAACATTCAAGAAATTAACGCGGGTGTGTTTGTGGAAACAAGCTCTTCTGGACTAGACTACACACCTGAAGAGACAGAAGATAATGGTTGGGAAGATGATAAAGAAGATTTGTTTAAAGATCATATATTGCCTGATCGAGCTCAACCTAGTACAGACAATAACCTCTTGGAGCCTAATTTGGAAATGGAACTGGATGATACCAGTGGTGGATGGGGAGATGCGGACGAAGACCTTTTTGAGCAACATGATCACACCTTAGACCCTTCTTCCCCTTCACAAACAGTCACTCAACCCTTAAATTCAGGGACACATGTCAAGTCTGTCTCTTTGGCAATGCAACCCACTGAAGAAGAAGAAGGAGAAGGTTGGGGCTGGGATGATGATAATGATGATGATCTTTTCAAGACAGACGATATCAAATAAACAATCTTTTGTTACACATATACATATTTATTTCTGAATCATAAGAACACATAAGAAAAAAAGAAGGACATAAAAGGTGAAGTGGGTAAAATATACAATGCGTGTCGCCAAGAAAGTAAAAAAAAAAGGGGGTAGGGGAAATTATATACATAAACTACTTGAAAAAGAAAAAAAAAAAAAGAGAAAAAAAATACATAGGTGAATAATAGGTATATAGATAACAAGCATGTGTATGTACAAGCTTCTAGCGTCGGTGAATCTTTTCATGTCGTTTCATGTCGTATTTTCTGGCAAAAGGACGTGCACACATACTGCACTTGAATGATTTGGGTCGATTGGGATCATGTGTAAGCATATGTTCAATTAGGTTGTGTCTACGTTTTGATCTAAAATATCATGAATAACTTGATTTTTCGATTATTTTTTGTTTTTCTTACCTGTGGTTACAGACTGGGCAAACATGTCTCTTTTTGGTTACATCAGAATCATCCCTGTCTGTTGGTTTTGGGGAGTACACTGGTGCAAATAGTGAGCCCATTACTTCTTGGCCAGCAAAAGGTTTTGTATCGTAATGGTTTGTATTCAATTCTGAAAGAGGAGGTGAATGTGTTGTGTAATGTGCATTGAAATCATTGTGCTGTGAAGGTATGACAGACAACAACGATGGAGAGGGCTGTGAGACAGTAGCTGGGCTATTATAATGCACGTCGGACGCAGTGATAACTGACATGGTGTCGTCTTGTAGAACATTATCTTCGCAGACGTATGGGAAAACAGGGTGGTAATTTTGTTTCTGTGGACCGATTTCATTCACAACAGGGTATTGTGCACAACATGATTGATTACAGGGAATAGAAGAATTAGCAGGTGAAAGAAGAGGTGAAGGAGAAGCAATAGTGGAATGCTGTGTTGTAGAGACCAAAGAATAGAAAAAGTGAACATTACTGTAGTAATGATGGTTTAAATCAAAAGTTGGTTCCACACTAAAAGTGTTTAAAAAAGACATTTTTCTTAAAGAAAAAAAGAAGAAAAAAAGAGCACCAGCGATTTGGTTTTTTTTTATAAAAAGTCTTTGCTTTTTATATGTTTTCTCGAAAGAAATATGATCTGCTTTTATCTATATTTAAACTTAACAATTGTTGTAGAACCTAAACACTGGATGCACAATCTAGAAAAAGCAAAAAGGCTATTCGATTACGAATCCCGTTAGATGTGAGTACAGAGATCAAAAATTACGACATACCGAGGGGGGCTGTGGTTTTCTTTTTTCCTGAAAATGACATTTGGATAATGTATGACCAATTACTTAAGCCTGGTCGAGGGGTGTAACAAGCTCACAGCCAACTGAGCTTATATTTAGTGGACCTAAAAATAATTTTGAGTTTGACTTTCGCTCTTTATCTGCGTTCCCCCATCCTTTCATCTTCTTGCAGACAGAAATGTTTAAATTTATCTGTTACAAGACACTTCTTTCGCTAAATATAGAACAGTCGTTGCTAAACTGTAGTTCAAGCAGTGTGCATGCGAAATGACAAAAATTGACTTGTCAATAGGCATTGCGTGATATGAGATCAATTCCAGCACATTAAAGACAAAAAAAAAAAAGACCCATCAAATCTAAGAAAAGGAAAAAAGAATAGGTTAGTCAAAAGTAAGGAAGCTTTCAATCTATTATTAGTTGGCAACCAATGATTCATACCGACACAAGACTTTTGCAACTTGTACAGCCTCATCATCTGATACGTAAAGGATAAAAGACTCACCCTGAAGTTACTCCCAGCATGTGTAATTGTTACGAACAATAAGACTATTTTTGTACATTTTCAGCCATTCTTTTCTCTTGAGGGGGGGGGGTTTAACTTCTTCTCGTTTTGTTCTTTTAAGACTGAGTTTCTAAAAGCATTTTAAGTATACTTTCGAAACCATATACCGAGCATGTTGTACTTACTGATTTGATTACTAATACTGTCAGAAGAGTCAGAGAAGAAAGAAGTCATAGCAATGAAAAAAAAGTATAGGCCTTTGGCTTATTAATCGAATCAATGCCTATTTTTAATGACATGAATACGTAGTAGCTCTTTAAAGCCCTTTTCGTCATACGGTTTGCATGTCTTCACGAGAAACGCCATATTCGGTATAAAAGACTATTGTCAGCAAGCGTGATCTTCAGTGGCAAAAACAAACAAGACATAAACATCTCTATTATTGGAGGCATTCTTTTTTAATCTTATAAAGCAAAGGACGTATATCAAAACAAAAGAACAGGTGCTAAAGAGAGATAAAGATTTTAAATAAGAAAAGAAAATCCTCAGAGAACCTTCAGAGCTTCGAAGGGCATATCTATTCAGTAATTTCAGTCGAAGAAATAATCTAAAAGACACGTAGTAAAAAACAAGAAGCAGTTCAACTGGTATAGTTCCATAAGACAATGCATTAGTTTTCAAGACAATATGTCATTGATTTGATCAGATCAAATAGAAGAGATTAAACTTTCACTATCGAAAAGTGTACGAGTTCTTTTAATGTATTGATTTAGGCTAAAACGTAATATTTCATAGCCGTACAAAGGAAATATAAGGCATGTTTGTGCATTGTCAGATTCGCTAAATACCTTAAAACAGCGTTTGATAGCATCCATGGTACCTTTGGGGTTGATTTGGACAAAGAAAAGCGACTTGTGAAATTTGGTCATTTTGGCCTATGATCCAAAAGGGATTACTCGCGAAAATGTTCTGCTTTACACCTCTTTGAGGTTCTTTCTAATGCTACAAGATGGAAAATAGAGTTATCATCAAACTCAAGTACTCCAAATGAGTGTCAGAGGCTCTAGTTTTTGGCAAATGTGTTTATTTGCTAATTGTGTCATGAAAATGATGAGATATGAGTGAAAAACCTCATAGAAATTTTTGCTTGTTTTCTCAAAATTTTGTGATCAAAGTTGAAGAAGAGTTGAGGTTGCCTATGTTTTCAATCTCCGCAAAGCCCCTTTATATGTCCTATGCTCATATTCCTACTTTTCTATTTGACTATGTTCTTTGGCACTTTAGGTAGCACAATGTATCTTTTGAAAGTCTGCTGATAGCACATTCTATATGATATTTAGAGCAAAAACGCTCAAAACACAGCTTAACCATGTCAATCTTTGATGGATCATTGCTCGACAACCAGATCATCAAAACAACCCAGAAATCAAATGTTACCATTGGTTTGGCTTTTGGGTGAATTTCATTTTTTGACCGATGTGGGATCCACGGAAGTTCGTGAAGATGAAAAAACAAACTCGATCAAGAATTTCTTAGAATGACCCCAATGTAGGTCTGATACAACCGGAATCAGATAAGTCCATCTCTAGATACTTTTGATGAAAAGAAAGCGAGTTTACTAAGCTAAGAAAGTCGACTTAATTTGAGCACTGTCTTCAGATCTGCATTCAAAGTTTGTTGCACACTGTAATTGGTTGAAAAGAGATTCATTTTAGTATATATCAAATATCAAATGAGCTCTTTTTTTCTGCGCCATTTGTTACGCATGGCATAGAAGAGAAAGGCATGCTACAATAATTGGCAGTCTTGAGATCGAAAAGGCAGCTTACGACACGATGAACAATGTTTTTTTTTTTTTGTATTAAGTGATTACTTTATTTATCAAAATTGATTTACATATTGAAGAACTGATGTTCGGTCAAAAACAGATTGAATGGCGCTGATGGGTGCCATAACTCCTTGTCAAAGATGCATTTGTAGTGGTACCTCCAGAGCACAGTCAAACCATTTCCTAATATCTCTAAGGTCTTTGAGGGCAGCAGTTTGTTGGTTTCGTCTGCCAGCGAAGTAAGTGCTAGCCATAGATCACTAGGATTTTCAAATTGACGATCCAGTTGGACAGAAGTCAATACTTGTTGCCAGTATGACCATTTAACCGGGCAATCAACAAAAAAATGATAGCTACTTTCCTCTATCATACCACAAATACTACAAGCAGGCGAAGTAAATGTAGTTGTTTTCCAAGAATAGATCTTGCCTCCATTGGCAATGCTATCATGCAGAAGTCGCCACCAGGGAGTGAAAGCCTTCATGTTCATTTCCAATGACCAAAAGAGCTTCCATCGTGAAGGTGGTAGGCGTCGGGCGGGTGGTGTACGGTAAGAGATACCAATTTCAACCGGGTCGCGTTGATCGCTCCAATATCTTCTAACAGAACCCGAAGTAGATTCAAGGACTATCTTGGGTTGTCGACGGCCGGAAGGCAGCGTCCAATGGTCAAGCGATGGAAGATAAGTGGTCATATCTGGGTATTGTGACGAAGAGGGCACCATAGGGCTAGGAGGAAAAAAGGCACATTTAGCTTGAACTGCTGTAGGCAAGACGCAGCTGATAGTGTCAGACGGAGAGGGCAAGAAAAGGGCATCAAAGATCCGTATCAAAGATGTACGTCTGTAATTAATGAAGGATCGATGAGCCTCAAGTATACCGGTGGTAGCATTGTAGCAGACTAAATCTGACATCAAGAAGGGCCTTTTGACCGTGGGTACTGGTAGTGCAGAGCCTATTTTGGCCTGTATTACTATCGACAAAGGTAAGTCCAAAAACCAATGAGCAGGCCAAGAGCTAGATAGCTTCAAAGGTGGCAAACGCTCCAGGAGTTTCAGTAGCTGCATCATGGGGTTTACAACGCTTGAAGGCTGCATGGAACAAGGTAGGAGCTACCAGTATAGGCAAAATTGAGGCATGACCGGTATTGATTTGAACAAAACGAAGCAGCCAAGGGGTAAGAAAGTCACTTCTAACAGGCTCTTGAGAAATTCTTTTCATGTAGATCATCTGAAGTGTCAACGCCTGATCCTCCAGATCAACTAAACCGAGACCACCTTGTTTTTTTGGTTTGCATATCGCTGCCCAACTGGGTTTAGGCCAAAAAGGCATAGCTAAATCTCGCACCAGTCGTTTGATGGATGCTATCCAAGGAGAGGGTAATTGAATGACTCGCATAATATGCCATAGACGGCTGAGGATTAGCACATTGACAGCCACAGCCATACCACGTACTGATAGATGCATTTTCCTTAGATTGTCTGTGTGTTGAAAAATTTTCAAGCGCAAGTCCTCAAGAAAGACGTCATATTGAGCAGGACTGGAGTAGAGAGGATAGCCTAACAAAGTAGCGGCAGTATCGGATGTTTGATCATGCCAAGAGATGCCAAACGAATTACAAATCGATATCCATTCTGCAAAAGGAAGTCCACTTAGAGAGACCATGACAGTTTTAGCCACATTCGTCTTCGCATTGGAGGCTTTGGAGTACAAATCAAGAATGCGTAAAAGGTGAGGCCATTCAGCAGGCGAGGACAGAAAAACTTCCAAATCATCAGCATAGGCAAGTAATTTGATAGGAGGCGACGATACTAGACGATCAGACATATTCAGAGGCTTAGGTTGATATCGAGCGGCTGTGCCTAAGACCGGTGTTGATAGGCCTTTGATGCTCGAGTCAGCTAGAATATATCGCAATAAAGGCTCATAGGCTAAATTGAACAGCAAAGGCGAGAGAGGGTCACCTTGACGCAACCCACGTGCTTGCACAATAGGAGAGCCAAGCCAACCATTTATAGAGATTTTGATTTTCGTCTCAAAAAACAATCGAGTCAGGCTATCAATGAAGACGGATGGAAAACCAAATCGTTGAAGGACCAGTCGCAGATATTCTGGGTGTATTCGATCATAGGCTTTCTCAGCATCCAACAGAACTGCAACCTCAGGATCCAAAGACTTGTTTTCACGAAGAGTTGTCATGAGCATATGGTTAATCCATCCATTATCTGATATTAGTCGGCCAAGAAGAAAACCAGTTTGATATGAATTTATCAGTTTGGGCAGCAGCTCATTGAGACGATTGGCCATTAGCTTGGTGAAAATCTTTGCATCTACATTTATCAGTGATAAAGGTCGCCAATTCTTCAGTAAAGTAGGATCTCCTTTTTTGAATAGCAGTATCAATCTTGTATGCTGCCAGGAGGACGAAAAAGATCCATGAAAGGCATCC